TGCTCTTTAACAGCGTTAATGTTTACAATGGCCGCGGATAACAAGCTGTTTGCATCTAAAGACGTCACAAACATTTGTAGTTCGAAAACAGCTTAACCAGTAACACCTTTGTAAAGGGGTATACCGACCAAGCCAAATCAGAAATCAGGAGTAAAGGAGTCCGAAGATGTATTTGGAAAGCTATTGTTATGTCGAGAAACGTCTGGTAAAAGATGGCTAGTAGTTGACAGAGATGCGTAGCACGGTGTACACACTCGTGATCTGGTGCTAATGCGTGACGGAGTGCCTTCAGCTACGTGAGCCCAGTAAAACTAATGGGGCCAGTATCAAACATCGAAAACTTACAGAGCTACTACACATTTGAGCATCATTGCAAGTACAGTTACGCTTATAGATTTTCAATAAGTCGTTTGAAAATCGCAGGCATTAGATTAATGCGAACTCAGTGGTACTGTCCTTTGCACTTAACGTATTGCATGGAACTTCACAGAGGTTATCGCCAGCCAGACGGTTGGCAACTGCATTCTTTTTACTATCCAGTCATCAACCAGAGGTTTTCAAACGACTCGCACACAGAAAAAAATTGGAAAAAAACAGTGACCAGAGAAGTGGTGAACCGTGAACTGTTTGATCCAAGAGTGTAATAAACACAAAGTAGCCCGATGTACTAAATAAGATAACAGACACAAAATTACATTCGAGAATGGCTTTAATTTAACTGAACTTAATTCTGTCAAAGTGCAAAGAATGTTACGAATGCATAATAAACTATCGAAACCATAAATTTAACTCAGCGAGGAAAAATGTCATCCATTACATGGAGATCAATATTTCTATTTATAAACCACTTGTGCTTATAGACTTTCAACGGTCTATCAGTTGATCGAGAGACATTGTTTGTTAATGAAAAGGTAAAAAACGGACAAACAACATCAACATGTATAACAAAGGTTTTATAATACTGGTAGTGTTATGTGGGCGATTCAGTCTCTGCGCGACGGCAGCGCTCCAGGGGTATCGCGACACTTTTTTGCGCTACTTTTTCATTTCTGCTTTGTGCACAACCAAATTTCGAAATACACTATGAATAAATTTGAAAGTCTATTTTCCGTTTTCATAATTAGGTAAAATGGGGTTTTTCCATTTTGCGTTACATGGTATCGCGAAGTCCTTGAAAATTCATTAATCAGGTGCTGCTATAATAATTTTTCGGTGTTTGCATCGCAGATTAGCAATTATTTGTACTCAGGTATACACTGATGGTAGACAAATCTTTTATTTTTATATGAAATAGCAAGATTGAGGCATATATCGTCATAAAAATTGTATTGTCGTCAAGGCTACCAAAACTGCGTTACAACTAACGATACCATGGTAAGATTTATCGTTTTTCCTATCTTTATCACAATTTCTGCTGATTTTCACTGTTTTGTTCGACTTTTATGGCAGAAATAGGTTGATAGTGAAAACATAAGGTGTCCTGAGTGTTGTAAATATTATGTATATGCTATAGATGATAATAACACATACCAAGAAGTTAATATCACCTTCTACAGTTAGATATATTAGCTACTAGATGATTATATTGCAGGAAATAAATCATCATCATGCGGAAGAGGTATAATTATGTGGATATTTTACCAGAGACCAAGCTAAGATAGCATTATAATGCTATGATAGCATGTTATGATAGCATCAAAGAACTGGATAGTTGGCAATGACCTTTGCGTTCTTCCGAACGAGCTGGTCGATATACACCTGCAGAAGTGCGACCAACCAAATGAAAATTGGTCGCTTATGAAATGCAAAGTGATTCACGAATTAGGTAGGCTACATACACAGAAAGTATAATTCACTATAGAAGAGGAACTACAGATGCTAGACACTGGTTTGTCGCAGAAAGAAACCAGGGACAGATTTGTAAGTCATTGACATGAATTGAATAATTTGTTACTATTACAGATGGCAATGGTCACTAGGTTATCAGGTGACGATCCAAAGACGTCCATGCGTTTTATTCTGTCGCATCTGCTGACACCGGAGGTTGCCAGTAAATTCACGTTACTTGGCACCTCTTCTAAACGAGCACTACATAAATGCACGTTTTACAGCTGCATACGAAGTAACCTATATCTATTACTTAAACTTCAGGTGCCTTAACTCATCGTTTTTGTCATCCTCTGTAAATGAGAAAGACCTCGGTAAGCTATACGACATAGCGACACAAGGTTACTTTCACGACCTCCGAGACAAGATGATAAAACGAAATAGAAGAAAAGAAAATCAGGTACGTACTAATTTAAAGTGATAACCTCCCTACGGCTCTATAGTTACAGTCAACAATACTGACGAACATAACCGTAAGTTCAGCTTCAAGTATTTGGTTGTGCAAAAGCATGTCATTGAGATATGGTTGTGACTATTTTTTTGTTTTTTTTTTAAATTCAGAATTCACAGGACGACTACCCCAATTGTGATTAGTCCGTGCAATTGCTTTGATGTTGTACCTCCATTTCAATAAACATTATTCTTTCAAACAGCTTACTGTTTTACCTACATGGGAAACTGTTGAATTGTTGAGAATGTGTGTTTGAGTTTAAGTGAACTATTGATTTAATGCACATTTCTTATGAATACATTATAACGTGTTCGTTCTTTTTCAGATAATTTCAAATAACAATGTATTACCAATTGCATTGGATATGCATAACAATCGATGCTTCAGCTTGTGCTCTTCTGTTGTACAATAATACGCTTTTATTTTTCAATAAAATTTTTGAAATATTAACCGCTTTTCCACTGCATTGCAGATATATTTTGGTCTGTTGTTGACAATGAAGGCGAACATAGGTGACCTTTGGGGTTCTGTTGATGGATAGAAAATAGTAGGTAACGTGTGTATTTAGGCGAAAAGTAGACATTTAGGCGCATAAGTAGGCAATTCGGCGGATATTTAGGCGAAAATGCGACAATTCAGCGGATATTTAGGCGAAAATGCGACAATTCAGCGGATATTTAGGCGAAAATGCGACAATTCAGCGGATATTTAGGCGAAAGTGCGACAATTCGGCGGATATTTAGGCGAAAATGCGACAATTCAGCGGATATTTAGGCGAAAATGCGACAATTCAGCGGATATTTAGGCGAAAATGCGACAATTCAGCGGATATTTAGGCGAAAATGCGACAATTTAGCGGATATTTAGGCGATAAGTCCGTAATTTGTCGACAAAAAGGCGAAAAAGGGGAAAATCCGCATTATTTCCCCCGGACAGGCGAAAAAGGCGACATTCTGATGCGTTTTCCCCTATATTTCCCCTTTTGCTACCATAGCATTTACCCCTTTATTTCCCCTTTTTCCCCCTTTATTTCCCCTTTTTGTGTTGCTTGGGTACTACCTCTTGTGTAGATCTACACAAGTATTTGGCTGTACCAAAGCATGCCATTGAGATATGGTTGTGACTTTTTTTCTTTTTTTAATTCAGAATTCACGGGACGACCACCTCATTTCTCAATAGCCGTGCAATTGTTTTGATGTTCTACCTATAGGTAGAAATGTATACATTTCAATAAACATTATTTCTCAAACACCTTACATTCTTACTTACATGGGAAACTTTAGAAGTGTTGAGAATGTGTGTTTGAGTGTCAGTGAACTTTTGATTGAATGCACATTCCTTATAAATAATACATCACATGTTCCTTCTTTTGCAGATAATTTAAAATAACAATGAATTAGCAATTGCATTGGATATACAAAAAAATCGATGCTTAAGCTTCTGCTCTAGTGTTGTACAATAATACGCTTTACTTTTTAAATAAAATTTTTCAAAAATATGCCGGTTTTCCACTTCATTGCAGATTTGTTTTGGTCTGTTGTTGAAAATAAAGGCGAACATAGGAGACCTTTGGGGTTATGTCAGTGGATGGAAAATAGGGAGTTCTGTGTGTATTTAGGCGAAAAGTAGACAATTCAGCGGACATTTAGGCGAAAAGTGAGTAATTTATCGACAAAACGGCGACATTCTGATGCGTTTTCCCCTTTCGCTACCAAAGCATTTACCCCTTTATTTTCCCTTTTTGGGTTGTCTGGGGAGCTACAATGTTTTGGCTGCTGATATTATTGCAAAAATACCTGATAGCAGAAATAAGTACTGATATAAAGCTGTCACGAGAAAGCACTGAAAAGTACGACTCGATAGTCAAGATATCTTGATCTAAGGTGACCAGATTGTGTGAGATCCTATGTGATGATCTTCGGAAATCAACCAAGGCCTGTCTAGCTTACGTGCTGATGCCGTAAATGACAATTACTCATAACTTACGTGGGACTAGAATGGAATATGCATCAAGAATTGCAGGTTACACAGGACGATTCAAAGTAAATTCACACAGTAGTCTTTATATATGTTCATCGTCTAAGTTTCCGAAGTGCAACCTGTCGAAAGAATTAAATAATACAATCCGTGTATATTGTGACCCAGATTTTCCTAAGCAACGCAAGAGATAAATGAAATAAGCGTGATTGACTATCCAAAGGGGGGTGTGATAAATGCACTTTCGATCTGTAATTGAATACTGGTTTCCGTTTTTATACTCGTTTCTGGTAAACATTTATACTGAAATAACTTTCCTGTCTATCTTATTTCCAGCTAGCTTCGCAAGTGTTCACAGACCTAACGGGAACAATTCCTCAGAAATAGAAGTTATTTATTAATGGATCACTTGTGCTAGATTCAAACTTTAATAAACGTTTTCATTCATAACGCACCAATCTTTTAATTAGGGCAATTCGTATCTATCGTGACAGGTCGAAATTCGAACTACTAATATGGTACACCATGTTCAAGGTAGCAGTATTTGGTAAACGGTATGTATGACTAATCGCGTGTGCGCCAAACTGGTAATTATTACACAAGAACACGAAACAACATCACTGTCTTACAGCCACATAGGACTGCACAGTACACTCCCTGCCGTTACGCTATAAGAATAAGTCAATGGCCATATAAGTGAATATATGTAAAACTAAAAAGATTACAATATCAGGACTTCTTGTTATCAAGAAGCATAGCTATGGTCTGCATTAACAATGGATTCTGACGTTGTACCTTCATCATTAGCACCGATTGAACTCATCACTTGTGCGCACATGTCTTACGATGCTTCGAGGCATAAACGGATGAGTTTACTTGCCGAAGGTTCACTAAGAGCATGGATTGAGTGGTAGTTGCTAGTGAACTTCTCTAGCAGATCATCACTCCCTGTAGAGATTGAGATGTCCAGCGCACGAAGAACCAGGTCCATTATATACTTTCTTGTCCACCGGTTGCTATGTCGAAATAAGTCTACAAAACTTATAGAGATAAAGGAACACACATACCTCTACGAATCAGATCTTTAGAATGTGCATACAAAATATGACATCTTCGCGTCGTTCTTGACTGCAAAGAGCATACATAACAGTGTGCCCTTGCCCAAGACTATCAGTCACCATTAGCTGGAAAAGTGGAAAACTTTCAGATAAATTTATTACTAATCGTTACTTACCCGACTTTATTGGTCTGATAAGTCGAATCAATACATATTACCTTCGGGAACGCGTGGTAAACAGCTATTTGCTTTCTGCGGCTGAAGCAAATCATAGACATGTTCCCATTTTCATTGAATACTTTAACTTCAGTATTTGCTTGAACGCGCTGTAAAATGTCATTGATATTTTTAGTGTCTAAACTCAATTAATTACAATGTGAGTTCAACAACCTGGGTACAACTGTGAACGCATTCTGGCGATATCGTCCTTGGTAAGCTGTTTATTGAACTTCCAAGAAACCAGATACCGTAAGCTACGAGTTGGTGTATTACTCAGTAGAAACGTTCTTAAATACAAGCGTTCACTTGAGGTCAACTGTCGTTTCGATGGATCGACAGAAATATATCGTTCTGTGCAAGGATGGTTGTGCACGGTTTTAATAGAGGTGAGTTTCAACTCACCATTTACTGCCCGGACCCAAAATCCTGATTGACAATGGCAATATTTCGACCTGAAGGATAAATTCATTTGAAGTAAGGCATACGTAGATGACCGACGTCGTCTCCTTTGCCTAGGTTGTGTTGGCGAGTTAGAAGTTGTATGCTCTTCAGAAGAATGATTATTACTATCATCATCTACATCCTGAACGCAAGCATCTGACTCTGAGGAACTGCGTTTACGTCCATATGTACAGACATATCTCACGAAAAAGTACTTTAGAGTTGGATCATCACTGTTCTTTTTGCATACTGACATAACGTACTTAGTATGCGTATACTAAAAAAATAATTATTAACCACAGAGGTCATATTACCTTATGTACTTCTTTCAATTTTGAGACCTGTTTAAACAGGTCTCAAAATTGTCCCAACTTGTAAATCTTCGAGACAACATAATATCATTGAAGATTCGTCCTATATCATGCATCATCACGATGGAATCGTCTTCGTTACTCGAAGAATGGACGTTATCAGACATAGTGTGGCTGAACTCAATTCAAATCTAAAAATGTCTTGATTTGACCGCTTCTGAAAATTTTCACGAATTGTCGATGTGACGCACCAATCATTTTGCGACAGTTTGACCTTCAAGTGCTCGCAACCCCCAGCAGTGGACGATGCCCTAGGAGCGTTGCCCTGCGCGACATTGAATGTGCATGCTCGTTTCGACTACCAGATTGTCCTAATCTGAAACTTGTGTCATTTCTGATCGTTGTTGATTGCTTTACCTAATAAATGTAGACTCCATGTGTGCTCACCGAATCGTTGGCCTACATTTTCCTGCCCTCCTAACGCTACTCTGCATGCTCTCCTAATACAGAAAGCCGCTTCTGACTTGACGCAAAAAGCTAAAATGCTTTGAAATCTGTTAGTCTGTTGGCTTACAGTTTTTTAACCCTTATGTGCACAACGAACTCTAGCGGTAATTTACAATATAGGGTTTTTACCATCTGCGTTTGGATTAATCCAATGAATTCATTGCGTCCGAACTCTGATAACATCCGTTTGACTTTATGTAGTTTTGAATCTGGTTCGTTAGTATTTGTATATGACGAACGGTTCAAGCGGTAACCTGAGGAGTTATGTCACCAGTTGGTATCAGCTAGTTATTATTTAGGTTATTAATATGTCTAAAGCGGTTTGAGGGCGAAATGTGTGCATTCGTCTGTCTATTTTTCATTTCTTAGTATAATGGCGTCTTTCCTTTGTAACCGACCATATATTCGTTTTTTTTGGGATTTCTCGCGATGTAGGTTGGTCATGACTGCTTATACTCTAATTTGTTTATTCTTCCCAGTTCCTTTATTTTTAAGACCATTATAGGCTTTTGATCTATACTTTTCTGTTCAGCAAAACATCATTAACCTACAGTCTAAGGAGACGGACGCTTGCTGATCATCAAACTTCGAAACTTAGTAATCTTATGTATTCATGCAAGACTTAATTTTACTATGTAAGATTTACGTTCCCCATGTTTATTCATGTGTTCCGTAGGTCACCATCATTGTCGTGCTTAATGTTTAAATACGAAATATCTCAACTGTATTTGTAATGTTTGCACCACCGAAGTACATTTTTAGGGTCTCAAAATTGGAATGTTTTATCACCTGTTTTTAGTAGCTTCGGTACATTTCAAAACGGACTGAGGGAACCTATCACGAAACAGGTATGTTTGGATCCTATCTTTTTTCGTCACGACTGTGAACTTCCCAAACTATTCTTAATATTTCTAGTTAATATCCTTACAAATGCCTCACTCTAAGGTACTCATTACAGAAAAGCATCAAAATACGGTTTATGGACACTGAACATATACAATGTTTTTTCAACACTACTTAGTTTCATTACTATGGTATATCGCTTGTCTAACATTTCTTATAAGTCGTCTTTAAATCCACCATTAGAGGTAACGAAATCCATTGTGACATTCGTAATAGCTTAAAATTTATAAAATGTCTTATTCCAGTTTGGTCGCAATTCAGCCAATGGAAGCTACTAATCTTTTATCAACTTTGGAACTTCTGTGTGCACCCAAGAAGCTTGATCGTGAAAAGGCGAAGATCAGCTGAATAACATATCCCTAACATCTGACGAAGTTAAGTTGGTGTCAAGTTGGATAGAAGAAAAGTTGGAAGGGCTGTCTAATTGGGAAGACGTAAGTAGTTGTTGTTACTAATTTTTGCCAGGTCTTTGGTGGGATCACTGCAGCTATCATCCTACTTCGCAATGCCGATTATCGATCTCTGGTAGATGTTGGTATTGTCGGTAAATTAGAAGATCAAGCAGTTGAATGTCATGATAACCCTGAATTCCGAGTTCGGATAGCTGCAGGTCAACTTATGGGTTCCCTCTGTCGACATGCTGGATTATCTTTGTTTATCCGGTACTTACCCACTGTAATTCAGGGTGTCGTCACTAATTTAGAAAGAAATACTGAAGCCCCTGTATCTGAAGCTGAGTTATCTCTACGAGAACTCAACTTAGCTAAGGTTAGTAAATTCTAACTGCTTTCTTTAATCGCTGATGTTTTTATAGGAATGCAGTACTAATTTGAGCAGCAGTTCTCTATCTATTTTCCATGATACAGCAGGTTGGAAAAACTTGGAAACATGGATGAAGTGTTTACAGGAAATGGTTTCAAATCTTCCATCCAAGGATTTCATTAAAGTGGATAGAACTATTATTTTGGAACTTATTTTTAAAGCTGTTCAGCACGTCAATCGTTTTGTTCGTGAAACAGGTTATGATGTTTTATCAACAATGATTTCTCGTCATTTATGTTACACGGAGCCAGAAGCAAGGGAAGCAACTTATATCAACGTTGCAACTCAACTCGCTAAGGGTTTATCAGATAATTGGAGTCAAGTATGTATATATTTGCCAATTTTCATTGCGTTGACTTCCAAGCTTGTAATCTTTAGTGATGAGAGTTTATTTCTTGAAAAATTTGGATGTTTCAAGTGTAGTTTTGGGCTCCATATTTGTTCAAAGCATGTCATAGATATTTTGACTTTGAGAATTTTAAGTTTCGTACCACCTTTACTAGCTGGAAAATCATTCTCCAACTGATCTGTTGGTAGTAAAGTACTTTCCATGGCTCCATAAAGTTAACGCGGTCTCTGTGGATGCATCTTGTTTCCCAGAAGTTTGAATATCAGCTACTTAGCCTCTGTTCCACACTGTCCACTCTTTGGTTTAACTGGTTTAATATTGTTGCTGATCTTTAAAGGAAAGTGTTACCTAAAAACCTATTTTTAAACGCACTTGTCAACTGAATTGAATTGCTACTTTATGCAAATGCACTTAACTTAAAACTACAAAACCACAAAGTCGTACATCCGTTTAGTTTGTGCAAGACATTTGTTTATAAACTGTGCACTCCCTCAGTGATCCGCAAAATAAAATGTTTAGTTAAAAATTAAGCTTCTTATCAGTTATCGCTGTTTTAATCACGCTGTTTTATTTCTTACAGTAAAAAATGGAAGAGTTTGCTCTACAGCTCTACACTTTCAGATTCAGCTCGAAAACATAAGGTTATGGTTCTGTTTAAAATGAACATAGCAGATTTAGGTATTCCTATATACCCAATGTTTGTTTTGTATGATTTCGGTTATTTCATGTACGAAATTTTGCTATTATTACTCAACCGAAATAGGTTTTCTTAAGTTTTTTGTTTGTGAAATGTACTGCAATTTTAGGTCCGTATGGCCGCTTCCAGAGCAGTACGAACTCTTTTTGAGGTTGATCCTCCCTCTGGATATACGAGAGATGATATTTACCCTATTCTTTTACCAGCTATGTGTTTAAACAGATATTACGTTGCTGAAGGCGTCAGGATTTATAGTCAGGATACTTGGTGTCGTGTTACTCAAGGAGAAGGTCGAAAGTTACTTGGTCAATATTTAGTTCCAGCTGTCGATTATTACATTCAACAAAGTGATGCCGATAATCATGCGGTAAGTTGCCAATCTTTTATGATAACCTTTTGTAATATGTTATAGTGAACTTATTGTTTGTATTTTTATGGTGTCGTTCAATATTACTAAAGCTTCTCCGTTAAAACATCTACATAAGATAATGCACGATCACATATACGTAAGCCAAAAGTGCTCTATTACTTCACAATATGGCTTTATGAAAGAATATTTAGTGGGGAAAAGTTGCGCTTACTCTCATGTCTTAATTCACTGAGGGGTGAACAACTCACAAAATTTATATCCTCTGGTCGCTTATGACATCTGATTACACGTATTTTCATAACGAATATCTTGTATATTTTACTTTAGGAATAGCTGTTTCGGCTTTTTTCTTTGGATATTAATTCATTTGAAGGCTCTCGTCAGTAATTCAGTCGCGTCCATATTGTATCATTGCACGTCGCCTATCACTCAGCTTTCTATTCATTCATTTTGACAACCCAAAAGCATCTTTTTCAACTCCTTAAAGTCTTTCTTATCGAAAGCGTAAAGACTTAGTAAAGCCCTGATTAATGCTGCAATTGGTATGTCCGAAAAGTAAATTGTTACCTGTTCAATAGAATAAGACTGATTTTAGTGCTATATTTCTACCGACAAGACCACGAGTTGTCGTGTCTCAAAATACACGAAAAATAAGGTAAAGTGAATGACCATACTGTGATCTTAGATGCATGTTTCGGAAATACAACATGCATCAATAGCATGAGGTTCTGCTGTCTCAGCTAGTGACACCTATCCTCCTATTGGACATGGGATTCGGGTGTTAAAATCTCTGGCATGTAGTCTGAAGCGCAGTTTCAGGAGAAAGAATAGAATTTATTTAGCTCCAATCGTTAACACTAGTTGTCCATTATGGAGAATTCGAAGACATGTGACAGTTGATAATGGTAATGACAATGGGGTTTAGTTATGAACGAGGTGATGTCGTGCACTATAAAAGGTATGAGGCGAGTTTTCAATCCTCCTTTGCCCACATCGCGGGAAGATATTTCTTCTTGGTAGACCTGAACAGGAAACTGGATTAATGACCTGGGAGCGTGACTACAATGCATATAAGACAACTACTTGTGGCCGGTCACAGTATTTTTGTAGGAAGTATTCGTTATGTTAGCTTGCTACTTCAGAAGTATTTACCGCTGGAAATGGGGGTCTGTAGGGTAAAGTAAGGTGAGGCATTTGACTTGACGCAAAAAAGAATGCACGGCTGTTGATTAATATTTATTTATGTACCAACCATTAAATCCAACACTGATTTAAAACTAAATAGTAAAAAACAACATCCAAATGTACAATATCATATATATCCTTGTAATAGATGAATTTGATCATTAATTAGTGTTAGTTTAGTAAATGTATATTTACAAAATCAATAGATTAACTCCTTCAATTAAGAAATATAGCTAAATTGGTGATTTATATGTTTTCCTTTTTCCTTTTAAAAGAAATCGATCTTGCTCACTCGTAGTAGTATTTATGCTAAAACTCATGAGTAAACTTCTAACGGCTAAATTTACATATGTATTCCTGTTAACATCTCTTCAATGTTGTAAAATGAAGTACACCATATTTTTAAACACTGGTTAATTGATTAATTAAATTTTCACGAATAAAACATTAATTGTATTTAAGTACTTAATCATAGCGATTTCTAAATGCCATTAATTAATAGACGCCTCTTAATAGTGTCCATTTGTTAACAAAGTTATATACAAGGAACCTTGGGAACTCTCTTAGTTCTAAATGAAATAGTAAGATTGAGGTTTTGATATGGCAGTGATTCAATAAGCAATGTTTATTTTTTCCTAAAATGTGACAGGAGTCAAGGTTATGATATTTCTGCATACTTACGAGTAATCTTATTTTCAACATCCCTAAATTATAAGCTTTTGTGGAGTTTAAACTATGGAAAATCTTAGGCCACCATTAAAACCTACAAACCCTGGACGTCTGTTTCGTCCTAGTACGGGGCACCCCATCAGCGCACCCCCACCCCACATCAGGCAATCAAACCCAAAACTCTCAGTCTAACATGTGAACGCCTAACCATCAAACCACCACACCGCTATCCAACTAAAATGGAACGGTCGTCCAGGGTGTCCACGTTTTCATTCGTGGTCTCAGTCAGTCAGTCAGTCAGTCAGTAACAACGTAGAACTTCGTACGTACGTACATCAGTTCGAGTTGCCGCACCACATTGGCACAGAGATGCAGTTGTCGATTCAAATCCCGTAGTGGTAGAGGTCTAGCTAATATTTGTCCGTCCCCCCTGGTACGGATGAGAGTGGAGAGAGTCCTTCCTCCTCCAAATGCTCCCACATGGCCACGCGTATACGACATCTGCCAGGGAAGTCCTACTCACTCTCTTCTCCAGGAGGGGTGTTGTTTATAAAATTGAGAGGACGAAGAGCGGGTTGGTGGGTCCACCTAGGGGAGTTGAAAAACCCGGATTCCAGAACAATATTGCACATGGGCTCCAGGATCCTGAAGGAACAAATGGCGTATAAGCCAACTGTTGGTCATTAACTACCATGGGACTACATCTGACGTTGATCCACTGTCTTATGGATCAGTCCTTTAGGTTGAAGGCTCGGGGGGTGGCCCTCTAGGGAAACCACCTGCTTGGGTCTGAGCACCCGGGCAGTATCACAGTCCACACACAAATCAAGTGACTTGTGTGGCGCATGTGTATTTGGTGCCTCTATGTGCCAGTATTTACGGGTTCAAATAAATAAAATATTTGTTCGTGATTTAAAATCTGAAAATTCTAGTCTTTACAAATAGTAATCATGTGCTCACCGGTGACTGGGTTCTGGATGCAATTGGCGGAGTTATAGTGAAAAGCTGTGACTAGTGGATTTCAACCGTATCGGGTGTGAGACTGTTATGTCAGGTGATTGCTCAATACCGTGAATTGATTGAAGTTAAACGTTAACGCTGTTAAATCCTAGCTCAGTGGTCTAGAGGTTTAACATTTAAACGCGATAACGAAGGTCTTTGGTTCGATCTTCAATAGCGGAATCGTAAATTTACACTTCTGAGTCCCATGCTAGGATAAAACGGTCGTCTAATGCTACCAGGTTTTCAATGGTTGTCTTCACAAGACTGTATACTGATATGAATAGATTTTTTTTGTTCCAATCATTGTTTAAATTTATTAATAGAGTTTAATACAGATTTTATACTTCACTGTAATATTAGTCAATAAACATCTGTTATTCTGTTTCGTGAGCAGATCCACAATCAAGCATTTTCACAGTTTGTACTAAAGATTTCTGATACAGATTTTTGTTTTATATTCAGGTTCGTGAGGCTTCTTGCGCGTCTATGGCTGAGATTGTAACTAAATTAGATCCAAATTTGCTACTACCATGTGTCAGTAAATTGCTGGATGCCTTAATTGTATGCTTTGGAGATGAAAGTTGGCCAGTAAGAGATGCGGCCTGTGTTGCACTTGGTTCATTGATTTCCACCTTTCCTAATGAGACACGCGCGGCTGGCTACGATAATTTAATGGCTACACAATTCTTACGAAACCTTAGTGATAGTATTCCATCAGTCCGTGATGGTGCAGCTAAATCGATTGCTGCGATTTTAAAATCAGTTGGTGATCAAAATTTATTCCAAGTAATTTTTTCTGTTTCTATATTGTGTGTCCATATATTGATGTTTGAATTTTCCGTGATACCTGTTTCTGTTATGTCTGCCAAATGCTGAACTTACTTGTGCTTGGTATTAAAATTTAAAATCCAGCGACGAGTAGTAGTAAGAACACATACTGGTGATAGGAATTTTTTGTCAACCCAAATAAGTCAAACTGTTATCTCATCACATTACTTTTCCTTTGATTTATTTACAGTCATATTAATGACCAGATTTCTATAATTTGAATTGAATAGTATTTAACACCAACTAATCATTAACTTACTATGTGGACACGTATTTACAATATCCTACCGATTGACTTAATTTTACCTTTTTTGATCTGCTGTCATATCATCCTTCCCAGCTGAAACTAGGTCCAACTTCTCGAATACAACTGAAGGCTTTGCACGTAATTTCCGTTCAGTATTTTCAACTTGTAGGGGTGTATTAATATCTTCCGTCCAACTTGTTTGCACTAATCTTATCAAATTTTTTATTTGGTGTAGCAAGTATTTGTATCTTTAGATAAGGGATTGGTGGAGATCGATCAGCTTTTATTTAGTTTTCATCGTAAGCTTATATTAACTGGGGTACTATTAAATACCAAGACACATCCAATCACTTTCTTCCTAGTTTGTGACCCATAAATCTACATACGACCAAACTTTGAATTTTCAGATCTCTCAGCGAGCACGATACCTCTTTGTGCACTAAATGGAAACACAGTATTTCACATTTTCAACTTCATTCAGCGCAACTATCATCCAGTCCCATCAGTGGTATTTGTAAAGTTCTCCATATTTTTAAATTCCGCCACTCATAGTTTCATTTGAAGTACTTTTCATATTTTCCTATCTTTCATCTTGATTGTCTCTTGTGGATATCTCAATTATCTTCAGAATAAATATGTATTTACAAATCTGAGTGTCAAACCACCTGATTGTACTATGGTGCGTAGTTTAGGTTGTTTACTTTGTTTATTGATCTGTCCATGATTTGTTTAACTAGGTCCTAGTGGAGGAACTTGTGCTATCAAACAAGTTATTACTAAGGCAATAACTTATTTGTGGAGGTACGTGAAGGTACGTTTAATTCCCACACAGATATCACCTATATACACTTCTTCTTTAAACGTTTCGGCAATTAGTTACTTATCTAAATCTGCTTAATCGATTTGGGCTACATCTGACGGACATTTTCATCAGGTAAAAATAAGCTGAGATATTAATATTTCTTTAGGACGTTTCGAATATTTAAAGTAGTGTTGAAACTAAGGGCAAATGTTGTAAACAAATGTAAATCAGTTGATATCCGGATGAGTATCTAGTAATTGAATGGACGGGAATATTTACTGTTTGCTCAGTCCATCTTAACATGGGGATTAAAATTAACACAAGGAACTTAACAAAATGTTCGGGTTTTAAATTAGAATATGGTATCAGTGTAAGCTGTCTAAATACCTTTATGTAATGGTCAAAACCGAATTTGATTTTTTGTTTGTAAAAAAGTTTAGTAACATGCTAATCTGCATCATATATTGTTGTTAGGTTTATTTGTTTTCACACTTTGAATTGTCCACCATATTTTCACTAACAGTGGTCTGAATTAGGCAATTAGAATAATTAATAATCTGTTTATTTCATTATCATACCATTGGATATGAATGCGGTTATTTCCGTTTTAATCAATTTTCCCAAGCATTATATCAATCATATCGTAGAGAAAATTGATGGATTAAGCAAACAGCCTAAAGAATCTCATGGTGCAGAATCTAGTCGTGTATCTGGGAAGGGACCAGGAGCATCTCATGTTACTGTTCACAGTGGAGATGCTGCTCATGATAGTCGTCATACTGATCAAGTTATGTACTCCTGTGGATCCTTGGCCCCGAAGCTTCAGAAAGGTATGTTAACTACTCATCACTCTTTGAGATAACTCTTTCTAAGTAAGTCTAATTTTACTGATATCAGTTTTCGATACGATGCCCGAAAATTTGGTTTAACAGACAGGTCTTTATTCGTTTGAGAATAAGTGATCTTTAGGCTAATTTTCCACAGTCATGACATTTTACTGTTCTTTATGTGTTCATATTTTGAATATAGGCATGTTATTTTGTTAGATAAATACCCATTCACTTGGCTAGTAATCTTTTTTTATTTCAAATCATTCGGGGTCTCCAGTCAAGAATTCGTTCTTATGATCAGCTATCCACTTGACCACGTCATTGATCGCGTTAACCTCTCGATAAACATTCTAGCTACCGGAAATTTCATCTGTTCAATCAGTAGTTTTAATATTTTCATACTTATTTATTCACTATCAGATGTATAAGGGCTGATGTCACTTCCCAGTTGCCCACACTGTACAAGTGTATTTCTTGAGGAACCTGAAAAGGAAGTTAAATTACTGTTGGTCTTAACGACCTGGGAGCGTAACCACAGAGCCCAAGGGACAACTACTTGAGGCCGGCCGCGCAAGGCCTTTTTGTGGGAAGTTTTAACGTGTTAACTCTGTTCTTCAAAAGGCCTTACCGCCGAAGATGGGAATCCGTGAGGTAAGGTGAGGTTCTATATTGTTAGGGTCGACCCTTTCTAATCCCGTCCTTCGTTGTGAGAAGGCAGCGTCGCTGTAGATGCTAGTTGCCCGAGGAAAACGTCTTACTTCTGTCACACTCCTCTTCAGTCAGCAGTACGACTTTTCTCAAAAAACAGTAAATCCAGAGAAGGATTTTGTCTTTTTTACCTGCATGTCTTGGTGAGTGTAGTTCAGTAGTTCAGGGGTATTATTCAATCACTGGTAATGAATAACATATTAAATTCATACAGTTTTTTATTCGCTCTAGCACTTAGTTTCTGCATCATGTAATGTCGTTTTAGAAAATAAAAGTACATGAGTACAAGAAATATTTTCCCCATAATAGTAACTAATAGTGTGGTGTGTGCTACTTATATTAACATAAGTAGTATATGACGTTAGTCGTGAACAGAAGGTCTGGCAGCAGAGAGACAAGAGGATCGAACAGTAAAGAATAAAAACAGAATGAAATTTGTATGAATGTGCAAGAACAATGAAGTCTGAGCCATTTTGAGACAGTCGATGGACATTTTGCAAATTAAGCATTTACTTTATTTTAGATTTTATCAACAAGTCCTGTAATTTTGTGTTAAATACATTCGATTGTCCCCACTAGTGTTCTTGTTCACTACAATTGTAATATTATTAAAATTTTTATGATACCATTTACTGTTGAACAAGAACTGTGTTGATAGGTGCATATTTTCTAGCTGCAGCCCGTATGATTATCGAAATGTATGTTTGGAGAATGATTTTCATGCTTGAAATCAACTGCACAAATGTATTTATTATTCATCTTTCTCTAAATCGTATGTTTCATCGTCTTTAAACTATTTTTATATCATAATTTGTTTATTGACATGCGAATGTATTAAATACTAAAGTGATACACATTTGTGATAAATTATAGGCTTGCATGACTAACTGTTATATTTGATTTGTGGAAATTTAACAATCCAGTAATAATTTTATCATAGCTGTTGACAGTTTTGACTTTAAAATTCGTTTTGTTTCCTTGTATATTGTAGGTGGGTATTATTATGGTATTGTGGATCACACGAAAATAGACATTTCAGTTCTAACGGTTCAGATATATTATTCTATATTGTATTTTTATGCTCATCACAATTTAGTCGTTTGACTAAAATTTCTAAACAAATAAATTTTAAGAGTCAATCTTACCATGTTGATATTTTCTCACTATATTTACATACGACTGCAAATATTTCAGGTCGAAAAGGTGGTGGTTGTCATAATGGTCTTCATCAACGTGCCAGTGAACCTTGGGAAGAGGCTGATGGCGCAATTCGCTTGATCGGTCAAATATCAGACAAGTTCCCAAACCGAGTCACTGACGATTTGATTGAGCAACTATTGAAGGGTTGTGAACATCGAAATTATACACATTATCCTTATTTTTTAGAAACTGGTAAGCATAATCTTTAAAACTGTAATTTCAGCTTAACAGTATGCAACTAAAGAACGATGGGTTGGGTGTTTCTGTGCAACAATATCGTTTATAGCTTCAGTTTATTGCATGTAATGAATCATTTTTTCCTAACCTTGAATTCGTCGGATTCCTACATATATTAAAACTCTGACAATTGACAAAGTTCTGATTGTATCCTCTAAAGCAGGTAGTTTTTCAATGTTGATCTAAATAACATTAGGGTTTGCTTCTTGTAGAAGTGAACTACTCTGTGAGCGCTGAGTCAGCCTGTCGTAGTAACCTTGTCTCAGAGAAGTAAACAATCCAGCTCAGAGAAGACAATCAACCAAAAGTATTCATTTGAGATAAAAATGTCTTAGGACAGAATCCTAGAAAATGGATTGTTTTGCTACTATGATTGATCTTACTACAGTGCACAAGTGCTTTATCTATTTTTTATATTTAACGTAATCAATTAAGTATACTTTAAGTTTTGTAACTTAAGCATACAAAATAATTAAGTTCGTGAACATGCACCACGTTATTTAAGTTTTTTCATCTAATTTTTTTACACAAACTCAGTATCGTTTATCTCAATTTTTATTTGTCTTAAAATTGGGAATATGCAGTGTCATTTTTCTTCCTTCTAAAGGTTTGATTTTCTTTTCCAGCTTGCGATGTAATTGTACAGCTGTGTAATCATCTCGAAAAACCTCAATTTAAAAAATATATGGATGCGTTTCTGGAAGTATTGGCAACCGCAGTAGAAAGCAAGTTACCGCTGGCTGTTAATGCTGCATCGGAATGCCTTAAAGCTATAGGAAATCGTTTTGGTCAACCGTGCTACGTGGTCGAATTGAAAGTCACATTAATGCATTTGTTTCTGAAAACCTAGTTGATTTATTACCTCCTGTGTGACACTTGCCATTCTATCCGGTACAACAATTAATGATCAGCGTCACAAACTTTCTTTTATATGTGAATCAACAAATTTTTGTTACTAATCGCTTATAATTTTAAAAATAAAAACCTCAATGTAATTTTGAATACATTTATTCAAAACATGCAATACACTGTGGTATATAATAATTTGTGGTTTTGCATGCGATCAAATACTAGTCTCCTGTATTAGATAGTGTAAAAACTAGTGAATATTCTAAATGTGAGAGTCTACAGTTAGGTAGTCGTACGACTAACAGCTTTCCGTATTTATATCATGCTAGTCTAGTGGAGTTGTGACCCATCAATCACTGGACCAAAAGTTAGGATATTGTAACTTCCGAGTAAATTTGATCAGATAAGTGGTATTACTAGCCCTCACATATTACGTGCTGTTAATGCTATAAGAACTCATGTTTGTCGAATCTCATTTTTAGTTCATTAGTATTTACTAACTAGAGTAAAGTGATTATGAAGCGGTCTAGGTCGTTCTTTCATATGAAAAATAAGTTAGAAGTTAAGGCTTCTGAGTAAAAAACATTAAAGCTGAACTTAAATGATCGCCATATAAATTACTTAGGTAAAATATAATTGGTTTAGACTGAACATGTGTTCAGCTCAACATTCTGGAGAATCGACCTAGTTACTTCAGATCTCATATAGTAAGGGAGATTTGTCCTCTGTTCGTTTGTTTTGATACACTGTTTTAGTCGTTATCTTGCTTTGATCCCAGTCAAATTAGTTCTCAAAAGGTTCTGCGAGACATTTGGATTGGTTCGTTAGAGCGCGTCTCTATTTAGTCATTCACTTTGAAATATTCCGTTTTTGATTAGCATAATTTCTATAAAACGTCTATATGGGTTAGCTATATACAAAATCTTGCGTTCAGTAACTTCTTACACAAGTCAGTTCGAAAAACGACTAAATAATATAAAAAAAAACTAGAAAGTTTGTCTCTTCTTTTACACTTAAAGAATGTCCGTGTCATCCGCTTATATCCATAGACTAGAAAACCATCATTGTGATAAGAAAGTTCGTAGTCAATCATACAACGGGATTCATTGGACATTTTTAAATTTAAATAAAATAAGCGGTGTTGGGCTGAATGCACTTTAAAGACTTTCAAATCGCTTCTAAATATGCAACACTAAAACATTAACAAGCTCCTAAATACAGATTAGTCGATGACTTGCTCAGTACACTCGGCTTGTGATAATATGTGAATTATTTTATCGTGTAGGTTGATAAGTACGGAACAGGTTTAGCTATTTTCCATATACGTAACTTTTCTGTTTTACTTCTGAGTTGGCTAGGTGTGGGTGTAAACCAGTTCCAGGTTATGATATTGCATTTTACAGATTGCGCTCCCTTATAAGAATAGCCAGTTGCAGAAATCCCCAAATGTCGGCATCTTCACCTATTAGGTTCAAACTTTACAAATATGTGGATACACTAAAATGAAAAAAGTTAGAACTAGTAAAGACACTTCCTAACGAAGTCCAACGTGATGAGTACAACTCCATGACATTACCTATTGGTTTCGAGTTAAACGCTGTTTATAAGTTCATCTCCTTTTAATCAGATAAATGATCTAGAATCTGAGGAACTCATTAATACATATTTGAAGCCCACATCATTATGTTGTGCTCCAACTAACACGGATTTGTGATGCTAGAACTAGTTATCTCAAAATAATTCATACCTCAAACTAATACGACTACCAACTAAGACCAGAATACTCCCAAACTATATATCCCAGTATGTCAATTTAACCATAAATTGAAGGACGCCATACTCGAAGCCCATCAAACTACTGTCACGTCCTGTTGCTTTGTTTTATTTACATCAGCCTTCTTAACCTCAGCAAGAGTTGGAGGTTTGACTGCAGTCAAATCTTGTACAATTGAAGTGTAGCGAAAAATAACTCATGTGAGGACTAATTATACTATCCAGTCGCATAAGTTGAGGTAGGTGGGGTGTTTTCCGGACGCCCCAACCACTATGTGGCCACGGAGTGCTGATTGAAGTGTAACTTTAGGCTTACCTCTGTATATTTAACTATGATAAACGTCAAACAGCCTATTTTAATATTCTAGTCAAGCTTCCGTCTGATCGTATCTGCAAAACGATAACAGTGAGCCACACACGAGTTTTTTTGGTACCTAAAACCTGTCTTTACTAACCGCTTCGCTGAATCGAAAGACACCAGCTATACATGTCGGACAGCCAATCACGATGACAGGAAAACGGAACTACAGAGAGAAGGTGGTTGTTATTAGTTATCTTCCAATGACATATAAGTTAAATCGGTCCTGTGTGATAGGAAATCAGTCTTATATCGAGTAGCTTAAAAATAGCGTTTCTGACTGTATCAATGGTCTAAAATAGTTTGAGTCCACGGAAAACAATCGTCTTACCAAATGTTATGACCAAGCTATGATAATGAGCTTCGACCAGCAAGAACAGCTTCTTGATGAATGCTAACAACTATTACAGTGTTTTGTGCAATGTTCGAATTCAACGTGTAAAGCAGGTGATCAACCATTTGTATTAAAAAACAAACGAGTATGTATTTACAATTTTTCAAAATATGCTCATAATACAATTTTACATCGTTTCATTATTTCAAAAAGTCGTTTAGAACAATTAAGAGGTATGTAAATTTATTCATTTACTGAGAATTATGGGCGCAAATTTCAACGGGGTTAGACGTACTAGAATACAAGGGTAGTATATTTGTAGACTCCGTGGCGCTAAGAGCCTTCCTCAGGAACTGTAAACATTCTAGTTTTTCGATTGATCTGATATCTTGTTGTGGGATTTTTGGAATGGATAGTTCTAGAATGTTTAAAATCGGTTCTAGTAAATCTCTTTGTTCTCTAACGCAAACTTCGAATTCCACATCTTGTTTCGCCAAACATTGCATAACATTCCACATAAAATCCCTGATTTTGAAAAAAATAAAAATAAGTAAACCTCAGTATACTATCAGAATACCAGTGACAAGGTAACAGATATTCATCATTAAAACAAGGTGATAAATCCGTCTGGAGCTCTCCTAGGGTTAGTGTCAGTCCAAAGCCGTGGTAGAAAAGTTGGGCATAGGGTTAGCAACCTTATCTTGTAGAGATAAACCTTGATGAAAAAAACGCTAATCAAGAAAATCATCTAAACCATCTGAACTGGGAGTTGGAGGACCTTCATTTGGAAGACTGACGATGCCTTGTGGTGAAAGCCGAGATTCTTCGGAAACCATGAACCAGATGCCCCTTCTGACAATCAGAGTAATAATTAGCATAGGTACACGGAATGTCTGCACAATGTGGGAGACGGCGAAGACCGTTCAAAGAGCCGTGAAAAGGTACAACGTAGACACAAGCTGGACAGAAAAGACTAGCTTCGGGACAGTTATCGTTGTGATCTGGTTACGTACAAAAAAATTTCTAGCATACTTAAAGAGTTGCACTGATGTTGCCCAAAGAAGCATGAAAAACACTTGTAGGATGGGAACCTTACGGCTAGAAGAAGGAAGGGAATACGATGAATGTCATCCAGTGCTACTTGCACACCAATGCGAGTAGTGGAGATTATAAAGATCAGTTTAATGAGGCTGCAACCCACCGTAAAGAACTATCCGGGAAAAAACGACCATTCTGAAGGGAGATCTAGATGCCAAAGTCAAAATGGATAATAATACTGTGTATGACGACACCATGGGACAAAATGAACTGGAAGGAAGGAACGAAAATGGTGAGAGATTTGCAAATTTATATCCCTTTAATGAAATGGCTATGGGTGGAATCATATTCCCCCACAAATGCATATACAAGGCCACATGGAAAAAGATGTTGGAGGTGGATAGAACACATTTTACTGAAATCCCCAAACCGCATCACGAGGCAAACGCTAACCTCGAATCTTCAAGGCAAAAGAAAAAGAGGGAGACCAAAGAAATCATTGAGCCGGAAATCGGAGGCAGACATCAAAAGGGTAAGTGATACTTTGTAAAAACTGTAAAGGAAAGGTCAGGACAAAGTTGGTTGGAGAATCCTGGTGAGAGGCCTATGCTCAACAACTGGTAACAAGCGTATGTAAAACTAACGTGACATATCAGGTTCATACAATTTGGATGACAGCTTAATTACATCTGTTACTGCCCTAGGTTTAAAAGTTATCCGTTATGCACTGGACTAAAAAAAACATCGTTTTATTTTCTATGGTGGTTCAAAATACATAATAACTATCCAAGTCTTTTCAGGTAATTCATATTCACAAACCAGTGAATAAATTTCCATCTATACAAAACTCTACATCATAAATGAGTGTATTAATTTACTTCATAATAATCACAAGACATGATGGTATAAATATATTTTAAAATCTATTATCTATTATCCTTCTAAAAGTCATTGCAAAGAATTTAAAACTAACGAAAGTCTATTTGAAATCAGAATTACACAGGGATAATCAATTGGAATTTACTCTAATACAATTCCAGTATAAAGTTGAACTTTCTAATAAAACAATCACTATTAAAAATACACATTTAATAAGATGAAATAGAATAATGAACTTACAGTTGTATAAAATCATCTTCTTTCCATAAAATATATAATCCTTTTAACGCCCATTCCCATGTAATCATTTTATGATTTTCAGCATAACTAAACCAATCATATAATGTGTTAATTAATTTTGTTTTCCATGTTAAGTATTCTTCACGATTAATTTTATTATCATTATTATATTCAGTAGATAATTCATCAAAAATTGGAAAACATAATTTTGTACTTTCAATGATCATAAATTTAACAAGTTGGTCATACTGTTTCATAATTGATTGATCAATTTTTATTCCACTCACATCATGAGATCTAGTAGTTGTAGAAACATCATTCATTGGTTTTATTAAATTATCTAACCTTTTTAAAGTATTTATTATATTCATAGACATATCTAATGCATTCTTTGGATTAATAGTAGCCCATTTGCACACTATAAGCGTTATCCGTTCAATGGTGCTTGGAGAAACATATAAATAGTGAGAGAATTCAATGTTTAACAAATCATTTAATATTCTGCATAGGTGACTATATACGGTTAATTTTATTGAATGGATAGTTTGTTGATATGTCTTTTTGTTTAAAGGGATCTTTAGTTTCGGTAAAGTATAACTATCGCATAATCTCAATATTCTGTTATAATTTTTTGTTAAAACTATCAGTAAACTGTTTGATGATAATATCACATCAAAATACTGACAATAAGTTGTATTATAACGTTGGATTAATTGATCAAATTCACTTATATCACATTCATGAAATTGAATCATTAATCTACAATAATTATACATATAAGTTCGTTTCATTCGACTATTAGGCAATAAAAATGTTCTATCTTCATGATGAATTAATAAATTATGGATTTTTTGACCTAATTCTACATTTAATTCATTCATTGCACATTTGATTGCTATTGGAAAAAACGTATAATCATCCATTGTCCATGCATCAAAACGTTGAGGTGAACCGCCTATACCAGAATTATTATTATTAAAATAGATTTCTACTTCATTTAATAATTCATTCAATAGATTAGAACAAGTATAGGATGAATGATCAGTATGATAATTTATGAAATTATTATTATTATTCTGTTTATTTATTGTCGATGTGGAAGATCGATTTACAGGTGCTGGTGTTTCATGAATTAATAACAACAAATTAGCTAATGTACCAAGTTCAGGTTTAAAATTTAATCGTCTTAATTCATTTAATAAGCCTAAACCTATTGAGACATAATTTCCATCAGATAAATGTAATGTTGGCGACGTCGAATATTTCATTTTAGCACTTGCATATGCTAGTGTATAAAGAATATTGGTAAAAATTGAAATATTTATTGGATCTCCACATGTTTTCACATGTTCTAAAATATCCAAAATTACATTCCACAGATTTTCTTCACCTCTCATTACAACGGTTAATTGATGTAGAGAACGAATTAATTGATTATATGCGGCTAGATCAAGATATTTATCGTCATTTTTTGATTCCCATACAAGTTTAGTCAATTCGAAAGCACGATCAGCATTACCGAATCTAGCTGCACCACGAATCATACTTCGATAACCTGCTGGAGTGTTGAGAATGTTAAATTCTTTATGAAACAATTTTTCTGCAGGTGAATCTAAATTCCAATTATTAGACTCTCCTACTAATGATATGGAGTCCCCTGTAAACTCATAGTTGATTTCATCATCTGTTATATTTTCCGACTCGTTTTGATTGGTTATTATTTGTTTGTCATGATTATATCTAGGAGTAAAATCAAAACGATGAGTCATATAGATTTCATCTGGATCCGGAAGATTACTCCAATTATAATTATTTAATAATACATGGGAATGAGATCCACCTCGACCACCATTTGTAACACATAAAAGGTCAAGCAAGCGATGCAAAGTATTCGATGTCCATTTGTAATCCTAATATATACACACAAAATATAAATAACATGAGAACTATACGGGAAATTATAACACGAAAAAGCAAATAACCTCATAGTATAATGATTTCAAAAAATATTTAATTAGAACTTACTTTTTAAGTTACTAATTTATTTACTATAGTTGTATATATGAAATTCGCTAAATTGGTATAACTGCTAAACCTGTGCTAGATCAACACTCAAAGACTATTGTTAGTATGATACTTTAACCTTACTATATTAATATACCTTATACTCTTTCATTATTATAGTAACAGATATTTGTAGACATACCACCGACATGTTTGTTTTTTAAAACTGACTTATAAACATTTTAATCAAACGATTTGGCAATCTGATATATATATATATATATATATATATATATATATATATTGGAGATCTTTGTGTCGTAACAGAATCTATCCTAATGCGAAAACACTTGGAAGAAATACATCAAATGAAATTCATGCTTTAAAAATGAATAGCCGTAACTTGGAAAGGAATCTTCTTCAGAGACAATATTCCGTTAAAAACCTGTCTTCAGAGCTTCAGTCAATGTTTACCGACTATGTGGAAAAAATTTCCAAGAACAGAGCTGAGAAGACGATGACAAAACAAGTGAAAACTTTGGAAAACCAAAAACCAGAAAAAGAACTTCCTTTCGACCCGAAAGGAATGGATAGTGGCTAACAGTGAAATTTAGGACATACTTTTCGTCCTATTTTGCATTCATCACCTGGGTTCATTGGCATTCTCGTGTTCATGTTCGCATTAAAACACAAACTCAACACCATATGCTTTGAACGCTTAACAATTTGTTTACTGCACTACTGAATCGAAATAGTTGCAGGTTTTTACAGAAGGGATGAGTTTTACTATTTACTTGTAAGGGCTTGTATCCTTTCATTGTTGATGTCAAGGAGTGAAAATCAACGACAGGAAGGTTCAAACTTTATAAATAAATTATGTATATTAATTTTGTTGATATGATATACACGCTTACAGGAGCTATCTCATTATATAATTTCCACGAATGTTTAGGAGCAAGAAGTAAAATCAACCGATCCATAGCTTCATCATTGCTTAATGATCCTTCAACAGCACGTTTTAAAATATTATCTGGAGTTTGTATAGGTATCCATCGCTTAATATGTGGAGCCTGAAAAAGGAGAGAATACAAATTTAGAAGTGAATTAGTTCAGCTGATACAATGAAACTCAAATTACGGAGAGCAGAACTTGTAAATATTTTCCTAACAAAAAAACTAATAAAGAACTGAAATATTTATTTTTATTCAACATTACAACAAAAATTACCAATAGTTTACTAGAATTATGATAAATAACAATACTTCAGAATGTTTAAAATAAATTAATGAGTAAACCTCTGACCTGGTGGCGAAATAGATGAAAATTTACCATCGACTGAGTATAACCAAAAGAATCACAGTTCAAGGATACACTACATTTAAACTACGATACATTGTTGATGCTAGTTTTAATATATAAACCATAGATTCTATAAAATACAAATACTCATCAAGTTTATCTTTTGTGAAATTACTAGAAATAGGAATGAAAAAATCATCTTACTTACTTCTGTACTTAAAGCTGTAATATCATTCGGAAAAAAATCTCTGGCAGATACTCTTGCAGCTAAACGACCTTTAGCTTTTGATAACATACAAAGACGTGTTTTTGAGGTCGACAAACAACTAAAATCTGGACCTAAATGAAAATTTGGAGCTTCTGGAACAGGTTGCACACATGAAATTAATGCGCGTATAACAGAAGTAGAATTCCTGTACCGTTTCAAAGGTGGGTTCACATCGGGTGAATTATTTTCTTCCTTCAATTTTAAGGATGACAACTTGGAAAAATATGTTTTAAATAGTAAATTTCTTGTGATTGATGATGCATGAGTTACGCAAGAGTAACGTAACATATCTGTGTACCTATAGAGAAACAAATACAATAGGGTGATGTGTAATAAAGAATCGGATATATTAGTGAATGAATGTCTGCAAACAAAGATACATGTTCTCATTTACTCGACTACGTAAAGGCAGTTCAAGAGCTACACAACCCAACAATTTACACAGTTGATTAACTGATGAATGATTATATTTACTTTATTCAGAACAGTAAAACAATGTTACACTATCGTCGTTGGACATCAAGCTAATTCGTATTATTTTATTCGACAAATTGTAATCATCTAAATGTTTGTACCTAAAATAATGTACAGAATCATGGTGTTATAATTAGAAATTTGGAGAAAAAATAACTCCACATGATGAGTTGCTATTACACTACGGTATAGTACACCTTGAAAAATCCTCGCTCTACAAATAACCTGCTAACAGATGATTCACGTGAGGTTGTAATAATTAATTACTGAATTAATTTACAATCATATAACAATTAGTATCAACAATGCTTCTTCAAAACAACACACCATTGTTGGGATGTGTTGTGAAAATTAGTTTGGATTTTTAATCGTATTCATCACATATTGGCCTATGCAGGAATCCTCGAAACAAAATGAAGTATATTATAATCATTAAGTTCTAGTATAATGACATTGTCCTTTTTGGGTTTTAACTAACTACTAGTAAATCGCAGGTTGTATTAAGACGGAAGATGGTAATTCAACGCTAATTGTTCATCGATGGGAAAAACAAACCATAGCAAATAAATAATCAGCACGTTCAATGTATTATTTTAGGATTCAACCGAAAACTTTTTTGCGAACTGTATATCTGAGAAGCACCAAACTAATGAGTTATGATGATTAAGTATTCTACACTCTTTACTGATTCTTTGAACTAATGATCATTTCCTAAGAAAAAAAACAACTAAATTAATTAATTCTTTAGAAGTGTATACCTTGTTACAGGAATTTATTTCCAAAACATACAAAACAAATATTTAAGAACAGGATTCTCAAAATCATCATAACAGTTAAACTGATAAGCAGTTGTTTTAATAATAATAATAATAATGACAGTGAAAATATCTAGAACACGTTATAAAAATATGTTTGACAAAGAACAAGGAATAACGATAACCATCTTAGCAGTATAAACAATGAAATGCACAAACAGAAAAATGTGCATATTATTATTTTGATGCATATCATCATTTTCCTCTTAATGAATGAGAACGTAAATTAGGACCAGAATTCATTCTATTCAGGCGCATAGCAATTGAACGTGTCATACGAATATTTTGATCAAGACTACCTTGTGTAGTGTTAACAGTATTAGTAATTGTTGCACTTAATGTTGTTGTGGTATGATCATCGGTTTTTAATTTTCCACTTAATAATGGAATAGATCGAGCAGTCTGTTTAACTTGAGATTGAAATTTTACATCCGTTGATGGATAATCAACAGAGTTATGTTTGAATTTTGTTCCTGTCACTGTTGTTGGAGATGTTGATATTATGTCAACTGAAGGTGTTGTTGTAATAGAACATGTCAATGATACATTTGTGTTAGAATCCTTGTTTATGTCTTTTAGATTAACATTTATTATTGGTTGAGAATTTGATGTTACTGTAGGTGATTCATTTGATGAATAGAATGATTTGGTTATTAAAGGAGATAATTCTGATGATTCCGATCTTATAGTTAATTGATTTTTAGAAGCATTTCGTGTTGTACGCCGTAATGATTTAGAACTAGTAATGTTTGTTAACGGTTCTGTATCGCTGGAAGATTCAGATATTGTAGTATTAATCGATGATTGTTCTAACTTATTTGACACTATAATTAGAAAAAACATGTATGTATACATAAATAAGGATAAAAAAATCATCGGACCAAACAGAATAGAATAAATTAAGAAATATCTGTAAATTAACAATTATGCATGAAAAATTTATATTGTAAGAGATCATTTTTAAGTGACTAGAAAAAATAAAAAAGTAGTAATTACTAATTGTATGGAAGAATTAGAAGGTAGCTAGTAGTCACTGAAAGTTAGTGAACATTAGACACCTATCATTAGTATGCTTTTGACGGTCATCCTATGTCCGGAAATACAATTTCATATAAAGTTAAAATAAGAGCATTTAAAATCCTGTGATAAATACGTTATAGTTGGTTCACTTAATAAAAATCCAATGATTAGGGTTTTCTATATTCGACTAGTTGGTAAACAAAGACTGACTGAAGCTAAACTTGTAACCCACTGGAACCCAGTTGCGATTTTGAGGTTGGGGGTTTGAGCATGAGACCGAAAATCCTGGATCCAATCCTCAGTGACCAGTCATGAATGCGTATTGACAAGAAGTCCCACATTAGGACAAAAACAGCTGTCCGGTGCTTCTAGATCTTTAGTGGTTGTCTAACTTGGATTGGTTCGTGATTTCAATAAAGTAGTTGGTAATACGTAGTTTGAACATTTACGTGATAAATATACATCTTTATTTAATCTTAGCTTAGTTGATCACCCAAGTTATAGTTTCGGGACTAATGAACACTGGATTACTTTCAAAGTGGTTAACTTGAAAACAAATATTCAATTTTGCCTACATTTATATTACCTTAAACACATCATGTGTTATTAGTATCCACAAAATATATATGATTTACAGTTTAATACACAAAAGTAATTTCATCTGGTTATTGATCTGTGCTTACCACTCCTTCAATAACACATACCATTACTATTGTACAACCTTTTGGGGTTTTTCCAATACAGAAATCATATAAGTAAATGATACTTTCTAATCATTTTAACAGATAAGCCTACTCATTTTTTGTGACAATATAAATCCGTTTACAGAATAATTAGCTTTACTAACGAAATCATGAAACAGATTCAAGAGAGTTATATAATTATTGAGATATCGGTCAATCTATTAGACTGATCATTCAAAAAAGACTCGTTTTTATCCGACTAGAAGATTATGAAAATTACTCTTAAAAGGGGAAACATCTAGTTAGATCAAAGAGCTTTGAAAACTTCACTGAATGATAATATAAACTAGCTGTTCAGACTACGTCAAACTGGGCAACTTACAAACTAAAGAGTAGCTGTTCAACGAAGAATACATTGTGCTAGGAATTGGAATGAGACAGCAAAAGCATGCTCTACGAGGGGTAACAGGAGTAAGCAAGGAAGAAAACTACCACACACACACCATAAAGTGTAGCCAGAAAAATAATAAACATTTAGTTGGTAGACAAACTAAACTAATTAATTTAATACGATACAGATGGATATCTACTTACTAACTTGACCAATTAATATGGACATAAAATACCAAAATTTCACATTAGGAAATAATTATGGAACACAGTCAACAAATTAATCTCCACATGATTTTCCTGAAAATATCTTCCCTAAAATTTGATTACCTGAACGCATATCTTTTTCATCTGACCAGCATTTATTAAACCAAAACTTCGAAGTCCGATCAATATAATGGATAAACATGTACAAATGTCGATGAATTATAGCACGTCGACAAGGTGTTAACTGCATACCATCCAGTAATGTAGGAAGGATAGCTACAAGATAATGTTTCAGTAATACAAAACAAAACTTACGATCATTCAAACTAACAATAGCCGAATAAAAAAAACGCAAGGAACATTAATAAAAAAATCTGGATCCATTTATAGTACACAGAACTAAGTAGTTGAGATTTTCGTTCATATTTTGGCTTACATGAAAAGCTTGAGTATAAAAGTGAAGAAGTTTGGTTCTGGTAGATGAAATGTGTATTGTGATTTAAATGTAATTAAGACAGATAATCATCAATTTTATCATACAAATAATAACATTAATGTAACTCAATAGTTAAGTACAAATAAGTATATCCCCTTTTGAGCTGAACATTATATACAAAGATTAGTGACGTTACTCAGTTGCATAAACAGAAGCTAGTTGGAGTCGATATGAAAAATTAAGACTAAAATATACATACAGTAGGATTTGAAAGAAATTGAAAACTTGATAATAACTGTCATACGAGAGGATCTACAATGATTCAAATATTCTAAGTACATGGCATGAACCAACACATAAAATGGATGCTAATATGGATTAACTGCACGAAATTAACTATTTATTATGTTTTGTTTTTCAATGTTAGTTTTTTTAACTCTATTTTCTGCTATACAAATAGTTATTACAGCAGTTTTGACTGTTCCTGATTAATTCTTTTTCTTGTGTTAATTCAAAGTGTAGAAATTAAACTGATACAAAACTTATTTGATTTTATGGTATTCACTGTAGTTGAACAAAGAAGCTCGAGTTCTAAACCTTGATAAATATGGGTTGGAGAACAAATATTGTGTCTGTAATTTAACAAGACATAAGAATTATTAGAAGATAAATTGTAACTCTCAAATGGAGCGAACACAATCTTTTAGATTAGACAAGACTATTGGACAGATTTGTTCAGCAATAGAATATAACACTTTAAACGTTGGATAAGCCGTATCAATCACCAATCAGTTACGCAGAATCAAATCATGAGATAATAGTATCAAATGTTGATACTACTTCTACTATTACCAACACTACAAATTCATCTTGTGATCTTAAACGCGTAAAAATCATGTCACGCAAGTTCTTAATGACTCTATGCAAAACTAACAAAGATACATCAACACAACCACCACTAACATCAACAATAACGGTACAACTATGGAAATAAGAGTAAATGAAACCGAAATAACATGGAATTCCTTTTGAAGGAAATTCATACAGTAAATGCAACTACAATTGTTGAGCATATATACTGGAGTGTCGATAGGTGACTGAAAGTTGAACAAACAAATCATATAATATTATTACATGTAAACCCATGTTTTAAATAACCAAAACTACGAGACAAAAAAATTAATCAATTTACAGAAAACCTACTGATTAGTCTTAAAAGGTAGTAAGGAGGATAATTTAAACAGGGCAATCGTGGATTTTTTATAACTTCTGAATTTGGAAGCAATTCATATCGAGGTGAAGAGAATCGATAAATAGAATGAATATCGTTTGGTCCGTGGTGATAATTTACACTGAATGCTCGACCATCTTCAAACAAGTGACCATTGAAACTAATATAGTACAGAAGTAAAAAGTAGTGAAAATGTCACATAGAAAAAGATAAATTTTGTACAATAAAACGACTTAGAGACAAGTACCAAAACCATGAGGATCATTTACCTCTAAGTACGTTATATTTCAATGTAAACATTAATCACGTTATATACGGACGGAAAATAAATGAATGCAACAGCCAGGAATTATTTATGGACCGTTATATATATACTTATTGTATATTGACTATTATTATACGGTTTACTATTCTTAAGATATTCCTAATTTATTAGTAACAGTCTCTCACAATCGCAGCCACTTTTGGGCTTGGTCTCGTATAATTGTTATTTTCTATTTCATGTTATGATGCGATCTTGTTTGTTTGTATATAAACCCAGTATCACTGAAATATATGATTCGTATAGCGGAGGCTGACACTGGCGTTCTGGTTTGAACAGGCTGGATTAGGAGAGAAGTAACTATCTCAGAGGACCAATAGGAACCGTATGTTGCTCGACCTAGTCTATGCGTCGTTAGTCGGAACGTATAAGTCGGTATAAATTGACGATCTTATCACGTGATACATAAATCTGGGTATAAGGGCATAAAAAATCAGTTTACATAAACAAAGTATGAAAGAAGTCATTGATTACAAGTTATGTACCCATACTACGTGAGAGCACTTTCTACGATTGGATACCAAGGACTTTTATGTGTTCCTTATATTCTCCTCCTATTTTAAATTTAACATTTTCAACTTATAATAAATATTGACCTATTTTTCTTATAAATTGTTCGAAATTACCAGGTGAAACAGAAAGAGATTCCTAAAATTTGTAATCTAAATAACCTTATATTACCACTCAATGGATGTATAATTTTTACTGTAAAATTATTGTATTTTAATGTACGATTTGATGAGACCCTAGCGAAAAATATATTTTTTCTCAGTTAGATGTTATTACAATTATCATAACTTTTCAATATCAAATAAAATAGTATAAACTTATGACGAATGCATTGAGTTGCATTGAATTTTTCTTATCAAACTCATAGAAGACCACAATTACTACTTATTACGAAATTCATGTTAGTGATGTATACATGATATATTTAATTCAGAGAGAAAACGGATATGACACAACTGACTGATGTCTAAGCGCTTAATGCTTAGCTTATAATTTAGCTTTTATAAAATGAGTTGTTTAAACAAAAGCGTACATCCTATAAATAATTTAATATAAGACAAAACTTTATCAACTTCAAAGTGTAACAACAGTTACTTTAAGTAGGAAAATATGACCACAAAAAATGGATAATCTTCCAAACAATAAAAAGCTGTGGTTACAGCGATACTTTAAAACGTCATCAATATTGTCTAACCATCTCCAAAATAATAGATTGTATATTCCAATGACAGTCGAGACAATGAAAATAAGTACAGCCTAGGCTTAGGTATGAACTTGTTTATGAATTCATCAGCTTTTTACAGCGTATATGACATCGTCCCGCAATCAATTCACAAAAGTTTACTTACACTTACTTGTTGAGAGTGAAATTTCATTTACTCATTGAATAATATCAAGTCAATGCTCACAATACTGAGCACCTACTTTTGTAATAAGTTCCCGAAAACCTTTGAATTTAACCGGATCATTTAAAAATAGAAGCCTAGAGTAAAATAATGTGTTAAGATTATGAGATTTAATACATTAGAATAAAATGAATCCGAATTATTAAAAAAACTTACTCGTTTGTAAAATATAATTTTTCATTAGGAAGTAGTAGATAGCTTTTTACGGTAAAATCAAACAGTATGCGTAGGCTAGAACAAACCTCTGCACAAATTAACCGGTTTCGATCAGTTAGTGAGAATAAAGGGTTCATGATACGTGAAACGCGATCTGAAATGATTCCTTTGAAATGAATAAAATCAAGAAAAGCTCCCATAATCTATCATATTGAAGCTTAAAGTGAAAAAAATTTTTTTTCAATTATTGAACAGCGTAATAGTCAAAGACGGATATATTATTCGACTAACGGACTTTTTTGCAAAATTGAAACATCGAAAGACTACAATAAGCCTGTAAAGTTACAGTATATGTTTAATAAAAATGGTAAATAAATAACATAATCCAGCAATGAAGTTCAGGTTTGTTTACTTTTTTTAAAACTGTACTTATTAACAGGGCTTGTGTCACTGCTATAGTACGGGTTTAACCCAACATACAGCTTGAAAGTAAAATAAGAGTCAACAACCAGGAAAACCAAAGCGCGACACATAACAACTACTACCAATACGGACTTGTAATTTATTTCTGCTTACATAAACTGGAATGAAAAATTACAATAAGTGGAGATTAAAAAAGAATGTATATTTCCTTTTAAGTTATTGTTACTCGGTAGTTTAAATAACAAACTTTTACCCATCATATCAAACGTTCAAACTTCAATACAACTATTTCGACTTAGGTAATACGTTTTAACAAACAAAATATACAGCTTTTTCTAATAGTAATTGAATCACGCCATGTTTCATTTAATTGAAATAGTATTACATTATCTTTATCAGAAACAACGCTATCTTCCAATAAATGACTCACCAGTTCACGAAACCGATCAAAATGTTAACTTACCACTTGAGGAACTACTACATCCAAGCAGAGCACTGATATTCAACCCACTGTATGGGAATCCATCAACATACTTTTGGAGCACTTGAAGAACCGAACACCAATACTGAAATGTCTTGGACACATCCGTTCCCACATCACTAGCATCGGTATGACATTTCAATATATCTCGAAGGTTTTGGGGGAGATCTAAAGAAACCATATAAGGTTTGTGTATCTAATATAAAAGTTTCTAATTTGCATGAATTTACCTGAAGCTGCTCAAACTGTAATTGTGTGATTTCCTCTTGATCTAGAATGGATGAAAGAACTGGATCCAAAAGAGGAATATTATCATCAAACGATGTGGAACTGATCAATGTTTTCCCCCTACTGCTATCACTTGAGAGAGAACTATGATAAGATTTTTTTGATTTGGATCCTTTCCAAACGCCAGGAACTGTTTCCCAATCAATATCATCACCACTTAAAGCTGCACCCTCCAGAATCATATCGATACGTTGTTTACGCTGATGTCTTCCATGTACCTTAACAAGAATAACAGGATTACGGAAAAGTTACATTTTGGGCAACTTCATCAATTTTTCTTTTTAATACTCGGTTGAATTCATTGTTTTCAAGAAGCAAATCTTCTGGGACTTCACGGTCCCATTTACACTTCCAACCGTGAAAATGAACACAGTAATGGGGAACTTCTGTATCTCTACGAGAAACATGTTTTAAGATCTGGATCAAGATATCAAATGAAAAATCAAATATATTACCTTTGCAAAATAAATTAGCTTAGCCTTAGAACTGTCAGGTTCGAAACACAACAGCTTTTGCCCAATATCATAACGATGTGGACGACTGTCCATATTAATACAAGTAGTCTGCCATACAAATCCAGGAATTTTATGTAGGGACTGTAGATTAACGAAAATAGCAATGATAGACAAATCACAAAAATATATGGTGACTAAAATAAAACATTGCACTTGTTACAATCTCACACAACTACGAATATGGTTTACGATGTGATTAGGAGTGAAAGTACTGAACTATGGTACTTTCAATTTATTATCTTTTACAAACCGAAACACCCTATGAATAATATATAGAACAACCTAATAAATGGCGTGAACACATACTTAAAAATGGATGTTTTTAGAATATATATTTAGCTACCTTTAAGCCAAAAGTTGCTGCCGACGGCCTTCAAAATTTAAGTGTAGTTAAAACTATATTTTATCAACCATTCAGGAGACAGGGAATGTCGGATGCTGAAAATTTCATCCAGCTAACTGACCAGAGAAGTACTTCGGAGACTTAGTTTGCGATCAAGGGTTTCAAAGAATAGCAACTACGATAATTAAAGTACAATACAACCTTTTGTAACTCCAAACGCTCAGATGTAGTAATGGTGTCAGTTGGTTATAATGGCCAGGTAGGGAGTTTAAGCCAAATAAGAGGGCACTTAGATAGATCTTAAGGTGTTACAGCTTACCGAACAGACAACAACGAAAGACTGTAGCAATTATGTTCGGATAACCGTTTGTTTCTAGCAAACACCAACTTTTACCATAAGGGAAGATATGTTTGCCTGTCCCACTGGACACAGAAGTGAAAATATTTTGGGAAGAGACGGGACCATTATTCAATCCTAATGCATGAGATTAAGGCTATATTAGCATTGCCCAGTGGTCGTCCATAAATTATATTCTCACTAACAAAATCTATAGAAAGAGATCGCAACTTTAGTAACACAGTACATTAATATCCAATGTCACCATTCTCATTCAAGTGAAGAATTTCGAGGATGATATATACCGTCAGAACTGAAAAAAATACTACCGTCCCGTTCCCAAACACTAAAAGGGAGAACACGTACAACTCACCTATCGCCATGTAGCACCACCTGTGTAAATCGCGGTTACGAAATCCAACATCTAAGGTTGTTTAGGTTTCGGCTGCAGCAGTTTGGTTCAAATGGTTCAAATGGTTGTGGACGAAATAGAAGAGGCTTTCGCTTACCAGGCTTCCGTGTCTAGTAGCAGGGATCATCAAAACCTCCAGGCAGAGACCTAGTTATGTTAACAATAAAAGAGGAAAAAGAAACTGGTAAATCATGGTATGATACTATCCTTAATTCTTAAGAATAGATCAAGTGGCCTTTTAAAGGACCCCTGGGAAGTCGCTTGGACAAGCTTGGCTGGCAGAAAATTCCAGCATTCGACAACTCTTAAGGAGCAGAAGTTGTGTCTACAGTCCGTTCTGCTATGTTGTATCTCCAATTTCTGTGTGTTACCCCTCAGGTTAGTGTTAGAACTAAGCTTAAGTAGGTGTTTAAGAGGATGTCCAGGATTGTTAAGGATACTGTAGGCCATTGGAAGGTCAGTCTTGACACGCGTATACTCTAATGGGTAAAGGTCAAGTGAGTGAAGGCGATCTTCATAAGGTTTAAATTTGAGTCGTCGGACTGATTTCGTGGCTCGCCGTTAGATACGCTCCAGAGTGCCCCTACCTTTTGGAGTAAGGGAGGGAATACTATGTTTCCGTACTCTTAATGGGGACGGGTGAAAATATTGAAGGTTACATGGAAAGTTCTTCCGTCAAACTGATCAAAAAATGCTCTTCCATATCACCGGTGCAAGGTTTGCTCGGAAGGCATTTTTTGTCACAGTTAGCGTAAGGCTTTAAATCGTAGGGTACCAACACTCCTAAATCTTTTTCGACTCAGGATACTACTAAGCGGCGTCGCCAGGATTGAGGCTGCTTCCCTCAGTATAGTAGAATGGACCATATCCGGGCCAGGAGAAGTGTCTATTCTTAAGTGCTGCAGATTCCGGAACACCAAGTCAGCGCTCAGGTTCACTTCGGAAAGTCTTTCGAAGTTGCAGATGAAGCTGCCATCAGTATATTTGATGTGGGTCGGTTGAAATGTCCGAGAGTATTGTTCAGCCAAAAGGTTAGCGGCGTCGCCGTCGTTGTTGGTCGGACTGTTAAGACCTAGCAGTTGGTAAACTCCAGTTTTACCTTGACGAAGGAGGGTTAATTAAATATCTATGAGGTTGAAGCACTAATGTGCTTTTTCTTTTAACCATAAATTCGTAGTATCACACTTATGTCATTTCATTAGGCTGACTACATTGATAATGCAATGAAGAAGCTTGAACGAGAAGAGATTAGTTGAAAATAATGTAAAGACAAGATGATAAATGTATTGTTGTAAACAAATCTCCAAAACAAGTAATTCTGTGAGTCTCCGACACCGATTGTGACCTCGTTAGATTCATCAGAGCAACCGTATTTGAAAGAGGTTCATCAGGCGCTCGCTACAGAATATTTTTAGGTAGCAACTCAACGGATTCATCAGAACAAATAGTCAGCTTAGTTTGTCTACTCGAGGTATTTACTATTTTCCATATATATATATATATATATATATATATATATATATATATTAAAGCTTCCTCCATTCGTGAATTCTAGTTCGACCAGCGTTAAAGTATTTGGTCGGGAAGATATCAGAAAGAACAGCATTGTCGAGCGCTGAATCTACGTGACATATTCAAATTGGTAGTGTTGATTACGACAAACCCTACAGACTTCACTTATAAGTATAGCAGGTTGAGTGATTTGTATTTATAATTGCAGCCTGATTTCCAGGGAGATCCAGCTTCTCTGTGAACGCATTCACTGATCGGTCTGAACCAAATTGAGATTTGTCGATCACGGTCTTTGAAGCATCTTCTCATAGACTCTGAGGTATGTTATTACTTAAATCATTATTTAAGATATGGAATATCAATACGAGGTCACATTATATTCTACGGTAGAATGAAAGGAAAAGTTTGAAAAGTTGCCATCTCTAGTTCTAAGAAAGCTTGGAAAGTCCTTACTATAACTTAATACTTACACGTTGAACATTACTGTGTTAGCTGCCCTAATCGAATATGAACCAGATGCATGAATACAATGTTCTAAGTAGGTTTCTTGGCGAGCCAGAAGAAGAACCTAATCAGGATATGACATTACGTGTATGATATTCAAAATTCGTTGAAACATTTGGACGCTCCGTGACTATACAACCTGTGGCTACTATTGTATTTCAATTCGCATCCGATTCCCAGGCACGACTACTATAACGTTAAGGTCTGTTCGTCCTTGCAGGAGTGGGGGGGTGTTCTACTGACAATCCACTTGTTACCTTCACGGTGTTCACTATGCATCAACACACTCATTATAGAAATAATTTCAAATCCCGAAATCGCGACCATTTAAGTAGTTGATTTGGATCAATCTAAAGATGATGTTGGTTACCCCCACTAATTATTAGTCTCTGAACTTTAAGGCCATCTGCCAATACTAGTATCGCCAACATGAATAATTTCGGTAATTTATCGAAGTAGTGAAATAATATGGTAGGCCCAAAATGTTACCTTAGAGGACAATTCTTTTGACCAGTTTCAATTCAAGTACTGTTACACTCCCTGTCTTCGGACACAAAGGAAGTTTTTTATCCAGAACGTACGGTATCTGTTATGCGAATGCTCGAGAGCTTATGTTAAGTTCATGTCCGAAATTGCAACAGAAGCCACAAAGAATACTTTTTTCCCCCGTTCTATGATCTGTTTTAAATGAACTTGTCATTCCACAACGAATGTGTAATAAAAAATAAACTGGAACTTTCGTCAGAAAAACGCAAAGGTAAATAGCGCGATGTTTGGTGTTCGGTACTGTACAGACTTGTAGTTCAGTATGCCTTTCCTACTTCATGCTAAAGGAGACTTTACAGAGCTTCTATGTGTTAACGTGAGTCTTAAACGGGAACTGGCGTAAACTTTATTAATACTTGTATATTGCGAAATGATTTTATATACATATATGACTTTCTTGAATTTCGATTTTAATTTTTCACGTAATCAAACTAGTCATCAGTGTCAACTTCTCATTACGTTTTACAACAATGGTGCATTTAGATAAAAAAAATGTATTCCTGTGAATGGTGATGTATAGGTAATTTGCTTTGGAGTTTAGGAATAACACAACTTATAAGTGTAGACGTTACATTTTTGCAGGTTAAGTAAATAAAACGTGGTTGGGTTGCGTAATTTCGTTCAAACTTTTATGAATTCCTCTATTCGTCTATCTAAACAGTCACGAAACCTCGTTCAACACTTATTCTTAATTCACCGCGAAATAATAGCGTTTGATTTGTGATAAAATCAGGTTTACAGAAATTTATGGTATTAAGTACAAATATAGCACTATGATTGATTTTGTGTATTGCAAGTCATGATCTTTAAACAAGATCGGTAATTGCATTTCCATTTGGATTTGGGGATGAAAAATCCCCATTATTTTCAATTGTTTGCGTGGAACAGAAATGCAGTGTACTTACAAGTTCAGAGCATTTTGCATGGTACTTTAAATCAAGTATTCATAACATGGGATATATTTAATTTCTGGGTTGATGTTCCAGATTTTAAGTGGTATTGTTTAGGGTTGGCCATAAAGTAGTATAAATAAATTTTACAATTGTAATTATTAACAGAGCAGTTCACTGCAGATGACCTTCACATAACGGCATTTTTCTGAGGCACAAATAAATATATAATGAATTTGTCCATTGCCTTATATACTGATGTTGTTAGATATACTACACTTCCATTTTATTTCAGTTTCGTATAGGTTATGCATGAATTTTCAACACCCGAGTTAAAAACTCTGTGATCTTTCTGATAGAAATAATTCTACGAAACCAATTGCAGTATATCGACGTCTAGAGTTGTTCTCAGTGTTGTCATGAAGCAAAGGCATTCAGTAGGTATGATTTGAGAAATGCTGTTCATTTTGTAATTTCTAACTCAGCCGCCCTCAAAAAGGTCAAGAAAAATATAAAAAAACACTTTAACGATCAAGATGCTTCTGAACTCTACAAAGTGTTGTCGAAAAAATTGTTCGGGAACTTGGTAGAGGTAATTCTAGGAACCTATTCTATATTTTTATGGTTTGAGTTGTTTCAATGAATGTGTGTTTAATTTTTTCATTTTGACTTTATATCAATGGGAGATAGTGACTGTAAAATTAGAAAATGCTTTAGTGAATTGATTTGTAATATTCGACTAGAGACTCGTATCTCATCATATTCACGCAGAATTTTGTTATTGTATCTGAATGACTGTATAATAAAAAGTTACACGAACATGTTTTGCATTAACTCAGCTTTTCCTTATCACGATTGGTGAAATACAGTTTTGTTGTGAGGTATCGAGCAATTTTTTAATGATTATCTATATTGCGCTAACTGCCTAAACTATAACCTATCTTCCGTATAGTCACAGTTCACAGCTTTGTTCATACTACTCAGTATTGTTAGACTGTTCGTAAGTTTAATTTATATGATTTAGTGTTTATAGTTTGCTACATGAACCTTTAAATAACCGTTATATTATTTTTTAGGAAAGAATCCGTTTGTACATGTTAGAAAGTCGAAAAATAGGTCATGTAAATCCTGCATTTAGACCAACATTAACGACTGTCCACAGTATTTCCAATTTTCTAACTCTACAATATGTTTTAACTCATATCAACTATTATATCAACTTACAACTGTCATAGCGTGATGTTAAGATTTGCTTTAGTCATACAATTAGTGCCTAATGGACCGTCTATTTAGCTGCTTTTATTTATAATTGAGAGAGGCCTTCAATTTTTTAAAATTGTTTGTGTTGATAACTATTCGGCTTGTTATTTTGCCAATTTATTTATTCAGTGTAAATTACTTACAAAGTATACGTGTATGCACTCTTGTGTGCGAGAATTTAGGAAACTACATGGATGTTCAAACTAGAGTTGTTGAAGCAAACTTCGAACTTGGGGCCTGTCGATTATAATAAAGCTGTAGCAATTCGGGATAAGGCCTTACTTTTTGACTTCAGAAGTTATCTAGTAATTACAAAATCACAGATCAGAATCTATTTTACTGAGTTAGGTTAGGTAATAAGGCAGTATCTCGAAATTTTTACTGTAACTAATATGTGAATATTAAGTCTCATTCTTATCGGATATTTTTCAAGAGAATGTTCATATCACATATATCACCAAAAAACAAATAAATGTAATTGTTTGTAATCTTGTTTCTGCATCTCGTGCCTAGCTTTGTTTGAGGTTTAATCAAATATTTTAATTCATCTGCCTCCAAGTATTTTCATATTCCTCATGTTTGTGCTCTCTGATAATATCACGATAGTTATTCATGTCGTTTTCAAAACTTAAAATTAGGCTACATTCGTACTTATGTAGTTATACAAATGAACGGAATCATGTCTAATATAGGTATATTATCTGTTTTCTACCAACCTGGACATGTCAAACTGTTTATTTTGCTCGTTAACATATAAGCAGCAAGAGTTTTATGTTTTTAAGCAAACATATGTTTTTGGAAGCCCTAGTAATATCTGTCTTCTAGTTTGGGTTTTTACAAAAGTGGAAAGTTATTTCGCGAAATATATGTGTTTCTCATTACACTGTCAGTAAAAATGATGTTTTATCATTTACCTAAGTATGTAGATTGAATTACTTAACTGACTGGATTAATAAGCTACTTGCTTACTCATATCATAATTTTGGACAAATCGGCTACGTATTTCTGATTATAATGCGTAAAACTGTGTAATACTGACTACTTCGGTTCGCCAACTCTTCGTGTTCCAATATCTGTTCATTTTATTTTTAGTAGATCAAAATATAAATCGGAGTGTGACATTTTACATACCCTTAGTAACAAGAAGTATATAAGTGATTATTGGATATAAAGAATGAAACTGGTGGAATAGCCACCTGGGAATTGTAATGTGCGAATCCTGTCGGCTTAAAATTAAAATCTATTTTTCAGTACTGTTAAAACTAAGACCAATTGGGTACGTATATGTCTTTGAAGTAAAATTAATGGAATTTTTTTTTTTTTACTCCTTAATGTCTTCAGATATATGATCTAATATCTTATCCTTGTGAACAAGTACCGAATGAAGATACAGATCTAAATGCGATTACCAATGACTTAGTAGAAGCACTTTATGATGGTCCATTAACCATTGATCCTTTGGATGTAGAAGCGAATGAATTAATTCAACTACTTAGTTCTCCAGTATGGCGTAGCTTTTCTACTGCATACACTGAAATAACAACCAGTCACTTTGATATGCCTGAATTACCTGAGGTAGCGTATATGACGTCGGGCCTGGGTGGTACTAATACAAATCTAGGAAGTTTTCTAGCCAGCAAAGCATCTAATTTACATGTGGCTGACAGAAGTTTCGGAGATGGTATTATAAAGGATAATCGAAATGGAATCCCCAATGAACTGTATAATTCACGATTAATTATGTACGGTGCTGGTAGTGAAAATGTGTATACTGACTTGAGAAAAAACGAAGCTACACTTACTGGAGGTGGCGATGGTCCAGCATTACCACCTGTAGATGGTGCAGTAAAAATGATCGGGATTCAAAAGAATCATGGTGAAGATTTAGTGAGTTGCTTTTTTATTTAATGGGTTATGAGATGTCGCGTATATGTGATAAATATACAGTCAGTCCGGATATGTGGTTTGAAAGCTTGTATTTATAGGAAATGAAGATGTTTTTAAAATCTAGAGTAATATTAGAATTTCAGAAAGTTAAGAACAAAAATCAATCAATAGGCTAGTGCAGTCGGCAACATTTAGAGATTATATTAGAATGGAGTTCCATGCCAGTTGAAATAAGTAAATTGAATGTCGGTTGATGTATGATGCGTATTGAGACTACATGGCAGTTTGATCACTACCTAATACACCAAATTATTGAAGTTTTATTTGAACATATAAACATTGGTACAAGGAAGCACCAAAACACATATGCACCACACAGTAACAATGAAGTTGTCAAGAGATAGAGAATGTAAAGTGCGTATAATAAATTAAGAACAACGACGAGCAAAAATTAGTGTATGGAAGTGAAGTAATAATAATAATAGTAAATAATGGGAGAAACAGTTCACTTAGCAAAAATATAAACAGGAAGAATTCTTCCAGTTAAAGAAGTTATGTTCACTTATGTAAATAAACTAAAAAAAGTTACAGCAGGATCGTCACTGGCTTTTATTCTGACCCATTTCTGATAACGTCTCTAGCCACTGTGTCACCCTATTTCTAGGACCGCAACCATGTGGTTGTGAAGGACCAAAAGAAGCCAGTCCTGTACATCTTTCATACCACGACACCATATCATACACTGACCACTTCTCCGCTTTTTCCAACCAGTCCCAGCGTCGGCAAATAGTGCACTACGTGAGATTCTCTGGGATGACATTCTCAGAACATGTCCAAGCCACCAAAGTCGACGTTCCTCGCGAGCTAATCCTTCTTGGGATTCGGACAACCTACGAAGTATGACGGTAGTCAATAGTCTGGACGCCATCGGAAGTAGACTTATCCCTGATAGTTGTTGCATAAGTGACATGAACCCTCTTTAAACACAGGGACAACTATCTACTCATTCCACGGTTTTGTAACACTATAAGTGCCAGATGTTTGTAATCTACTCAGTTTCTAAATCAGGTTGCCGCCATCTTTCAAAGTGCCGGATGCAAGTCGTCTGGGTCTGGCGATTTGTGGCGCCTGAAGAGTTAGTTTCTTTGAGGACTTCCGCCCCGTTAGGTGGGTCAGTCGTCACAGACCATGGAGAGCAGGACAGTCTGATCGATGTTTTCGGGACAGCAGGTCAGTTTAACTGCTCCTCGAGAAACTGCGCCCATCGTAGAGTAGGACTTCCCTGACAGTGGCGGTATACGTGTGGCCATGTGAGAGCATTTTGAGAGGGAGAGAGGACTCTCCTCGCCCTCCACCGTACTAGGCCATTTGGAGACGTTAGCCTTTGACTGAATCGGTATTGAAAAACAGGACAACTAGCAAGTAAAATAATTATTTTGTAGTCAAATAGTATACTCATTTGAAAAATACCAAACACCAAAGTACTTATGATCGAATGTTGTTCAACAAGTTAGTGTTTGGCGAATATACTTTTGTTGACAATTCATTCACAAACGGAATCCAAAAGTAACCACTGAGCTTAATTCTTGTTCACCATATTATAAATATTGTTAAATTTAGTAGTCTAAGACATTTGATTGTATGTCAACACTTAGTTCATTTGTTTAGGCAGGTAGCAACATGTGTTATGTACAGCTTATTCACCGAATATTTTCGAACTGTACACAATTTCATATGTACTTTTTTGAACTTTTTCAGAAGATTTTACTGTCCATAACACGCGTTCAGATTAAGTTTTACTTTAATAAGGATACATATACTATTATTGTGTTGTGGAAATTTTTTTTGCATCGATGAATAAATCTTCAGAACATATATTTTCCAACCTTGAATGAAAATATTTATTCTCATTATTTATGGCACCTCTATTTCCTTTTTTTTCATTACTTTTTTCCACATATTTCCGATTAATTTATAAAATTGAGTGGGTTTCATCAATAACTTCTCTTTTGCGATGATTAGTCGATGTCAGCGTGGGAATATGTTCCCTCCAACCTTCAAATTAAATCTATAAGAACTTTCGTTTAAATTTGAACAAGTGGTTTCATAGTAGTTGGGCGCCAAGCTATTATAAGACATAACGCAGGTAGATTATATTTATAAAAATCTCAGCAATTAAACTTCAAGCAGATTCAACGTTTCGATTGGCAATCTGATCCAAGCTCTTTTCAGGGAAATATAATTAATTATCAAAATTATCCTGTTAACCGTATCCTAAACAGGTCTTCCGATCATGTTAACGCCAATGAAAGTAAGTTTTTTCGTACTGCATATGAAACATTTCGTGTGAATAGTTAAGAAAGTTGTGCTATGACAACAGTTGTGTGTTTATGTAAATAGATCTGATGTGAATTAAATAGTTGTATGTTATCTCTCGATAAAAGCATTCCTTTTATAACCGCTATTCTTATCTGACTAGACGTCGAAAGTTTTACTGACATTATTTTGAAGGTTTGTTGCTCAGCGAAATGAACTGATTGTCACTATTTCTTACATCATCAAATAAATATTTTTGTTTTCGCGAATTACCAGATAATCAGCTCTTTTCTGCCTTTTTATAAAATGCTGAAATTTTCATTTAAAAGTTTGATTTTTTTGAAATGTCACATGATATATTGTTTTATTCTATGCAAAATTAAAAATTGTTACAGGGTATCACTGTTATTCAACAACAATATATGTCTGCACATTATGGTTTAGTGAAAGAATTAGTAATTAAACGAATTTTAGCTGCTTCTCATGTTGAACAGCTAGATTTACTACACGTAGGTGATGTGATTCGTGAAGCAAACGGAGTTCCAGTTGATAATCCTGAAGTATTACAAAAAGTATTAAAAAATGCATCTGGAAATGTCACATTGAAAATCATTCCTGGTTACCAATCAACTCCTATTTCTTCACAAGTAAGATTAATAAAGATCAATATATTTTTTCTTTAAAGTTTCACTTTTTTCATTTATTTTATAAAGTTTTATAATAAAAAATGTTCAATTTGTTTATGAGAATTCAGTGGGTTTTTGATTAAATCCAATTTGACTAAACAACTCTTTAATCTATATATTTTTTTTGAATCAAGTAGTATATAACTCGGTATGTATTAGTTATAAAAAGGTATTGAAATAATCATATATACATGTTTTGTAATGTGATTATTTTTCTTTACATTATGCGACCTACAAAAATTTGAGAGTATTTTCAAGTTTGTTTTAAATACAATAAAATCAATCTAAAAATGTGGTAGAGAGAGGGTTGCAAAGGTTTTTGAAGATTTCTGAAAACCAAAACTAATCCTGTTAGTTATTTCACTGTTGAGTAAAAAATATTTAACAAATGTTTTTTAATTGGTAGAATATTTGTGACAAGTTAATCTTCTCTTGATTAAATGCACTGTATTACCATGTTTACGTAAATACTTGACACGGTTGAGTGTAGCTACTTCCCTTGCTATTCGGCTAAGTTGGTAGATTGAACCTTAGTAATCAAGAACAGTATATAGACATAAATTTATCTATGTAATTAAGCAAAGTGATAACATTATGATATTTTTTCTAATTTTACATGCAGAAAATCATTTTTCTATCTTGATTTCATGTTTCTTACCATAAATTAACGAGATGTTAAATATTACCTTAAAGAAACTCATATACAATTGAAACTTTTTATTTCCATTCACTATAATTTGTGAAATTGAGGTCAAGCTAACTCAATAACTAGCTATAACAACTAAAATGTAACAGAATCATTCTTAAGCTGTAAGTATGTTATATCCCGACGAGAATAATGAATGGTAACTGTTGGAATAGGCAGGATTCCGTAAGGATAGATCGTGTACAGACCAAATCGCAACTCTATGGATCATTGTGGAACAATCAATTGAATGGAATTCATCACTCTACATCAACTTCATTGACTACGAAAAGGCATTTGACAGCGTGGAGAGAACAACACTATGAAAACTTCTTCGACACTACGGCGTGCCTCAGAAGATAGTCAATATCATACAGAGTTCATATGATGGATTACACTGCAAAATTGTGCATGGAGGACAGTTGACAAAGTCGTTCGAAGTAAAGACCGGTGTCAGGCAAGGTTGCTTACTCTCACCCTTTCTCTTTCTCCTGGTGATCGACTGGATCATGAAGACGTCAACATCTGAAGGTAAGCACGGGGTACAGTGGACATCTAGGATGCAGTTGGACGATCTAGACTTCGCAGATGATCTGGCCCTTCTATCCCAAACGCAACAACAGATGCAGGAAAAGACGACCAGTGTGGCAGCAGCCTCAGCAGCAGTAGGTCTCAATATACACAAAGGGAAAAGCAGGATTCTCCGATACAACACAGAATGCACCAATCCAATCACAATTGACGGAGAAGATTTGGAAGATGTAAAAACCTTTACGTATTTGGGCAGCATCATTGATGAACAGGGTGGATCTGATGCAGATGTGAAGGCGGATCGGCAAAGCAAGAGCAGCATATTTACAACTGAGGAACATCTGGAACTCAAAGCAACTGTCAACCAACACCAAGGTCAGGATTTTCAATACAAATGTCAAGACAGTTCTACTGTATGGGGCAGAAACCTGGAGAACTACGAAAGTCATCATCCAGAAGATACAAGTGTTTATTAACAATTGTCTACGCAAAATACTTCAGATCCATTGGCCGGACACTATTAGCAACAACGTACTGTGGGAGAGAACAAACCAGATCCCAGCGGAGGAAGAAATCAGGAAGAAGCGCTGGAAGTGGATAGGACACACATTGAGGAAAGCACCCAACTGCGTCACAAGACAAGCCCTCACATGGAATTCTGAAGGCCAAAGGAAAAGAGGAAGACCAAAGAACACATTACGCCGAGAAATGGAAATAGACATGAGAAAAATGAACAAGAATTGGATGGAACTAGAAAAGAAGGCCCAGGACAGAGTGGGTTGGATAATGCTGGTCAGCGGCCTATGCTCCATTGGGAGTAACAGGCGTAAGTAAGTAAGTAACTGTTGGAATCTATTTCTAGGCTAGTACTATACATATATTTTTATTGTATAATTATTAAGTAGCTAAACTATGCATATGCATGTTCCTCTTAATAAAAGCTTTATTTTGATCTATGAACTTTTATTATACGATTTATCATTCTTGAGTTATGCACAGTCTATCAATTACTACCTCCTATATTCACAGCCGCTTTTGGCTAAATCTCGTACAAATTTTATTTCCTATTTTATGGTATGATGTGGTCTGTTTGGTTTGTATATAAACCCAGACTGTTTGAAATACATGATTCATATCTCAAAGGCTGAGATTGGTATTCTGGACATAACAGGTAGATCTAGGCAGGAAACATGACCAATAAGGACTCTAGACTGCTTGTACGGTTTTTTTGTGCCGTTGGTCTGATCGATCAATCACTGTTCTGTAATTGGCGGTATCATTACGTTATAAATTAGTAGGGCACAAAGCCACAAATTATAACAGAATATTAAAAATCAATAATCCTCAAACTATTGAAATCATATTTAATACATTACATTTTCAACCTTCTTCGAGTCATTTTTTACAGTAATTCATGTTAGTGTTATTTTCTTCAATAAATTTGTACTTGATCATTTCTTAAAATAGAGATGTATGTTATCGATTGATATTTGTAACGAGATAATACAAGATCCTATTAGGTATTATTTAAGTTTTTAAATTAACTTATTTATGATAGTAACATAATAATGAAAATTATTTATGAAATTTTATCAAACATCTTCAATCATAATTATGATCTCATTTAAAAATAAGTTTGTTTTAAAAAAATTGTGAGAATTTAATACACATTATCTGTACAATCTATTCATCATATAAGCAAAGATGGATAGTTGCTAGCAGTGGAATCCAGGACGCGCGTTTCGTCCTGTTTGAAACTATTCAGCTGGATGTACCTGCATCTCAGAGTTGATGTTCACTCTGGGACTCGAACTCAGTACCGTTCGCTCCAAACGCCATCGCGTTATCCACTTAGCTACTGAGTCCTGATAGCTACTTGCTTGTGCAATGGGGTGAAATTTAATTCACTTGGTATTGTTTTACTTGAATCTTCCCATTGATGTTTTTAGGACTGAAATTGATCAGTCTCAGTAGCTAAGTGGATAACGCGATGGCGTTTGAAGCGAACGGTACTGAGTTCGAGTCCCTGAGTGAACATCAACTCTGAGATGCAGGTACATCCAGCTGACGAGTCCCGAATATAAAGAAAGGCGCGTCCTGGATTCCACTGCTAGCCACTATCCATCTTTGCTTATAAAGCTTCTAAATTAAGGCAATATCGAGGCATACGCACAGTATGCACATATACCAATAATAGACTGATCAATTTCAGTCCTAAAACATCAATAGGAAGATTCAAGTAAAACAATATCAAGTGAATTATTCATCATATATATGAGAAACTGTATTGATTTTCTTTTTATATTATTGTTCAGAATATTTTTTTTTATTTACACTGTGATTTCACGAAATCAAACATTCAAAAAATTTTCATGAGTGTTCTACAGTTTAGAAAAAATAGGAGGGGAGATGTTTAGTTATTTCAAATTGTTCCACTTTCAAATCATCCATGTTCAATGTTTGAACTTAAAGTTTCAATATTTATTAAATATAATCTAATTCAATTTATTGAATTTTTATAAGTCAGTTGTTTCTTACAGTTTAGTATTGCACTGAAAATAAATTCAGTGCAATGAAATTTCAATTCTTCTTTACAGGGTAGATAGTTATCACTTGATAGATGGTAGTCAATTGAATTATAGTTAAAATACATTGATCATTAACATTATATCATTGTGTTATATTACATATTTTAAAATCTGCTAGGGCTGGCAGTTATTTTTTTTACTCTTACACGTGAATATCAATGTAGATTGCATATCATTCACACAGTATTGTGTTGTTGATAATAAATTTTGATTCAAATGTGATTTAAAATTTGTTAATAAGTATTACAGAGTTCTTGTTAAAAAGCTATATATTTCTTTGATAATTTTGATTTCGATTATTACCCTGAAGAAGTCCAAACAAGTTAGCTGGACGAAACGTTGGAATTAGTTAAATTTCAATCGCTGAGAATATTTCAAATATAATTTTCACATATAATGACTTCTCTATACTCGGCACTCAATTCCTGTCAAACTATTCGTTTTAATCTTGACGAATATTCGTATAAAATATGATGTATTGTTATGAGAAATCACTTAAAATAGTCGTACTGTTTTGTAACGTGATTAATAGTACTTAACTAATATTTCTCAATTGGTCAGCATGGAAATTTATCATCATAATCAAGCGAAATGACAACAATAAGATACATTTGTTTTATTTTTTATCTGTAAAATCAACTTTCGGTCTTGGTTTCATGTTTCTTAGCATAAATTAGGACGATGTCAGTGTCAAATTGTTTATGGTAATTAATAGTCCTTGAACAATACTACTTAATTAACCATGATTCTACGTATGACTTGGTAATTTCTTCGTTAGTTGTAGTATGAAAAGTTTGGTGAATCTGATAGTTGAATAACTTAGATTTGAATGCCAAGTGAAGGTGTACGTTAACTTAAGACAACAGTTATACTCTTAACTCATGGGAAAAACTATTAAGAATTTTTGACAGAAGAAACTGGGTGTCCAGTGACTATTGTTTAGTTATGGCTTTTCATCATATTTAAGAGTCATCAACTAAATAAACTTTTATCGTAGTGTTTGTTTTCTTACTAGGATATAAACTATGTACATAGAGCTTAAACATAGGATCATTACACACTAAGCTACTGGGTCACGATTTCCATCAATTGTTCAAAGGGTTACGTTATATTATTACTTGTAATATTAAGAATATCGAAACTTGAATACAGACATAATCAAACGCGGGAACTGATTTTCACTGTTCAATCTTATTCAAATTATAATCAACAAGTAAATACAAGTAATCTGAAAACGTTTTTTCAAGGAGCCCATATAACAACCGAAATTGATGAATTCAGTTTTGAACATCAACAATGGAAGATAATAATCTCATACACTTAATAATTTTCTATTATTCTGATTACCAATAATTTTGAGATTGATAGTGTTTTAGCTCTAAAACGAATAACCTGTAATGTGCTGCTATACTTTACATTTACTAAAATTATTCAGATTACCCTTTATGGTTATCTTTGATCCCCTTTCGATTTTATTTAACTCTAACTTTTATATTGTTTGAAAATAAGTATTAAAAAAAACTATCCAAATTTGGCAATTTATTCATTATTACTATTATTGTTATTATTTAATGTTCATATTTTTCCCAAGCTTTTTCTTCGAGCTCACTTTTCATATGATCCGAAAAATGATAATTTAATTCCATGCAAAGAAGCTGGTTTAAAATTTTCAGCCGGTTCTGTCCTTCAAGTTCTTAAACAAGAAGATCCTTATTGGTGGCAGGTAAATTGACGGAAAAAAATTATTTTTTAATTAATGGTGATCCTTTTATTTGTCTGTCAGAGAAAATTAAAATATTTCCCGTTCTATGGTCGTCGAAGTGTGGTTGGTATTTATGAAGAGGGTTATGCAAGTTATAAATTTACAATAAATTTATTCGAACTATAATACTGTCAGTAAATATCAGCGTAGCTTATAACGTTTTCGTAATCAACAACCTTGACATAAAGAAGGAATGTGAAGAGTATTTTGAAAATTATCTTACACTGTTTAGTGGATCTATGTAGGAATATGGGTGTGCTGTGTAGGCAAAGAGTAAACTAAGGAAAAAATATATTAAAAACAAAACAACGCGGCAGTTGGTTTAATGTGAAGCAACATGTTATTTTCACTTATGAATAAATTGTTTGAAGCGATGTTGAAAAAAATACAGAAGTCAAAAGAATATTGGAAATTAATAAAGTATATTAGGACATACTTTTAAGGCATTCCTTGGAATAGAAACCGATCCATCTTGATCTGAATGTTATATTAAAACCAACACCCTTATGGGCTTTTATCTTGAAGCCTTCATATTCTCGATTTATGACTGCTATAGAAATAAAATATTCTTCACTTTAACGTGTCAAAAGTTTCATACAACGCGAACATGTTCGTAAATCTATTGATGAAGGCATGGTGAATTCCCGTTTTTAAATTATACAGTTAATTATTTTAGAAAGTATGATAAAAAAAGATTGAGTTTCAAATAAGATAAGATTTTTCCATATATTATATTTAACTGATCATTTTGTGTGTTTGTATTTTTAGGCAAGACATCATAATCAAGATGGTCGTGCTGGTCTAATTCCATCCATAGTACTACAAGAAAGACGTAAAGCCTTTATTCAAAGTGCGCCTAATCCAGAAGAGCTAACTTATAAAATGTTCGCTTGTGGACTTGCAAAACGTAGAAAGAAAAAGGTAAGTAGTTACTAATTGTCTCTCTGTGTATAACACTTATTTGTATGTATGTATTATTTCAATTGCGCTTGGCTAGTTTTATCGATAAGTAATCTATTGATATCGAAGAAATTCGGTTTCATGGTAGTTAACAAGATGTATTTAAACACTGGAGATAAATAAATAGTTCATTGCGGTTCAGACTATCCTTTGTTTTCTTTAAAATCAGAGAAATTACTAGTAAATTACTCAGCTCTCAACTGATCTCTCGTAAGAATAAACGACACAAAATTATCAGTCACTAGAAATTCACCTCGTGTTGTTTTATCTTGTTCAGTAAATTGTGTTATGACAGTGTATGCCTTGAAATATTGATACTATGGTCTAAATAAAACCATTAATACTAACTTTATTACTTAGTCCTATGTCACTTAATTACACGTTCATCAATTTCAGAAAGTCTACTGAGATTTTATTCACTCACTGGCTACTTTAAAGTTAGATTTATCAATCAATATGATAGTTCACTTCAATTCCATTTGTACGCTGTATTCGTGTTATGTCCAACAAGAATAATGAATGGTAACTTTTGGTGTCCATTTATAAACCAATACTAAACGTATATTTCTATTGTATAATTGTTAAGTAACTAAACTATGCATATTCATATTCCTCTTATTATAAGCTTTATTTTGACCCATAAACTATTATTATACATTTTACCATTCTTTAGTTATACCCAGTATATTAATTACTACCTCCTTCATTCACAGCCACATCTGGCTAATTCTTGTACAAATGTTGTTTCATATTTTATTGGTACTTTGTGGTCTGTTTGATTGGTATATGAACTCAGCATGTTTGAAATACAATAATTCATATCGCAGAAGCTCGGATTGGTGTTCTGAACTTAACTGGCTGGGCTAGGCGGAAAGCAGGACCAATCAAGACTCTAGACTGCTCGCACGTGTTTTACGCGTCATTGGTTCGATCGATAAGTCACTGCCTTCTAATCGGCGGTTACAAGTTATAACGATTGGCGACGGGGATGGGATCCCAGGTTTAATATTTTATGTCAGACAAAGTTAACAAGAAAGTTTACCTCAGTTTCAACAGTTTCTGTCCAATAAGTTACAAAAAGGGAATTGTACGAACTCTTTTTAACCCCGCCCGTATACTTTGCTCCAAGGAAAGCCTGGAAGCAGGTACTTGCCTTCATCACAAATTGCCTACGCGATAATGCATATCCAACGAAATTCATAGAGAAGTATGTCAAAACCAATTTACGGGTTAAGCACGATACCGTTGATAAGAAATCCTTCTAATTATATTTGCGCTTTAAAGGAGATGAAGTCATTGGAATGATTAACCACAGGACAGATGCCGCATTACAGGTTGCTCATCCATCAGCAAAACTGACGACGTTATATGAAACGCACTGCCCTCTCAAACAAACAAAATTGAAAGGTCATCTTTTTCTCAGTACCTCCAACTGCATTTACAAATTTATAAGTACGTGCCAAAGCACATACACTGGATGAATATAAAGAATAGTACATGTTCATATTTCTGAGCACATTTCACAGAATTCGAGACTGAGAGGCGTAACTCTTCTAAATAAGTGCACTGACTCAACATTTAATTAATACCGGGCATTCCATTGAAAGCCCTTGATCCTTCAAATTTATCAGCATGCACAAAAGTGCACCTAAGCAAGAGCAATAAAAAAACTCAGATCTGACTTATGTAATAAACTTTTCACTACCTTTGTGAATTATTTTTGTCACTATTTTATTAGTGTTTATTTTGTTATACAGTCTTTCCTTAACTAATTCTGTTAACTTATGTAAATTCTTCATTTCGTATTCACTTATTACGTAACTCATCTTATTAATTCCAGTAATCTTATGTCAACCTTTCATAACCTCTAAAATTATCACACAATTGATCTTATCTGTTTCCAGGCCTCATTTAATTAATGCACCACCCACTCCTTATGTTTTTGAATTACAACACCCAATAACCCCTAACCTGTTTTTGCATATATACACATAGTTATGATTGATAACCGACATTTTAATTCTTTTCGTTCATCTACGTCAATTGTTTCACATAATTTCTTACCTCAATGTTAACCTTCAACACATATATGGTTGTAAGCAGTTGATGAGAAACTACCAAATATAATGAATTCATGTTTTTCTGTATCAATTTTTGTTCCGATTCTAATCTAACAAGAAAGTACTGTTTAAGTGTACTGAATTTCAGAATCCTTCTAATATTGGTGATTGTGAATCCCGATGTAAATATTTCTTTGATTGTTTCGAACGTTATCAGATTTGTAGTTTAGAAAGACAATAGCAAATGATTTTATAGGGGTAGGACTGTCATGTTTTTCATTTGTGATCTGACCCAATGAGCTCAATCATGTAGGGAGTTTAACAATTATCACCAGTGGCACTGGATGACTCTTGCGCAACTAATTGTAAAATAAATTGTAGAGGCGAACCCAGTAGTTTGTAGGTAACTTGCTATCTGAGAGGTGTGAAGACTGTGGGTTCATATTCCGGTTGTAACCATGAGTGCACATCGCTAAAAGGTTTCAATCCAGGATAAAGCAGCTATCCAATGTTCCTTCATTATTAATGGGTGTCGAGGCAATGTCGGTTTATGAAATGAACTATTTAAAAATAAATATGCTCTATTAAGTTCTCAATGCTTGTTTACTGCTAATTTACATGGTAAGAGGAGAATAAATATTATAAGGTAGCAATATATTTTGTAAACAGCAAACACAGGTAACGGAAACAATTATATTCGGAACAAATTAATTGTGGACGGAGGTTATCTAGCTGACAAGCATGGGAAAATAGTTAGGAACCCTTGGGAATTCCTGAAAAAGCCTTTTCTGGGCGGCACAAGGCAGTAAAAACTTTATACAATCAACTTTTAATACAAAGTTTTAGAAAACGATAAATTGTGTCGTATCCTTATCGGATGATCGCCAGTTTTATGAATAAATTTAAGATCTTTTCAGAAGCTTTCAGAGTACCAAGTCTACAGAAATACTTATAAATATCCTTGTTTTCTAACCACAAATTAACCTTACAAGTAAAATTTCTTTTCTCGCTTTCCATTTTTTGTCTTTGTTCAGGATTATTTTGGGAAACTAAGAAGCGATTAGAAATTAGTACCAAGGTTTCAAACATCATAATTATTGACATTTGCACTCCACATAAGCCTTTTTTTCTTTGTATTAATGATTTCAGGGCACTAGTTAAATATAAAAACAATAAATTCTATGGGTAATTTAAAAGATTTCTAGCACATATTATCTTGGATTAAACTCTCTATAAAGTTGATAAATATAGATCGCCATTTTATATGAGTAATCTGATGAACAAAAATGTTCAAGTCAATCATGTGTTTTTTTTATGAATAACTTTCATTATAGGTCACTATACCATTTTGTGCAAGAGATGCTGATAATTATGATACTAAAGATATTGTACTTTATGAAGAAGTTGCTATGGTATCAGGTTTCCAGCGTCCTGTTATTTGTTTAATCGGAGCTCCTGGAGTTGGTCGTCGAAGTTTGCGTAATATGCTTATTCGTGCCAATCGAGAGAGATATGCATCAGCTATTGCACGTAAATTGATTAGGAATTTCATTTTAATATACAACAAGTTATATATTATTTCAACTAAGCTTATTTATTTTAGTTTTTTACCATTCTATGGTATAGAATATCTCAATCAGTCGAGTAATCATAAATATGAATAGATTTCACTGTATTATTATTATTTTATATTATCTTTTCTGTCTTATATCAGTTTATTCAACAGTAATTAATATCATTTTATGAACTCAATATGAATTGAAGCCGGTAAGAGTGTAGTATAGAGATGTTTTTAAAACGACCGAGGCGAATTTTATCCAACTGTTAACCAATAAGAAAACAACTTTTGTAAATGAACAGTTTATGGGGAAAAACACTTATATTAGAAGATGCAAACAGATTTTACATAATTAATAAGTCATTCATATGAATATAGTAGATCCGTCTAATCAAACGCTTATTAAAACCTAGAAAGATTTTTAGGAGTTTGCACATTTTTCCTGGTTAGAGTTAGGATCAGAAGTTAAGAATTAAGATTTGGTTCAGGGTTAATTTGTGTGTTACATATATTCTACCTTCAAGTCCCCTCTCAAAGTAGAATCAGACAGCTGTGTAGCAGGACTCTTTTTTTATATCGAAAATCAATTCTCCATATGTAAGATTCATCTGAAGAATCTCGGTAAACCACCCACGTCAAAGAATTTTTTACTATTTTCTCTTTTATTAAATTACTCCACTCTAAAATTAATTCGTGTTTATTTATTGTTTTATTTCTCTTTATTGACCTTAGATACATCAAAAGAATTAGATGTTGGAGAAGAGGATGATGGTGAATTTATTGTTGAATCGAAAGAGAAAATGGAAATGGATAGTTTGAAAAATAAATATCTTGAAGTAAATTTAAATTTTCGATGTTGAATTAGTTTTATTTATTACATAAATATTACTAAGAATGTTGCTAGATGATTTAAATATGAAATTATAGAAGAGGATATTTCTAAATTAATAATAAAAATAAGTCATTTCTACCAAAGTTGTGCTTGGATTACACAGAAATAAACATTATTTAATTGGATAGAATACAGAGATGAATTTTGTAAGTAATCTTCACATACGTTTTTATATGAAATAAGTCAACTGGTTTAATCAAATATTGGTTTGAATGAATCGTCTATTAAAACAACAAAACCACTTATCAAGCGCAGAAATCATTGGTAATTCACATCTATTATAAGTCTTTTTCTTTTTTTCTTGTTGGATGTCAATATCTTTTGCATACGTATTATAATCAGTATATACGAATAACTTTTTAAATAATAGATATGAAGTGGTAAATGATTTCTTACAGTTTATCTGTATGTTTAATTCAGTGTATACTGCTTATCTACGTTATTGATCTAATTTTCTTCTGAACTGAAAATACATGATAATATATATGTTTTACAATAATGATATAATATTCATCGAGTGGATAGGTCACGTAACAATTACACAATGACATTTAAATTAACATTGAGTAATTGGAAGAAAGAGGATTATTAATATTCAAAGTAATTATTAAATCAAGAAGTTGCTACGTTGCGTAATATATGAAAAAAGAATAAACAGAATTTTTTAATGGATGGTCAATAGGCTGGTAGTTACGTAAGAATCAAGAGATGAATGTTGAGAAGTTATAAAGTTCAAAAGCAACAGAAACAAAATTACAAAAGTTTTAAAAAACAAAAACAAGTGGAAGAAGTATGAAAAATAGTTCTTTTGAAGGAAATCTTATACTGATGGCCAGGGCAGAGAAAGTGGTTGTACGAATCTCTTTTGAATGCAAAGGTCAGGTTTGTTTACCATCGCGATCCATGTTCACAAACCTGACCTTTGCATTCAAAAGAGGTTCGTACAACCACTTTCTCTGCCCTGGCCATCAGTATAAGATTTCCTTCAAAAGAACTATTTTTCATACTTCTTCCACTTGTTTTGTTTTAATAATCAATGTTAATTTAAATGTCATTATGTAACTATTACATAACGTATCCACTCGATGAGTATTCTATCATTATTGTAAATTATATATATATTAGTGTAGAGCCATAATGAAAAACTAATTGAAATGAAATTTCTTCGCTCAATTCGTTCCTTCTTTTATTACCAAATGGCAAAATGGGAATTTTCACTACATGATAATAGTCAGGTTTTCAACAAAAACTATTGAATAACGTTTGAATCTCATTTCGCTGATGGTTCTCATTGTTGAAGAAAAATTACTGGAGATTGGTCATCAGTATTTTATTCAATTTATACAAAAATTGAGGTTGTGGAAAGTCATTTCAGAAAAAAAACTTTACCGTAGATCAATTTTATCTCCATTAGAATATTCTTCATTTATGGCAATACATTTTACCAGTCTTCATTTCCACTGTTTACATTATTTCTGTTAGTAAAGCTCTTCAACTACCTTTCCGTTTCACGTTTTGCTATAATTGTGCCCATGATAAAATTTCTTTGGATTTAGCCCATTTTATCTGGAAAGTGAATCTGCTAAAATCTACAGGAGACCAGATATATTTAAAGTTTGCATTAGCACGTAAAGTCAACAGTCGCCGGGACTTCTCATCCTAGTTCCAGTCTTCATAGCGCTCCCTGAAACGCTTGACCTAGTTAAAAAAACTTTTCTTTTTTACGTTATCTTCATTAACAACTGTCCATCCTGCATGGATTTCTCGAGTGTATTTCAGGTCCCACCAAAATAATTAACCTATTTTTCTTCCCATATCACTCATTTATACATATTTATATTAACTGGTTAGAATGTAGAGAAAAGATCTAAATTATTGTAGCGAAATTTTGTGTCATAACGCAATATCAATAACTAAAGAAAACAATTCTTAAATTCAGTGTTTTAGCGTTGAAATCCTAAGTTGATTTTGTACTTTTACAACTTGTAGTTTACTTTATCCATACTGACATGTTGTAGAACACATTAGGTTTTGTATATACTTAGCTATAAAATAAGATGAATTAAACAATGAGTTCTCTTTTCTGTGAATCCAATTACAAAACTGTACAAATGGGAAATATTTTTGAGCTGAATTACATTGGTCCAACTACCAACATCAATTAATAGTATATCAAATTCGGTACTACTAGTACAAATACTGTCTTCTATGTGTTTAGAAGTAATGAACAACTTACGTACACTTTAAAACAATAAGTATTTGATTATAAAAGAAATTCTGATAGGGTCTGTAACCTTTTATATCATACATTTTAGGAACTTATGGTGAGAACTCTCAGTTTAACTCTTGAATAAAGTAATTCTATGAAAAAGTGATTGTATATCAATACATTCGCTACTTCTATTCATGTATATTTTTCATCTTTTAAATTGAAGTTCGGCGAATATGAAGATAATTTCTATGGTACAAAATATGATAGTATCCGAGAAGTAGTGCAAGCAGGCCGTACATGCTTACTTGATTGTTCGGTACAAGCTGTGTCCAAGTTAAGAAATTCAGAATTTATGCCTTATGTTGTATTTCTTGCTGCTCCATCGGTTAGTTGTATGAAAGCAATGTATGAATATGGCATGAGTATGGGTTTCACTGAGAAATGGAAAAGAGTATGTTTTATTTAAGAATTTAATGATTTCTTTTCCAATTATGATTATGTGTGGATCTGTAAAATTTACTTTTATAAACCTCATTTGTTTAAATTCGTTTAGGATATATGCACAAACAGAGAATATTTGAGTTACATTAATCTACCTAAAGTTAGTTAGTTCTACTACCAATATTTTTGTCTATGTATTAAGAAGTAGTGAACAAATTATACGAACTTTAAAACAACAGAAAGAGAATAATTCAAAACTTTCTGTCTGATGATTGTTTTCTACCAGCACTTGCACATCCCGATAAGCTTCTTTTGCAAACTTGATAACCGTTATCATGTAATGATGGTAACACTTAGCGGTTTGTTTCACACTGTTGTAAAAATATACCAATGCAGTGGTTACACTAGTTGTAACGAGTAATCACAATACAATCAAGATGAAGCAAAGTTCACTTATGTTCAAATAATATTCAGTAGTTAAAAACTTTTGAACAGTCAATTATTGATAACAGCGTTTAGCTTATTTCAAACAACTATGGAGACCGATCATATGCGAGGCCAATAACTGTACACTAATAAAAAAAGTACTTTGCCATGAAATTGAACCGTTTCTTATAAATGTAATCATTAATTGCCCATCTCTTTGGATGTCATAACTCTCAGTTTTTTAATGCTGCACTGTTCGATTTTCACGGACTACAATTATCTAACATTTTGATTTTGAGTCTCAATGGAGAAACTTTATTTGATTATACATAACCATTCTGGTGCAAACTGTTAATTTTAAAGTCTGTCTAAAAATTTTGTGCATAGGAAAATTCCACTTCAAACAATTATTGATAATTTCAACACTATTCTTACATTGTAAACAAAACTTTTTTTAACGTGTGATCCTTTTTAACAATCTGATCATTATATAATCGTAATTTCTACTATGGTTTTTATTTAATGTAACGTTGAACATCACATAAACTCTTGACTTTTGCATAGAAACATAAAAGTCATTAGTTTGATGTTATACCATAATTTTAGCTATTGTCATTATATTTCACCTTCTAAAATATTAGTGTTTTTTTCTAATCAATCAGGATGAAACATTTCGTAAAACACTTGAAACCAGTACCTACATAGAACGTGAATACAATTATCTCATGGATTTAATTTTATTATGTGATAATATTGAAACAACTTTTGAACAATTAAATTATCATTTAAATAATTTACTAACAGAACCACAATGGGTACCAGCTAAATGGCTTTATTAATTGAAGGCAAGATCTAGAAGAGAACATACCACGATTAAACAGTAATCACTCACTATAATTTCGTTGTTTTGCATATCTTAGTTTTAAGATGTTTCATTTTCTTTAATCTAATTCTCGTATTGTTTAATCCTTTGCTTGTATATATCCAAATGTTCATTCGTACTGAAGTGAATAGCTTTTACCTCTAAATTCATTGTTTTTTTTGAAAAAAATGATCCAGGTTTGATTTTACACTTCGTTTATTTTTTACGGTTCAAGTCACGTTCTTTTTTTCTGAAGAAAATTTTTTTTTGTAGTACGCGCTTTTTTTGGTTTGAGACGTTTTAATTAAAAGAGATTGGACATTGAATGTAAAAAATTACCATTTATTGTTTGTAAGAAGTTCTTGAATAGTTTAACAACTGGCAATGTGTTTAGTATAAGCAAACTCGTCGTTATTTATGTACTAAGTTGTTAATTTGTGTGTTCAATTTACATAGAAAATAACAGTACCATTATTTACTAAATTAGATTTAGTGGTTGTCGAATGAAATAAGGATCGTTCGTATGATATCGGTCCATTACAACACAGAAGACATCATGAAATCGTCAATTTACTCACATAGTCTCCATACATTCAAAAGGATAACATTTATGGACTTGAACATTTATTTTAATTAGGTTTTTTAAATTAGTTGTTAGAAAAAAATGTTATACAAATATAATTAATAAACGAACAACGAATTTTGAAAGGATGGAAACCAACCCGTAAAAAAGCATTCATTATCAAATACATTATATCAGTCCCAATTCGATAAACATTTTAATACATTTTAAGGGAATCTAAACAAAAAATGTTCTGGAAGAAGTTTGGAAAAGAAACAAATGACTTTCCCTTAAAAGAAGAACGAGCAATTAAAAGTGATTGTCTTTAGGAAAAGCAATGTTTTCCCAATTCAAGGTCGACGCGTTCGTGAAACCTAAGGAAAAATAGAAGAGATAATAAGGATATTCAAATTTCGATAAATAACGAATAAAAGGATCATATCACTACAACAGTAGAGTATTGAAACAAAATCTGTAAGGTAGGCAGAGCTAGGACATGCTCTGTTTACCGACATTATAGTTGATAGCGTACTCTTATGTCTGATCAGAAACTTGTTATGTATTGCTACTTCATCAGGACACATTCAATACACAGTACTACTACTTCGGGAAATACACAACAAATTCAATCCGTTAATTTACTCTACCCAAATTATGATTCTTATATGAGGTTGTAGATATGGACAAAGTTAGGAAATGAGAGAAAGGCCTAGAAACGTAAAATAAAGAGAAAAAGTAATCAGCATTTTAGAGACCTTCAATTAACCTATGTAAATCTATCCTATTACAAGTAAGAATGAAACCAGACAGACCATCAGACATGTGCAATTTTAATCACATCATCATATTTTCCACGTGTCAGAGTTTGTCTGCATGTAATTCTGAATGATTGCACTAAATGTAAAGTTATATAAACTGAGTCACTTATTATTACACTGACTCATCCGATCAATCCAAACGTATACCATCTAGCACACTTTGTCTGGCTGCTACATACGCTTGCTTGGAATATAATATCGTGTTGTATGAGTGCGATTAGTCTAAATACAATATACGAAATGGAATCTACGATCTTTAATTTGATGATGTCTGCTGCGTTACCATACCAGTCAAAGTAATTTGAGCGAAATTGTATTGATATTTATCTTACTAATTGACACTGATAATTGTCTGTTCTCTTAAGAATCATCATAAACAGTCTGAATATGAACATCTTGTGTAATAACACGTTTGTCTGTAAGCTGATTCGCTTTCGATAATATTGATTAACTTCGATACGTTTTAGCACAAAGAATTCCAAATAATCTAATTCATTTACCAAGTACAAACTCATATACATAGAAACACTGTATTATATGAAAGCTCGTAATATTACTGTACATTTGCTCAAACTGTAGTAAAAAAAATGTCAGGGTTTGGACCTGGTGTTATTGATTGAAAACTAAACGTACGCACTAACTAATCACTCCAGATTATTTTAAAAACATAATCCTACGGAAGCTAAACGGGTGACAACTCAAGTTTAACACACATTAAGGTGTCGGTCAGTAACAACGTAGAACTTCGTACGTAAGTACATCAGTTCGAGTTACCATACCACATGAGCACAGAGATGCAGTTGTCGACTCCAATCCCGCAGTGTTAGAGGTAGTAGGAGTATAAGCAGTTCTGAACTTTGGTCTTAATTGGTGTAGATACAGTTCTGAACTTTGGTCCTAATTGGTGAGAATACTTGCTGCAACGAATTTGGTTGGAATTCGATTTGGCTCATTTGTACCAAGAAGGATGAAGTACAACGGGGACAATCTCGAAGACACAGACGATTAGAGTCCTGAAAATATTATTCCTTCAGTTTCTAAGGTGAATTCACCTATTTCTTTAAATCTTGCTCTTGATAATGTTAAACTTAGCCCCAAAGACGGTTGTTCTGTAGGAGACAACTATGTAGGGACTAGATGCAGTATAGAAGACGAAGTAGTTTCTAGGGAAAAAGAAGTAGAAAAGATTGAGCTGGAGATTAGAGAACCCCAACTCCGCAAGCGATTGTTAGAATTAACTCCGAATTCTTTAAGCAAAGTGAGAAAAAGCGAGTGAGACTACCGAGTCATCGGAGTCTCGATCCAGGGACATAAACCCAGCAGTCACGTCAGGTCGCCGGTACACCAATGAACATTTGAGCGATGAAGTGCAACTCAAAGCACAAGTGGATAGTATCAAGTCACCATTTATGACAGCCAGTTTACCGAAGATAGAGGTCATGAAATTTGATGGAAGTCCTTTGAAATTTTGGACGTTCATAAAAGGACTCAAGACTAACATAGCCCACAGAGTAGATGATGATACTCAGAGATTAATGTACCTGATACATTATTGTGAAGGCACAGCTTAGGATGCTATAGAGCATTGTTTTTTATTACCAGAAGAAGAAGGTTATACTAAAGCAATTAATATTCTACACAAACAGTTCGGCAGACCACATGACATCGTAGAAGCGTTCTTAACAGAATTGTTAGATGGATCACCACTAAATCAAGACGATGTAACGGGGTTACAGAAAGTAACGAGACTCATGACCAACTGTAAGATAGCCTTGTCACAGATGGGCAGAAATGCCGATCTGAATTGTTCGACCAATATAAAACGAATAGTGAAACGACTACCACGAGGTATACAGTTTAAATGAGCGGAAGCCGCAGACGATATTTTAAGTAAGGGGCTAGAGCCCAATCGCCACGAACACTTACGGACAGTTAGCAAGTGGGAGCTACAAAGCTCAAACGACATCGAACAACCGATCTGCTTCTATTAGAGCTAAGATCCATACATTGTCGAGTAAAGGAACAGTTCATTGTGTAATTTGCTCTGATACCCACGAAGTCGTATCTTGCCCACAGCTGCTAGCAGTAAATCACAACGAAAGGTTAGAATTACTGAAGAAGTTTAAGCTTTGCTTTAATTGTTTAAAACCCAATCACCGAGCAACAGACTGCCGACAACCCATGTCGTGTGACATCGATGGATGCAAACGACGTCATCATAGAATTCTTCACGACACAGAACCTGATGTTAAACAAGCACGCTGTAATTCTACTTATTCTACTGGAACGTATTTGGGATTTGTACCAGTCAGGTTACATGGCTCCACAGGACACGTGGATACATATGCATTATTAGATAACGGCTCAGACACGACACTACTGCTTAGTGATGTGGCAAAGCAGGTGGGAATTTCAGGTACAGTGACTCGATTAAACATATCCTCTGTAATTGGAGCGTCATCTCAGAACGCTGAATTTACTAATTTCGAAATTGAATCTTTAGATAAGACTAACCGAATAAGGATCGAAGGTGCATACACTATCGATAACCTACCTGTTAAAAAAGCAGAAATGCCACCGACCGACTTCCAGAAAAGGTGGAAACATTTGAAAGGTGTACGGCTACCTACTATTACATGCGACAGAGTAGGGTTGTTAATTGGAGTTGACGTTCCACAAGCCCACTGATTTCTCGATCAACGTATCGGAAGGCCCCAACAACCTTACGCTTCACTAACCATGTTAGGGTGGGCTTTATTTGGGCCAGCGGGTAAAGTCAGTAAAACCTCAGCCTTCATAAACTGTTTAGAAGCAAAGAGTTCTATCGAGGACGGACCCACGCCGCCCCTTTCTTTGACCACAGTAGCGCCTGAAAACTCTTCAAATCGTTTGTTGCCGTTCATAGATGATCCTGGTTTATGCCTTAAACACTCTCCTGATGTGGCACTCTTAGTCGATGATGATGATGTACGCTCACTCATAGTAGCAGCAGCCGCTGTTGAGACTGAAGATTCCAGGGTTCATCAAGGTTTACCGTCAGTTCGTTCTTCTGGATTTAACACTCCACCTGATTCAAGAAGTAACCGACTTATAGACACCTTTGATTCTGTATCTAAAGCGACAGACGAGAATCTAATGGATTTAGAACAAGTTATTTCATTACCAGCTGTTGACGATGAGTACCTTCTAAAAACTGCCAACGATCGTCATGTCGATACAGTAGTGAATATTGACCTTAGATGTATTTCTCCTCCAGACAAAATTCTTCCAACAGATAGTGGCGAGTTAATGTCATCGAAAACATCTGTTATGTTCTCTGCCGAAACAGATCTCCCTGGTGTTTCTGACGTAAACGATAATGCTAAGTCTGTGATACTACTACACGAGTCATCAATTAGTTGCAAAGCAACAACAACTCAGTTCTCTGCAAATACGAAACTTGTATCTCCTGTAGTGGCGTCTGCTGAGAGTTCTATTGACATCAAGCGTGAAACAGAGAATCAGAAAGATGATTGTTTTATTCAGTCTGCTGATGATGATAAGAAGTTTAAGACAACTACATCCATGTCCCCTTTAGTTGGGTTAGAGAAGCAGATACAACATCCATTACCAGACTTTAAGGATAGTAGAGTAGCTAAAGAAATGACTCATCGGAACATAGAATGGCACCACAACACTCCCTACGCAAATCATCATCGAGTATGGGAAAGATTAATAGGAAGCATACGTAGACTTTTGAGCGCAGTATCTATGTCCTACGAGACACTCACCACCTGTTTGACTGAAGCAGAAAGAATACCTAATGATAGACCACTCTTACAGACGCGAACAAAATGGACACAAGGAAGACGAGATTTACAAGTTCGCGATCCAGTCTTGATTATTGGAGACACTTATGCACGAAATAACTGGCCTAAAGGCCTCGTGGTAAGTTTTGACCCAGGAGGAGATGGTCTATGGAAACAAGCGAAGATCAGAACGTGGAAAGGTACAATTATTAGAGACATACGTAAAATTTGTTTATTAGAAGGAGCTGACGACCGAAAAGTAGAGGATGGAGAGACTTTTCAGAGTGACTGTGGCTAGAGTAAATCGTACCATTGTCACCTCTGAATGTTTTTACGTTAATACCTAATCAGCGAAAGTAAGGAAAGACATGCTGTCTTTGGGGGGGTGTTAAGTTTGTTTTACATTGTTCCTGCTCATTCCTTTTCTACTCTTTTGTATGTTGGTTTATACTACTTATTTATATTCAGTAAGCAGTTGTATGCCCAAATTTTCACAATTATGTTGTAACTCAGGTTGTACTGTAACATTCTGAAATGTTCACATATATCTTTAACGTTTATTTTACTTATCATTGTATTTATCATTATAATCACTGTAATTTAATTACTGTAACGGTTATCCACAGTTTTATGCATTTGTTTAAACGCAACAGTTTCCATATTGTTTGCTCTTGGTTCGAGTTTCGGTTGTTCATAAACTGTTATCAAATTTAGACACAGCTATCGGCTGTCTTTGGACTATCGTATGTTATAATCATTCTTTATGTTACTCTTACAGGAAGCCTTTGCTATTTTCATTCTTGAACGACGCGTTTAAACGCCTAGACACCTCACAAGTTGAGGTTTGTAACTAAATTTTGTGTATTATTTAATAAAGAACCGCTTTTGTAGACAAATCGTTGTTTTGGAACTTCGATTTTGCGCGTATCTCAATCGGGGTTACTTGGAAGCTTCGATAGAATTAACATTATATATATATATATATATACTCTGAATGCTTTTTTAGTTAGTCCTCTGTTTACAAAAATTTCGTAGATCCTCCTGCATTGAGCAGTTTTTGCCAGAACTTGAAATCACTTGCGGTTACCAGTTCAAACACAAAGTCAAACTTCTTGTCTCAACAATAAGTTACTCATTACCGTCAGTCAGTCAGTCAGAAACAACGTAGTACTTCTTACGCACGTACATCAGTTCGAGTTACCATACCACATTAGCACAGAGATGCAGTGGTCGATTCAAATCCCGTGGTGGTAGAGTTAGTAAAGTAAAAGCAGTAATCGAAAAGATTAGGGTTTGAAGATGTTATTCAAAGAGTATAATTCAGTGAAATGAATTTGGAAAGAGAAAACAGGGACACGAAGAATTCAGAAGATTAGAATTTGGCAGAACACAAATAGTGAATGCACCTGTGCCATTGCAAACGATTTTGAGCCATGTCATTCAGGGTCTCTAACCATCGGTTGCCATCATCTCGCGGACCCGAACCAGGTTGTCTACACTTACCAACATGACTCAGTCCACTTGTCAGTGACTTCATGGACTGGCCACCCCTATATTTCTTCCAACCTACTCCTACACCATGAAACATCGCACGTCGAGGCAGTCGGTAGTTGGGCATACGTAACACGTGTCCAAGCCATCTCAGCTGATGAAGTTTTAGTACTTCGTCAATTGATTTGCCATCCTTACCTAGTACCCGTCTCTTAACAACTGCATTACTTACTTGGTGGTCCCAGGATATACGAGCAATGTTTCGAAGACACCTATGATCGAAACATTGCTTGAATATCCTGGGACATTAAGGTGGGAATCCCGGAAAACATAATTCAGTAAATGAGAGTCACTACTAGATAAGCAAACGACGAAATATCATATTTGAGGCTATCACGTACGAATCTGATTAACATGTGATAATTCCATCCCGTGTACCTATAATCACAATCTGAGTTGACATTAATGTGGTTGAATATGAGGTAAATAATTTACTTATTTCGAAAAGAAACATAATTATCACTCTAGTGAAGCGCGAATCTATTTAATTAGAATGTGTACAGTTTAGTAAATCATAGAATATACACTAACCTGAGGAGGAATAAAACGTCTTGACTGATTAGCATTATGATGAGGTGTAGTTGATCGGTTAGATGGTAGATCCTGTTTAGCAGGAGGACGGAAGGAATCCTGACTGTTTCTTTCTCCATATGATTGCATCGGCGGGTTGTTAAACCTATCAAAAAAGTGGAAAAATAACGAGTCAGGAAATTCCAATGAGAGTTACACATTTTCCAAATTGTAGTTGACAATCTGATGTTTTTTTAATTGATGACTTTATTAAAATTCCTGGGTGGTGATCAATCAAGTGTGATTACATCTCAGTCCTACAGGAGGTCGGTCGCAGCCCGGATAGCTCAGTGGTGACGTCTCTGACTGTGGAGCTGAGTGACACGAGATTGAATCCGCCAGGGAGCACCAGTTCCCTCAAGATTAGAGGTACGCCTTGCTGACGAGTGCCACGTAGCACAAAACCCGGGTCCATGGTTTCTTGTCGACTACCTCCAAACACCATCTAATATAGTTTATTTTGCACAGCACCCAGATGTACAGATTCCATGGAAAAAGGAACACATTTTTCAAAAGTACAAAAGCGATCAACTGAAAATTTACCAGTTGACTTCATTTAGATTTGTTTTTTAACTATATCACCAACACTTCTAATCATCTGTTATATTCATTGAAATGTCCAAATATGATTCGTTCCATATTTATGCTTTGGATTGAACAAATATTACCTTTACCATTTTGATAGATAGTATAATGAAGCATAGTTTTTTCGACAGAAACACTTTGTTCATGAGAAAATCAATAAACAACAGTCTATTCTTTTAAGGTTGACTATGCAACAACTCATTTATTTTTGTTAAAAAAATGTCAGTGTTATTTTCAAATAAAAATTTAATTAAAACGTATTTATGAATATGTTCACTGATCTTTTCAACAGACACTAGAAATAGAATACTTATAACGTAAACACATTCAGAAGATTATCTTTGTTCATTTATTAACAAAAAAATGAAGCGTTTAGATGCATGTAAAAATAAACTCAATAGTTGCAGCAAATTATTTTTCTAATGTAAAGTCCAATAAATTTTTACCAGAGCAGATATTAATTTACCTACTATTCTGTGATTTAATGAATGAACGAATAACTAAAACATGCAAATAACAGTATAGTAAAAATAATGAATTAACATACCGGTGAGTATTCTCGTAGTTCATTGTAGAGTTAAAAACCTGAGCATTAGGATTCGACATCAATGGAAACTGAGGAATAGGTGCACGATTTACAAAGTTAGGTGGATAAATAGGCGAAGGGGAATAGGAAGGATATGAAATATAGGAAGAATCAGGCATTCTTTGACCATACAGATACGGAGTCATCATATTAATCGGGTATACTGTAGATGGCATTACCCGTTGAAACTGCAGAAATGGCAGTGGTTGATATGCAGATTGCAATTGAGGTTGCATTTGGTTAAGAGGAGGATACTGATTCATGTTTGGAGGTCTATTAAGATTTTGTCTTTCAAAATCGCGCATTGGTATCTGTTTCGGCATGACTGGAGTTGGTGCTTTCTGACAAACCTCACTGTTGTGGTTTAACCATGGACGATTATCACAACGAGTAATAGAACTTCTTTGATTACGTTCTGCAGAATGACGAGAACGCGATTTAATCTTAGACGACCCAGTACTTTTTTCGTTCCTACTCCGTTGGTTCTTTTCTTTATCATCTTTAGTCTTATTATTTAATTTCAAGTCGTGTGTAGGCTTGTTAATATTAGACCAATAAGATGGAGGGAGAGGTACGTCCGGTGGGCTTGGCATAGTCCAAAAATGCGAATTATGTTCTGCATCATGTGACAAATTAGATAGACTTACATTATCGTTGTTATCATCTAGACTTGTATTATGTTCACTTATGCTTCGCGAACGGTTAAATTTATTCTGTAGAGTAGGTAAAGTGGAATATGTATCAACACAGTGTGGTCGACAATCCAGTTCTGATAAAAATTTGAAAAGAAAAAAAATAGAATAATGCATTTTAGTTTAAAAAGGTAGATACTATTGCGATAAAAGTTGAAACCATAGTGACAATTTGAAAAAACTAGTAAATGCTAAGGGATATTGTTTTTGCACAACATAAATAGAATTTTGCCATCAATAATATAGCACGGGTATCCTGTATGAAACTTGAATGAAGCACAGTCTAAATATTTTGATTTTCAAAAAAACTTATAAATTGGGAAGTTGAATATACTTTTTCAAAATTATATAGTGAATGTATTCTTTACAAATATGAGTACATAAATATATCATTTGAATAATTTATATGATAATTAAGATCAATATGAAAAGGAGGTGAATAGTCTCTGTAGTAATTTTGCTAAATTTAGCTAATACCGATATATGGTGAATACTGGGTAATATATTATTAAATATTCTCAATAGATCTGATTATTATAACTACTGATGTATTAAACAACATTTGCGTAAATAATAATAAATAACCTATTCAATTTGATCAATATAAATAAGTCAATGAAATCGTGAACATGTAAGTATTTGGCTAAATAATAATACATATAAACTATTTTCAACGACACATCATAAGATTCATTATACAATGCTGTTTTGCATCTTGTCCAATATAAAACTATTATATGATTAGATCCTTATTGTAAGTTATACGAAATGGTAATTATTGATTTGGTTTCAGAAACATTAGACCCATTAAAACAAAATGTTATATATAAACGTCAGAAGGAGTTTTGTGAATATTATAGTAATTTTAATAGTTGATATTATGAGTCAATCGAAGCTAGACCACCATGGAAAACCTGGAAGCACTGGACGGCCGTTTCGTCTTACTGTGGGACTCCTTGGCAGTGGGATGAAAAGGCCGTTCATTAGTTCTCAACTAACAAAATTAATATAAATATCACACAATGGAAATGAATAAAAACGATGGTTTATTATGACTGTTTAACATTTGATGAAATAATGACATTGTTTTACATTTCCTAACTGACAGATTCAAATTATTGTGATTAAATTGCTTGTTTATAAATAATAACTTCTTTAATACTCTAAAATATCTCAGCATCAATTATTGGGTTAATTATTGATCCGGAAAAACTAAGGCTACTATTTCATTATTATTATTACTATTATTATTATTATTATTATTATTATTATTATTATTATTATTATTATTATTATTATTAATGGCTTTAGCAGGCTGCATGTACTAAATGATTAATTCAACGAGTATAGATATACATATGTAAAGGTTAAAAAAATCACAAAATAATTGATAAAACTAAGAAAAAAAATGATTGTGGACCAATCACAGCTTGTTGATCCACTAAGCATAGGATATAATATATATTGCAGGAGTCCAAAAGACGCAAAGCAGTTGTTCCGTTGAGAAACGATATTATTGAAATACAAAATAACTAAAATCTAAACTTATGCATCACAATAAATATATATCTTTAAAGTATCTTTTTTAAAGATTTGATATATTTTGTTGAAATAACGGGTTAATTAGAGCATTCGGTAGGTATTAAAACCTACTTCTAAGAAAAATTATTAACAAATATAGTAAATATTTACAAAACAGAAAATCATTTATAAATAATCAAACAGACAAAATCCACAGGACAATATATTAAGTGACCATTAGCTCGAGTTGCAACAGTACACTGAGATGAAGTCAACATGCTGAATAATAAATATAATAGAAATAATAATGGTGTCGCTAATTATCGGAAAACAAACAAGTATGGTAAATATGGTTAGGAAAAAAATTAATTCTAAGAATAAAAGCACGAAGGAATATCGGAATTCAATATGTAAAAATAAAGAATATGTTCATGTATCGTTGACAGGGATTCTCTCAGCAACGTAATTCGTCTACAACTATTGACCTTAAGGACCGAATGGAATTCAGTCAGTCGGTCATACAGAATGTCGAGTCTACTATACGTGTAGATCAGTTCAACTGGACTTGAAACATTACTAATAACAAATGACATAAAAAAACATAGTGATAAGTGTTTCTGTTGATGAAAAATACAAGGTTCTAAATTGAACTATATGTGTCTCAACGAAGTAATCGCTAAAATCTGAAAACATAAGCATACAATCATAGTAATTAAAATAATAGGACGAATGTTAGAATTGAATGACATGAAATGACCTGGTTGAAAAAAACACAACACAAGTAAGCAAGGTTTAGATGATTACCTATATTATCAGATTGATTGAAAAAAAATCGTGTATATATTATTATGGATTATAAAACTTTTGTTAGCAACAGATCATTATGATAAGTTAAAAATAGATAAATTGATTCATTTGCATAAAATACTTATACAGCATATATGAAGATGAGTTAACTGAGTCTATGGTAGTTAAAGATGCTTGGAGAATAACTAATTAATCTAAACATAAATTCCATGTTTTATACTGAGTATTGTAATACAGTGCTTATGTGTTTATAAATGTTGAGAACGGTTATCGCTCCAAAATTTTATCTACATATTAGCAATGACTGTACACCTGATAATAATAGTCAATATTTAGAAAGTAGAATGTCAGTAAATATTTGAAAAATATCATACACTAACTAACCTTGCGTTTTCTTGTTTATCGTATCTTTTCCCGTTGACGATAGGTTTTTAGCAGGCTAAAAAAGAGATAAACACATACGTAAAAACCTGGAAGCACTGGTGGTTTAACATCGATCGGTTCATGATCTCAATGAAACTCAACTATCTCCGCAACCTTATACCGATATACATGAAACTTTAGTGAAGTTGTATATATTTGCGTGAAGTTATGTAAAGATACATTCCACGTACATTTTAATACATAATTGGACAAACCATCTAACATAACATTTAAATGCATTCTAAAAAAACAATAAAAAGTAGTTTCCAATCTAAGGTATACAGAATTATGTGGAAGTCAACATCCAGACATAAATCTATGTGATTACAGTGACATTGTTACTTAATGAACGAGTGATAGATAGTTCAAAGTCGATAAACATCAGATAACTGTCAATCTCAAGACCATTATTATGAGAGCAGATATCAAAACATTTTCAACTGCAACATACACTCTCTAAATTCGAAAGTAAAGTTTCAATAGTAGGTAAACAAACTATTAACACAGACAGATTTTCGACCAAGAAAGGTGCTTAACTTCGACAAAACATAACAGAATGTGTATTATGGTTAGTCAACATGTATCAGTTTGTGACAAATAATGGTTGAGAAATCATTAAAAGCTCCTTCAGTGGATATAATACATCATAAAATAAAGTTTTCCTTTTTTAATGCAGTTAATATTATTGTCGTGAACAAAGCTCAGGTGGGGAAGATCAATTTATTATTATGTGCAAAATTACATGGTGATTCCATAAAATATGAAAATCATACCTTAGATACGTAATTTGTACATCTTCCTTCAGTTTATCTGTACATACTTCATCAAATTCGGTTGGTATTACAATTCCTCTCTGTTTTCTTCAATTCAACCAGCTCAGTCTTCTGCTGACAGGTATTAAACTGTCGATTGGTGCTACACACTACTAGGCGATATGGCTCAGAATCGATAACAGTGGCGTATGTGTACACAATCTCTGTCTTCCCTTAAACTGTGAGATTAAAATTGCTTTATTTCTACGTACTAATGCTTTCTCCCTGTATTATATCCTTATACACAGTCTTTTATACATTACTACCATTGAAGTAATTACTTCTATGAATTTGGTGTTCATCTTGTTGTGCTAATGAGCTATGGCAACCTGGACCGATGCATATATGTGCCTGGTCCTACGTTGTAGGTGACTGACTGACTGACATACTACTGAATCTATCAACATAAGTAGCCTATACCACAGTATAACAGAAATCGAAATACGTGTCAGTGTGGATAAAATACCATTATACAAAATAGTAAAAACGAAGTAGATAAAATAAAGGAAAGCATTTTCTATTAAATCATAACATAACTACTGAATTTTATTTCCAAGATTAAGAGTAAAAATAATTAAGTGAGTAGTTAAAAATTGAACAAATTGACTTAATCACTAACTACTCTTCATTCAATTTTATCATTTCTTATTTCGAAATGATTGTTTTTAAATATATTTTATGCTCAGAAGATAATGATATAAAAATGATGTACAGCTGATTCTCTTATGCCTTTCAGCTCTTATTTAAACAGTTCATGATCATTCATCCGAATCAATTAATTATTTTAATGTAGACCAAACACTTAATTAATTAATGACAAATATAAACAAAACATGATATGTATTAATGTTGCCACAAATGTTCACGACTATTAAACCATTTAAAAATTGAATGTAACATACAGGTTATTTGAGATATTCCGACAATAAATGGTTCAAACAGATATAGATATGTATCAGTGTATGACACAATACTTAAACATGAGAATAAACAATCATAACAATCGAACAAATAAAAAGGGAGACATTTTTAAGAGGATTAAAGAATCAATAATACAAAAATAATAGTGTCTATTAAAGTTCACATGAGGATCTGACACAACGAAATTGATCTATTTCTAAACAATTACGACCAATTTATATTACATTAATAATGTCATCTGAGAATGACACCGAACAACAATAACAGCAATAACAGTATTTAAAAGGAAACATATTGGCATTATGAAACCGAACAAGTGAACACAGATTTCACAAACCTTAATATTTTGTTGTTCCAACTGTTGTTGTGGTGGTTGTTTTTGTTTAGTTTTCAATTTAGATGAATTCCATGAATGAACGGGACTAGCCTTTGATATATTACTATGATTTGCATCATCCATTTTATTTTTATGAGAGGTATTTTGATCAAATTTATTATTAGTTGGCCATGGACGGTAATTACGTGGAGGTCCTTTAGTAACCCATGAAACTTGAACAGGTTTCGAAACTGGTCTAGTTAATTTCGGCTGAGAGATTGACTGATGTTTATCATCACATTTTTTTGGTAGTCTGAGTAACATTGATGGATGTACCAGTGCACATACAGGACCTGATCCTCTTAAAATTGATTTAAAAAATAAAATGTATTATTTACATTCTCCCTTATACTTAAATGACACATATATTTCAAGAAACAGAGAGAGAGAGAAACATTTCTATTCTATCATATCAAACAAAGAACAATTAAGGATTTATTGTGATTACTACTTCTATTTGTTTAGGCATCTCGCCAGAGATTATATTACTATGTGTATTAAAACAAATTTACGCCAAAACTAATTGAATATAACTTGTTTAAACAGCATCGCCAGCACTACTACCGGCAAGGAAAATGTTAACTAATAATAACAGAGGTACATTAGTTCAACTTAATTAGATTATTTTTCCTGGAAGAGAAAAAAAGACTGAATTAAGTTACGAAATGTGACTTATAGACAAATAGTTAAGTACGCTATAATATCGAAAGAATCATCATTGAAATGGTAAACAATAAAGGCTAAGGTTATATTAAAGTGTAAAGTCTAGTGCACATAGCTACATAGAATGTAAAACAGTAAAAATCAATAGTTTTATTGACGTGATTATTTTATTTATAATAAAAGCGAGGAAATTATACTTACAATCTAATTAATAAACAAAAAGAAATTAATCACTTGACATTGTTAAAATGTTCTTAGATGGATTAAAAAAACAAACAACTACATTGAATTATGAATCTATCCAAGGAAATTTGAAAAATAAAAGATTTCAACACATACCAGTCAGAGTTAAGTTTTTGAAACAGAACATGAATAAGTAACAATATCACCTTTTCCAACTATAATTATAGATGGAAATATACAACTTGTAAAAGTGGTTTATACTTGAATGTGAAACAATTGCAGTAGGCTTACCCAATACTACTAACAAAAGTATTGAATATTACATGACGATGAAAAAAAAACTGAATCTGAAAGAGATACGTTAGTAATATGGATTTTCGACAAAGAAGAATTGTTGATTAATCTATACTTATTTAATGTCAATGATATTTGAAAAATCATATACATACGGACTAAATTAGTTGATTAATTCAACAGTTAGAGACAGATATTAGGAAACTATAGATCATTAGAGAAAAAAGAGACCGGTGATTTTTGCAAAATGTTTTTCGAAACTTCATCTTAATTTGAAGTAAACACTAATGATACCACCGAGAATGACAGTAAAAGTTTTAACTAGAAAATATATATCTAGCTTGAATAATGAAACATCATCAATTCTACTGTTATCTAATCTAGGAAATGGAATGATTTTTAGATTAAAGAACTATTGAAAAATGGAAATTCATGTCACAGAAGCTATTTATTTCAATTTTACCTATTCATAATTAAAATGCATACCCATCGATAGACATGTTGGTGACAAATATTTATCAGGACTGCTAGGAAAGATCAAATATGTAACTCAGTTATTTTATTAGATATATTTATTGATCTATGCATGTTGTAAATTGGAAATCGAACAGCTCAATGTATTCAATCTATATTATATATTAATGTAATTGTTGATTAGTTTGTAGATTTTATGCTTGGCGCATAAACGACTATATCTACAGCCTCATTTTCTTCCTTGCACTGAGAAATATCAGTTTCGGTCGGTTAAAAAATAGACATATTTTGTTCCAGTTAAAACAGGTGTAATGAACGAATACTTAGGTAGGGTAAACCAATTTATTTTAAGTAACATCACAAACTGTATATGTAAAAGACGAAAACAATACACTGAAAACACCAATTGAACATCTTCCTAGAATTATCTCTTAAAAACTTCACCGTTCTTTCATTCCTGTTGCTACTCCGACTTTTTTCTGCTTTCTCACCTGATCTGTGGCCCACAAATGCCCTGATGTGGTAGAGGGTTGGAAGAACTCGTTCTCTTGAAATGTTCTAGCATGGCCACACGTATACAGCCACTGTCAAGGAAGTCCTACTTTTTGCCTTCTCGAAACGGGGTGTTGTTTACAAAATTGGAAGGACCAAAAGCGACAGTCCGGAGCTCTAACCGGACTAGTGGACACAAGTGATACACCAAGGGGAGTTGGAAAACCCTGACTCCGAACCAGTGGTGCACATTAGCCCCAAGATTCTGAGAGAAAAAATTGCGTATGGACTAATTGTTGGTCAGAGGCTACCATGAGATTGCATCTCCTAACGTTACTCCACCGCCTTGTGGACTATACGTTTGGGTCAAAGGTTCCGAGTGTAGCCCCATATAAAAACCACCTACTTAAGTTTGGCGCCTGGGCAGTATCACAGCCCTCACACAAATCGACTGATGAAGTGTGGTACAAATACATTTGGTACCTACTTGCACCAATGTTTATGAGTTTAAATAAATAATAAGTGACCTGATTTAAGCTACCTAATTTACAAATCGGCTAGTTAACTAGTATTGCTTTTTTAGAAATCCCTAATATAATTTCATGAAGCGAATAAATGGAATGATTCAGTTATTTTTTTAACAAGACGCATAATTTACGCCTCAAGTTATTTTTAATCACAAGGTCAGTAAAACGTGGTGTTATTAGAATTTGCAAATCAACGAATAATAATCAAAGCAACAACAGCTAAGACTAATCTAAATCATAACTGTTTTTTATATCACATTTAATACTATGAAAACAGAATGATTATATCATTATTACTACCACTGTTACTAGTGCTTGCGATGAAAACAGGTATGCAGAAAAAATACAAATATACATATACGCACACACATTGTGTTTCTTGTGAAACAATCTCAAAACATCGACCGAATTCCATACACATTTCTAGTGAAGAAATATATTATATGCATAGTTATGTGTATGAGTTTCAGTCTAATTATTGTGAGCACCTAATATAACAATAGATACTATAAGCTATAAAGTTGTCATAAGACTAATCTTTTGAGGAAAAAAAACTAACAGATTAAAACTCTTAATAGAATAAAATAACTACTATTTATAAATGACTGATAAAATGATATTTAAATAAATCAGTTAGCATAATGAAGATTAACAAATTGAAGTTTAATTAAAGCACAATCATGAATCCGGATACTGATTGAAATATATATATATATATATATATATATATATATATATATATATATATATATATATATATATATATATATATATATATATATACTCAGTCACATAATATTACTGATATTCAACAAGCAAATCAAATGATATTTTTACAAATTTCCATCGTTGTCAGTGAAGACTTAAAAGGATGAAGCCAACAATTTCAAAAATATTCACAAAAAGTACTGTGTAACATCTCTTAAATAGTTATCCTTTAGACATTACGAATATATTTCCAAGTCGTTAAGACCTTCCCAGGTACATCAAGAGGAAGCATACTTCCACGATGTGGGTAACCGGAAATTGATAATCGCCTTAACACAAGAGATTACCTCGTTTATAATCAATGATTCATAAATATTGAAATAAACTCAGTTTACTTTGGTATTTACTAGAATGCAATTTTACAAGTCAAATATATTAGTTTGATAAGAATAACTAAGAACTTGAACAATTTCATGACGAAATAAAAGTTAACGGAAACCATCCTGTTTACCAACTTAACATAAAAAGAATGAAATGATTGAAATAAATAGACAACTTTTTCCAAATAAGATATGTTATCATAAATTATTTGACAAAATCATAATACATACTAACCTAATATCTATGGCATCAGTGAATGTTCGGCAAAACATGATCTCTACCAATTGTTCACTCTTTTGAGAGCTTACACCTTATAATTAAGATATAAGAAAAATGAAAAAAAGTGTGCGGATAAAATTAAGATATATACACAAATCATTAGTATAAAAGTACATCAATTTACAACTTACTAGTGTAATGTCGACACTTAATGAGTTGTTATTACAGAGTATTGTGCAGATTGTTGAATTCAAAGTTCCATATCATGAACCACCTTTAGTTAGACGATCACGTAGTGATAGATACAGTATATAGACAGTAATGAATCACACTTACTGTATAACAGCTCTAAAAACCACAGTACCCTAAATAGAATTTGTGACCGAATGTTGAACGCCTATACTGATAAACTACAACTTTAGTGAGACTTACTGAGCAATTTATGGATATTGCTCATACTTTGTAAGAATTTATCACATACCTGAAAAAAAGATATCCGAATCGAAATCTTATAAGCAATAGAAAAATTAAGCAGTATACATAATGTTTTTCATTTTAGCACGGCATTCTTTAGTAATGCGTATTCTCAGGTCTCAAAGAGAGAGAGAGTTGTTTCTAAGATAAGCGAGTTACCACACTCACTATCGATTTCAATCAATTCGTGATATTATGTGATTACTACTCATTACTACTGCTTTGAAATAGCTAATCTTTAACAGTCGCAGCCTACGATTAGTACGTAAGGTACCACGTGTTGATTTCGATTGTTTTCGACGAAGATAGACGGATAGTGGTGCTGGCGAAACACGATTCCCCATTCAATTTCAAATAAAATACTTGGGCTAACATTGTGGAATGATGATAATAATAAAAAGCCAAATACGAATTGTTCTGAAGGAATTTTTTCAGGCATTTGCATTCAACCAGGCAGAATGCAAAAATGAGATCGGTTTTATGCCGCTCCCAAATAAATAAGTTTATGCCTCAGCTTACATATGAAAATAGACAGAGATAAACAAACATGCGTATAAAAAGTGCACATAGGTGTAAGGTCAAGAAGTTACATATGGTTATGTACAATGTAGTCAATTACGTTAAAATTACAGCCGCACGTGTAAGAAGTGCTTACAAAATAGTTTGTATTATTCTATCATACGACTCGAACTTTACGTATTTGTATTTCAAGTGTGTTGGATCACAATATGGGATACGATTATTTCATATGGTATCCCTGAATGAGTCGTCGGTGAAGACTGCTATGAAATCCCACTCTAGGAAGAAACAGCTGTACAGTTTTTCAAGATATTCAATAGTTGTCAGTCTGAAGTTAGTCTGTGACAAAACCTATTACATATATATAATGCTCGGCAATAAGAATAAGTTATAAATCAGACGGTATAACATTAATCAGTGTTTGTATTTATTTATTACTTACCAGATGGTACACCAATAACAATCCCATGTAATCCCAATGGAATATTTTGTCCTATCCCAATATAAACAACTTTATCCAATAATGTGAATGAACTAAACACTGACGAGTAGTTTGATGAATAATAACAACGATCGAATGGTGATAAATTATAAGAGGATGGATATATTCTTGTATCTGAATTCACTGACTAGGTAAGTTAATAATACGTAAGAAAAAACATTAACAGTAAAATAAATTAAACCACTAATGAAAACATCACATGTATTAATTTATATTATTAATAAGCATGTAATACGAAATAATTAGTGGAACTTTTAATTTATTAACTATTCATAACGTTGTTTACCGAACAAGATACAACTACAAAAATATTAATATCAATGTTAGAAAGATGATTTGATAAAAAGAATCACAATATTTAGATTGTAATGTAGTTGGGTGACATTCAGTCATTTACACATTGAATTTAGGTTCTTATTTTAACCAATTACTGAATCGACGGGAAGTAATTTCTAAGTAAATTGACCAAGCATTTAGGCAAAATGGAAAATGAAAGATAATGGCTAAATTAAATAGAGTATTATTCTAAAAGTAATAGTTATTATAATATTACTAAGGTGTACATAATGAGTTCCGCTTACAACCAATAATTCCGTATAAAATACATACATATATAGTGGAGAGTTGACAAATAGCTATTGGAAGAATGAATAGAAAATCAACAAAAAAAAACTCACAACAAACAAAGTTGTCGGTGAACAATTTACTGGAGATTTTTTATTCCAAATTTGACGATCAAACGGTTCATATACAGTTTCATCCATGTCTTTAAGATATAATGATTTTAATTTTTGTAACCATTCCTTATCCAAGTAGATACCTTTCTGTGGTAAAACTGGAGCACTTCTACATTCAGAATTAGCAATAAATTCCATAATCTCGTCAACTTCTTTCCTATGGAAATAAAAATGCATAGCCTTTTGAAGTGATATGGCAACAAAATGGGATGGAAAAAAATAAAAAACAAATACTAAAAAATTTTCTAAATTAGATTTTAGAAAAATAAATGAATTTCATTTAGTTTGTCTTCCTTTTACGATACTATAGTATCAAAGAGATATATTATTTAATAGAGTTAAGTTATACAGTAAACTACATTTAAATTATTATTATTATTTAATAGTTGAGATCATGAGTCAAGCTTCAATTGACCCATGATCTCAACTATTGAAATTACTATAATATATCCACAAAAACCCCTTCTGATATTATTTTTTTTATTTTATCAATTATTTACCACGAACTTATAGATTACTTACGATAAATCACTTGGTGAAATATATTTTGAATAAGCTGAACATGAAGTGAATCATTAAGCTATTTATATGATAATTACAAAAAAAGGGAACAATCTAGGCAAACGAGAATAAAAGAAGCAATAAGAATAATAACTAAAGAGATAATGATTGTATTGCACACTTGTAATGAAAATTAAAATTAAAATCACAAGACAATGAATTTAAAATCGTTCGTACCGTTACATCTACAACAAATATCACCAATCATTCTATACCGTTCACTACTCCCATGAAACGCTACGAAGTCTGATCATAATCTTTGATACGTTTGTATGATATTGTTAAGTAAAAGAAAGAGAATGAACGATTACAATCTACTCTTACTGGATTATTGAGATGATTATCGATAAACCAAAGCGCCAATATCTTACATCTTAAAACGTTCACTTTGTTGTTCAGTAATGCTGAAGTGTGTGATGTAAGACTCTATGAATAAGTAATGTGTGGGAACATTTAAAATGTGAGAGTAGATGACATTATCTGTATGCACAAACTACTGAATGTGAAGCGAATATGAAGACACATGAATCAAATATAAAAAGTAGAATTTCCAGACAACACTAATATTCAGTGATGTATGTCATGGATAGAGGCATTTAAAGGATAACTTTCATAATCTCCGAAGTATACTTTAGTGCGATTTGAAACAGTGGTTGGAGCTTAAAGATACGGCAAAATATCAGGAAACATATAGTGCAACCTGATTCGCTCCTGTTTTAAAATGGTATCTAGTGAATACGATCGACAATAAAGCGTAACAAATGTTCTTTTGTATCTCAGTGTTTAGTTAATGAAGTACCTTAGTGAATAACTATTCAGCCCTTATTCTGTTTATTGGTAAGTAGATCATTTGAGCACTACAATACTGACTAGATGCTGTACACTTTGGAAATATGATATATAAAGCAATTTATATGGAAAAAGAATTTGTCACCTAATGGCTTCAGATGGAAGGATTTAAAGAAAACAAGACTAATGAATAGTTAACGTGTTAAAAATTACGCACATGATAAAATCTGATACAAAACACTTACGAATCAAGTTTTATACATGCATTATTTTTTGTAGATGAATCTGACGACTTTAAAACTTCTTCCCAAACACCTGGAAATTTTTCTCTGAATTTCTTGAGTAAATCAACAGTTCTATTAGAAAATAACCATGTATGACGAACAGTACAAAAACGTGACCAACCTAAAACCTGAAATATAATTAACATAGTGAAAATCACTTCATATAAACATAACTGTAAAGTGATATAACTGTATAAAAGACTATGTTACGATACATTCACTTATTTTGTATTCAGTCAGTTAAAAAAAAAACACGTTAATTCTCAGAATTAAGGTAAACTGCTTTTGACCCAGCTGAAGCTCTATCATTGTGCTATCTTCGTTTATATTGTATGAGGAGTCTCTAGAAGTCAGCAGAAATCAAGCTCTTAATCTGTCCTTGTCATTTCACTCATCCAAGAACCGAGTACAGACACTTTTTCAAGTTCAGCTCAATAATAATAATAATAATCCACACGAAAACTAGAGATCAAGAAATACAAAATATATGTGTTAAATGTTTTCGTTCATATAAGTAACAGCTATCCAGGCAATCTTCATAGAATTCAGTGAAACTCATAATTCCGTCCAGAAAGGCTTTCTTGTTCACAAACAACCCTCGAAATATAAGTATGTACATTCTACACGAACTGGACGTGGCTGTATAGACCAGATATTCACACTACGTCAGGTCCTAGAACAAAGACACACATTCAGACGCTCCACAATAGTAGTATTTCCCAATCTTAAGATGGTATTCGACTCTGTTGATCGTGAGGTTTCATGACAGTGTTTGTCACTGAAAGGAGTATCGAAGAAGTACATTAACCTTATAAAGGCTCTGTACTCGAACACAACTGGTTGAGTGAGAGCTTAAGGAGACCTGTCATCAGAATTGATTACCTCAAGTGATGTTTGTCAGGGCTGTCCACCCTCTCCATTCTTGTTTAAGTTCATCGTTGACGTGCTTTTACAGATGACACTTTCCTCATCTAAATTTCCAGGAGTTGAACTTCTACTGGGAGATTCAATTGTTGACTTAGAATATGCTGATGACATAATTCTACTCGGTGAAGACGCTGACAAAATGCAGTCTTCTGACCACCGTAAGCAGCAATACAAACATGCTCGGGATGCGATTATCCCTCTCGAAATGCAAAATGTTGCTTCAGGATTGGTTACATCGACACCCGAACTAGTGATAGGGAGTGAAGTAGTTGAGCGTGTCGACCGCTTCACTTATCTTGGGAGTCTCATCAGCCCTTGTGGCTTGGTGTGTGACGAAATATCAGCACGGATACAGAAGACTCGATTAGCTTTTGCCAACTTGCGTCATTTATGGTGTACGAGAGATATCCATCTATCAACCAAAGGACGTGTTTACTGCGCAGCAGTTCATTCCGTCCTATTTTATGGCAGTGAAACATGGCCGGTAAGAGTAGAGGATATTCGTAGGTTACTAGTATTTGATCATAGGTGTCTTCGAAATATTGCTCGTATATCCTGGTACCATCGAGTAAGTAACACAGTTGTTAGGAAACGGGTACTAGGTAAGGATGGCAAATCAATTGATGAAGTAGTGAAACTTCATCAGTTGAGATGGCTGGGAATGTGCTACGTATGCCCAACCACCGACTGCCTCGATTTGAGATGTTTTGTTGTATAGGAGTAGATTGGAAGAAAGCTAAGGGCGGCCAGACCAAAACATGGCACATGTCCATAAAGTCATTGACAAGTGGACTGAGTCATGTTGGTAAGTGTAGACAACCTGGTTCGGGTCCGCGAGATGATAGCAACCGATGGTTAGAGACCCTGAATGACATGGCTCAAAATCGTTTGCAATGGCACAGGTGCATTCACTATTTGTGTTCTGCCAAATTCTAATCTTCTGGATTCTTCGTGTCCCTTTTTTCTCTTTCCAAATTCATTTAACTGAATTATACTCTTTGAATAACATCTTCAAACCCTAATCTTTTCGATTACTGCTTTTACTTTTACTAACTCTACCACCACGGGATTTGAATCGACCACTGCATCTCTGTGCTAATGTGGTATGGTAACTCGAACTGATGTACGTGCGTAAGAAGTACTACGTTGTTTCTGACTGACTGACTGACGGTAATGAGTAACTTATTGTTGAGACAAGAAGTTTGACTTTGTGTTTGAACTGGTAACCGCAAGTGATTTCAAGTTCTGGCAAAAACTGCTCAATGCAGGAGGATCTACGAAATTTTTGTAAACAGAGGACTAACTAAAAAAGCATTCATTGTATATATATATATATATATATATATATATATATATATATATATATATATATATATATGCTCATGAAATGCTTACTTCTGACAAAGACCTATGTTAATGAACGTTTTACAGTGCTTGAATGACAATTCGAAATAAGTTCAGCGAGACGAAAGAATATTATGCATAATTGGAATGTAATTTATACAAGAGGTTGTAAAACAAGAATACACAGTAAGAAAGTGATGCGAGATAGAATGTGTTCATTATTAAAATGTAGATGACGTAATACCGACTATCAAAATGACAACTGATTCAAACACCAACTGACAATGAAGAAAGGAGGGTAAGAACTGTGGCACAAAAATAACATTAGTTAAAACTACACAATTTATAAGTGTGTCCACAAACAAACCTATTGTATGATAAAGAGCTAATAGATTAAATTGACCTCTATTAGTCTGGTTATATTGTGCAATAGTTCACAAAAATAAAGGACTATTTTATCATCACCAAAAATCTATACTTTCCAATGAATGAAAAACAAAATAAAGTTGTTTCAGATAACGTTTCATTGTTTATTGCTAATAACTTTATAGTAATACTAGTAAACTAGAGATTTACAAAAATCTTAGCTGATATAAAGTAACTCGATAAAATTTCTTTTATATGAAATACTTCTGCGTTGTCGAATCAATTGATAAAGACAGAAGACAGCAGAAGATTACTAGGTTCAATGGGTGTATGAATCATAAAAAGTATGCATTTATATGATGAAAAATTCTTGACACATTTGTGTTGCATGCATAGCGTAAATAGACTACATTTTTTTCAGATCAACTCAGTCTTCTAATTGTTCTATCAACATATATGTTGATCAAACCAGTTAGTGAGAGGATAGTGTTGGTACCAGGTTGAAATTTTGTCTTATACCCTTGTTCCTATTCAGACAATTAAGACTCCATTCAAAGTGATATGCTTTACCTTCGAGACATTCTTATGTTTGTGATATGTATGGAATGACAATGAATGTAGTTCATGTTTCTGGAGTACTATTTCCGTCACGTTTAAAGTTATTTTTAAATTAGTGGACATTTTTAGGATAGTTATTTATTTTAAGCCTTTCGGTTATTTTCGTTAATTTTATTTTACAATGTGTGTGGCCTTCCTGAAACAACTTATATCCTTGAGTTGATGAGTGCTAAGATATAAAATCATAATATTTGTTTATGTTTTCGTCCTGAAGTTATATTGAAATATCCATTTTCTTTCCATCTAACTAGGTAATCAAGAAACGGGGTGTTAGCGGGACATAGACTAGATTAAAGCATGCTCAATGCATGATTGCTTTGGTGCACGCTGATTGGCTAATTCTTATCCAATCAGCACTAGCCGATAGTTGGAGAACACTCTGGAATCTTCTTATGTAAAAACTATAAATATACTGACGTTTTCCCTATTGTGCTTCTGACTTGCTATTTGGAATATAATCTCTTTCCTGTTCAACCGTGTTCTGATTTTGGGGACTTGTCGAGTGAATCGGTGTCCGAGAATACTAAGCAATAGGAATAGCTGGGTCATAACCGTAAGAAGAACGCGATTTATAACACGGGGATTCACCATTCTCAGATTCAAGCTATTGTATTGGAACTTCTGGAAACATAAACATGAATAAAGAACCATTTTAACTGATAGATCGTATACCTTATTGAATTGATCTACTATTATATAGATGAACTGTTTTTACGGTGTACGCAAGTGAATAAGGGTTTGAAATATTAGCAGAGGAGCTCAGACCATTGACTAGAGATCCGTGGGTAAGGAATAGATTTGATATAAGTGATATCTAATGAATTTATCTAAACGAACAGAACAATCAATTAGGAAACGATAACGAAAACAATGTCATGTTGTTTTGTCACTCAAACTAAACTATCACAAAAATAATAGGACTCTTTTGTTTAATGATGCGTCTATGGAAGTATCTGACAAGCTGAGTAAAGGAGATGCGTTTAGTCGGAATCGTTACGTATCACGATTGTATAGTAATTCGGAAGAAAATGTATATAGGTGGTAATAAATGATTACATTTTCACTTTGCCATAATTCATCGCATACATGTACACAAACTGTAGTTACTGTTAACCTGAGAATAAAATATCCTACTCATTCTACCTTCTCCCCTTAATATATGAGTACAAGGAAACCACTAGCTACATCGGAGCACAGGCTGAATGAGTAATGTCAAACAGTAGTTCGTAACAGACAACATTGTGAATGAATACAGTCAGTCAGCTACAACGTAGGACCAGGCACATATATGCATCGGTCCAAGTGGCCATACCTCATTAACACAACAAGATGGACACCGGATTCATAAAAGTAGTTAATTCAGAGGTGGTAATATATAAAAGAAAGAATGCAATAAGGATATAGTACAGGAAGAAATAATTAGTTCATAAAGAAAGATATGAAGCAATTTTAATCTCTTAGTTTAAGAGAAGATAGAGAGTGTATACACTGTTATGCAAAATGAATTTGATTTGGAAATATACTAGTGATAGAACCTATTTGTAGGCTAATAATAAAAATACAAAACACTTGGACCAAGTTTCAAAATCAGATAACTACCCGGATATTTAAACAAAAAAACATATACAAAGGATTGTAAGAAATGACCCGACAGTCAGCAATCAATTATCTAAGTACTTAAGTTTAAATTTGACAATGTTAACACAGTATTCACTCGAAATTTTTTATCAGTAAGATGTATGAACTAAATAAGAACAGTACAATACGCAAACTTCTAATTAAAAAATAGAGCACACTCAAAGAAAAATATTACCTGAGCACCAGAACGATTCCGTTTCAGGTTTAAACCAATATTAGCAAATGATTTCTGCCCACATTTCTTCTTTTCCATATTATTTTCTGCATTGTTATCAGTTGATGTTTCAGCGTATTGATTATGTTTACTAATAATGCCGTCATTATCTTCACATGATGAACAAGATTCAGAAGTAATTTGAACCATCAAACTGCCAGTAAATCGATTCACTACAAATACTGGGACACTTAATTGATCTGCAACCATGATATTTGTATAAAAATGATCATGTTCCCATTCCTAAATATAAATGCAAAATTTATGGAAATAATTGTTTACTTATATAAAAAACTTTCTATTAAAATAAACACTTGATTTTGAGAAGTAATTTGTTTGGCTGACAAATCAAAACTTTTTACAGGAAAAAAACTAAATGACGCAATCCTGAGTACTAAAAGAAGCCTGAAATTCAGCAAAGCCGAATTTCTTCCGGAGAAACAATCAGCAAATATAATCAACTGTGATGTCATAACAATTATATTAGATGTCAGATTGAACTATTCAGTTAATAACGTAATAGTTAGGTTATGAATGTTTCATACAATGAAATAATGGACCAATCAACGTTAAATCACCATTAAAAACCTGGAAGCACTGTACGGCCGTTTTGTCGCAGTATGAGAATCCTCATCAGCGCGTATCCATGACCCAGCGCGCGAACGTCTAACCTTTAAACCACTGAGATGGTATCCAACAGTGTTATTTTTTCCAGTTTAAAATATACATGAAGAACACTACTAATACATATATTGACCAAACAATTTATTTGAACTACGGAGTTCTGCTAACGATTATTGTTGATTACAGAAGGAACTATCACAATTTAGAAGATTCTCTCCTGAAACTAAACGTCCATAGGTCAGTTATTAACATAAAACCTAGCACGAGAACGTATCGATCCGAGTTATCACACGTCACATCACTGCAAGAAGAGAAATTAGTACAAGGGTAGAGTAAGAAAAATAGCAACTGTAATGGATATTTGAAAACAAAACACAGTAAATGAGAACAAACGAGAAATTAATCAAGCAAAAGTTTGTAACTAAAAGTATCAAACAATACAATGCATGTGTCAGTGAACAATAAGAATCTTGAGACCATTTTTTATTTGAATAAACTATATAAACAAGATAACCATATAATCTGCATAACAATAGGGAAACTGATATATTGTTAAAATACATGGAGAATAAACTATACTGACGAATACAAGACCTTTAACCTACATACTTGTGGGTGTAGATTTGAGATTTAACAAAATGACATTTCACAGTACGTCGGTTCCAAGTTGATGGAAGACAATGAAGAGGAAATTGTATTTTTGAAAATCTCAACGATTGAAATAAAATAAATTTAACGCTTCCTTCATGTTCTTCAAGGGGAAATAATTTAACATCACAACTATTGAATATTACATGGTCCACAAAATAACTGTGTACCCAACAAGCACCTAATTATGCTATTAATGCTGAATATGAACCTTTCATAGTGTGGGCATGAGTCATTTGATGCGAAACGTAAGGAAATTGTGTTAGGATAAGAAGTAGATCTACTATCAGGAAAAATCATTGACTATATATGGGTCTTAATGTTTTGATCGTTGATGAAATAAGACATTGTCATAGATTAATAAATCAAACTTGTTACAGGATGAACAGAATAAGAACAAACGGTATGAGAAACAGGTGTTAATACACTAATGAGGTCACTCTTCCTAGCTTAGAAACAAATTATTATTTATTTATTTTATTTTAACACATAGATATTGGTACAATGAGGCACCAAATACAAATGCGCCGCACAAATCTCATTCGATATGTGTGTGGGCTGTGATACTACCCGGGTTCCCAAACCGAAGCAGGTGGTTTTCTTAGGGGGCCATGCCTAGAGCCTTCGACCTGAAGGTCTGATCCACAAGGCAGTGGAGCATCGTAAGGAGATGCAGTCCCATGTAAGCCGGTGACCAACAATTGGTTCATATGCCATTTGTTCCCGCAAGATACTGGGGCCCATATGCACCATTGGTTTGGAATCCGGTTAAAGCGCTGGACATTCGCTTTTCGTCCTCTCAATTTCGTAAACAACACCCCCGCCACGAGAAGGCAGTGAGTAGGACTTCCCTGGCAGAGGCTACATAAGCATGGCCATGTGAGAGCATTTGGAGAGGGAGGGCGGACTCTCCCCACTCTCGGCCGTACCGCGGCATTTGGGGGCTAGAAACAAATTACGATAGATTGATTTGAAAAAGCTCATTCTGAGAATTTCTAACTTGAAATAATGTTGAAAAATACAATCTGATTAAAAGCCCTGCAAATTTTTAAGTGGTGGACTACTAAATGAACATCAAACGCTTTTTAACTGTGCAACAAGAGTGGAATAAGTACAAAAGGATAACATGCTACGTTACATTTAAGTTCTCGATTAATAAAAACATCAACTAATCATGTTAAGAACTAAAAGTATCAGATTAACTGACTTTATATTAAACTTAAATTAGCAAAAAGACATTTTCAGAAAAGTAAAAAAGTTCTAAGTTTAGTTTTTGGGATCACAACTCGTTGTTATGCAAAGATAATACAAGTAGTGATTTCATTTACAAGATAATAGTTTTCTTATATAATTACAATTATACTTACTTCGACCTGACTACAAAATTCCGTTAAGTCAGTTGATGATGAGACATCAGGATAGAAGCGTACCATAACTTTACCTTTCTTCTGATCAACTCCAATAATCTAAAAATATGGAACATGAAGAAAACATGAAACAGTAGAGAGAATAAATAACTTTTTCACATTAACAGATTAGTTTGAAATGAGGTTTTAGGGAGATTGATTTAAATTTATGGATTATATCTGTCAAAGATATTTGCACATTCGTCATGAGATATGAAGATCGTGGATGTACGCTTCTTCCTTATCAATTGTGTCAACTGAGCATATCATAATGGCTCTATTTGCCAGGCATTTGACTAGGTTTCTCTTATAATGAAGAGGCACAAAGATTTAAAAATGTATGTATTGGCTTGGAGAACTTTTTCTATACACACCTCTGCTGATAGAACCATTTTCTTTTCTATTCAACAAAACGTCAAGGAAATGTAGTTTATTACCTATTTCCTCTTCATATGCAAATTTAATTGCAGGATGATCGTTATTGAATAGTTCTAGTAAGGAATTAGAGTATATTCATAATATGTTGATTGAATTGGGATATCCACAGGGTTTCCTGAAGAAACACTTGCGTGTAACAATCAAGAAAATAGTGACACTGACGGCTAATAAGAAACGTCTTTTTTGAAGCTGCAATTCGATGGTGATGTAGCTAGTGATGTATTACGTGATAGACTGACTAGAGTAGTAAAGAGAACGTTCAATGCTACCAACATCTATCTACCGTATTCGACCCGATCTATGGTGATTCCCCAACTGAAGGATAAGTTACCTGGTTATGCCACTTCTATGTGTATCTACGATTTCAGCTGCTCAGTAGGGAAATCTGTATTGGGCGCACTACCAGGCAACTGAACCAAAGAGTTAGTGAACACCTCCCTTCGTGGTTAGGAAAAGGTAACGTCAAGACAATACGCAGCTCGGTTATATCACACTTGATCGATAGTGGTCATGTAGTGGACATAAACAAGCCATTTATTGTTATCTATCGTATTCTCACTAGTTTCCCTTATGGTGTTTGATCTCGTTTCTTACACATAGCAGAAGCTATAGGAATTCGAGCCAACAAGCCAAGTCTTTGTGTTCAGAAAAAATTTGTAACACCCTTATCTCTCCCTTGGTCTTAATAAATGAATTTATTTATTATTTTTTCAAACTTTCTCTTCGTTTATTATTTTTCTTCACCCCCTCCTACTATTTTATTTTATTTTCTGTCAAATATACGTTTCAAAGTCCAATTATCTGAACACTTCTTATTACGTCATCTTATAATTTTATAAATGTTATCTCACTGTCTATATTTTTCTAATCATTGACCTATTTCCGATTATGTAACATTGATTTGAGCCTTTATTATTCTTATTAAAAACTAATGCACCTGTTATCACACTACCAATTTGTACTTTTCACATATTATCTAATCTTTATCATAGTTATCATTGACTTATAAACTACCTTGATTGGTATATGCATATAAATATAACTGTGTATTAGAGTAAAGCCTGATGAAGATCTAATCGAAAATAATATTGTTTGCTTATATATGTTGTTCTGTATTTACAATCAGGGAATATTTCATATTTATTATTTGCTATTAATAAGAAAGAACACATTGACCAGGATTTAAAAAATGTACTGATTTAGTGTGTTATGACGTATTATTGGAAGTAAGCAACATACTGACAAATAATCATAAACTGCTCTAGTTTATTTATAATATATAACAACATTATGATATAAAGGCTAGATAAGATTGTATAAAACTACTAATAACTCACTTCACCCACTGATCCATAACTTTCTTTGGCTAAACTAAACACTATTTTACCAGGATGAAATATTGTGTGGAGTGAAATTGTTTTAGTATAACCCCAGTCAACTTCAACACATCCAATTGATGGTGGTGGAGGTATACCAGGTAATAGGACATCTAATAAGTCTAGATTCAAACCATCCGATAGACCATAAGCAGGTTCTATACTCAATGAAGGTTTTTCGACAAGTGTTTTTCGTTTTTTATCTCGTTTCCCGGATAAGTCAATCATATTTTCTGATTGAATAAATGAAGATGCAAATGGTGTATTAGACAATTCTAAATCATCACCATTTTGAGCACGCGAACGAACAAAATTCGGTATAAGAGTAAAACCATCCGAATCATTTGCTCGTACAGGTACTACAGACCAACCGTCTAATGGACGAGAAAAAACTAGAACTGACGATGGTATCAAATTCACATGAGCATCTAGATCATCACAGTCATTATTATCACTTTTGTCATCAAATAAAATTGCTCGACGTTTCTCAAAATGGTGTTTTAAACTTGACAGTTGGCTATTTATCCAATCCAATTCATGATTATTGTCTTCAGACGATGAAAGTGGACGAAAGTGCAGGGATTCGGAGGACAAATCGCTTGAAGACTCAATTATCGGTTCTACATTAAAATCCACTAGTTCCCAGCTAGTTTAAAAAAAAAATTAAGACAAATACATTTCAATGGAAATAGATTTCTACAATTCACATATACCAATAACAACAAACAATACAAAACATATGATTATAAGTTGAGATTTTAGTAAACTCGTTAGATTACATAGCAAACAAAAAATTATGAGAATTGAAGATGGAGGATACTGAAGGAAATAGAATTCATTTACCGATATGTATGATTTATATACCAGGCCCAGCAATATAACGTTCTGGCTACGTCATATTGATCATTATACCTAACAAAGACAGATGCATCATTCAACAATATTGATCAGTTTGTAAAAATATAGACACTTGATGGTTTCTACATGAGTGTTATTAATGCAGGTACAAAAGTAACCAAAATCATCAGTAGATATGGTAAAAAAAAAACTATTTTGAAGCTGACTACTCAGCACCACTAAATTTTATCGAATTTCTTAAATTGTTCCATTTCTGTTTCAATGAACTGGTCAAATCATCAAATAAATATGTTGCAGATAATTCTGAAACTACTTCAAAAATGTCTATGTTAATCAAACTGAAAACCGTTATAACAAATCCAAACTGTGAAAAAGTTGGAATAAAGTAATGGCAATAGTCTATCTGTAAGTACAATTCAAAAGAAAAATAAAAACCACACGAAGAGAAAGAAGAATTAATGGACATTGTTTAACAGCCTTCCACAGTTGGCAGCCAGTACCTACCTCACACTCGACACGATTGAGTAACACTGGTCATGGTGTGGTGAATACTACTTATGCTGACAGATAAAAGTAGCATGTAGCAGCAATCGGTAGTGGAATGCCTGCCAACAGAAGATTGAATCAAAGAGAACAGGGAGGGAAACAGAAAATTAGAACTCACTAGGGACTTGCTTTACAAAGAATTTTCCGGAGTTTTAGTGAGCAGTCGTGACCAATGAAGTCCGACAATGTCGGATGTGAAAACGTTCATTAACAATTATATATATAATGGTATTGCGAAAAACAATTTTTAAGCAATTCAGAAAAACAATGCTTAGACTGATAATAAAAGCATTCGATCGTGCATTCTCACTTCTACAAGCATCAATATACACATGAAAGTATACAGAAATTATTGAGCTAGAATAACAATGTCTGTGCGCCAAAAAGGAAATTAGTTCAAGGGTTTGCTAATTTCGAACATGTACCAACTCCACTTAAGATCGGTCTTACAAGTCCAATATGACGTCGATAACACTTCGCACAAACTATTTACTCAAGTCAAAGTTTCGAGCTGCTGACTTACTCGCTTACAAGAAATAAACACCATATTTAACGTAAGATCATAAACAGATTAATGAGCAGTTCTGAAAACTACAGCTTCGTCATATAAAAAGTCAAAATTTAAAAGTACTAACGAAATACAATGTAAAATTGACTAAGATTATAATTATATTAATGTGAAAGTGTATATTGCACATTCTTACATTTCGCTAGTGCTCATCAATCGAACAGGCATCACTGTAGCACAGAATGGCCAACGAACACGAATAGGACGCCCAAGAATACTTTCAGCTAACTGACCAAGGCTATCATATTTTGAAAATTCTGGATGAGGTTTCATTGTTAACGCCATACTATCTAATTTACTAGGGCGTTCAAAAACCTAGTTTTAATACACAGGAATAATAAACAAGTGCTAATTTGTAGAAGATCAAATGGAAACATGTAATTAAATCACGAGCTTCAAACGTTTTTTTTACAGGTACGCTAGAATAAATACGATGATTTATGTAACAAGGCTTGTATCAGACTAGACCCACAGAACAATCGGAAAACTCATAAGCATTTTAGAACTCCAGTATACATGTATTCAACAAGTAACGTGATTTAAATTCTACTGACAAAACACTTATTCAAAAAACGTTAACATTTAATATCAGTCAGACAAGGGCAGAAACTGACTAGTAGTACATATGTACCTGATTACGTATTTAGAGATTTTCTGCTGCACATAAATCGACCAACTCTGTATTGGTATGGAGTAGTGAAGAATTCACAAATCAAACTACAGCGCTAAATAAGAAAACCACCGAGCTGCCCAAAATAACACAAACACCAAACTAGAAACAGTTTTTACCAAAAAATGGTGATGATTACTTGTTCTAAAACAAATAATAATATGAGTGTATCGATCGAACTCCCACACACCTTAGGGTACCGTTTCACTTCGTCGAACAACGGGTTTCTGACACAATGATTGTAAGGTGAATTGAAATGACAATGAGTCTATGAGGGCTCTTGAACAGAACAGTATTAGGTTATAACGAATGGTAAACCGCTAAGAGTTGGTAACTGCAAATGATGTTTGTCAGAACTGTCTATTTTGCGCATTCCGATTAAGCTTCCTCACATATATCCTGAAATAAACCAAATTTCTTCGACCAACTGCCCAGGGTTTGATTTTACTTTCTCGAAAACTCAATCATCGACATGGAGTGCACAGTTGACAATCAAATATGATGAAGAGGCTGACAAAAACATAACCTTCTGAATGCTTTGAGCAAAAATACAATCATATTTGGGATACGTTTTTCTCCCTCTAGAATGCAAAATGTTGATTCACAAATGATCTGTGTCATCACCAAGACTGATCATGAGGAGTACGGTAGTTGTATGTGAAAAACACTTATCTTAGAAAGCTCGTCAATACCAGTGGATTGATGTCTGATAAATCCTTAACACTTATTCAGGAAGCTCACCTACTTTTGGTCGGTTTGTGCCACTTGTGAAGTAGACGAAACGATAATCCATTATAGAATGAGTGATAACGGCTACTGAAATAATAATAATAATCCAAATAGATGTTTAAAAATATTTCTGATGTGACTAACTTTCGTTATTACTATATATATATATACTGTAATAACGGCTAGAAAAATATCTTACATAAACTGGTATTCTTTGAATTTTATGGGTAAACGGTAGTCTTGATAAACTTGGAAAATCATCAACAACAGATCTAGTGATTGAAGCATAAAACTGACTTAATTCTGATTCACCACAATTGACAGATTTACGATAAAAATCATAATTAATTAATTCTACAGGAGATTTTACACGTCCAACTGGACAAGCACGATAAAACAAATGAGATTTATGTTGGTTGCGCTGTTTTTCTTGTTCAGTTAGTTTAGTGTTTCCATCCTTCATTGCATCTATGAGAAGTTGCTGATCCAAAAACGGAATTAACTGTGAATATAGGTACAGAACAACAAAATAGGTCAAATTATGAAATAAATTGTCAGTATAAAATATAAAACTAAGAGAAGTTAACAAATGACCTGAGAAATTGTTCATATGATATGGAACTATGAATGCTTGGTAGCTTGACTAAGAAATTCACAAACAAAACCATGGGACAACTTATCTAGATATTGGTGTATACTGAAGCCAAATGAAGGGTTTCCATTCCCAAAAACTCAGGAACGACCAATGATTATGGCAAAAATGAATTAAAAATTCATATTTATGCGAAAGGTGAGTGACTTTTCTGAATATTTGCGTACACTTGCTTCACTTGGAATAGGTTATAGATATATCTGATCAATCTAATCAACGGGTTTGCAATGTACACAATACAGTTTTAGGAACAATTAGATTAGTAAGGAACTGCAAACCAAAGCCATCAAGTAACGAAAGAAAAACAAATGCAAACTATTACAAATTATTTGATTGGTAGTTCAATTTTGCTGGCCTTTATTAGTTACTAATTTATCAAAATTATCAGTCTATTGAATGGGATTTCAATGTGAAAAACCTCATACGTAAATGATAATTCTGTATGCTTAAAATTTCGAACACCTTTTATTCAAGTAATTCTAATAAAAAAATTCAATGCATTCCTAGCGAAAACATAACACTGGCGTTATGCTGATGAAATTCCAGCTGAACAAAAAGGTTTTCGTTTGTAATATATTTATTTAGGTTAGTCATTAATCTAAAAATAACAGAGAACCTTCCGAAAAATTTGTCAGCAGCTCATTGGTTAGCTTAAGAGAAAAAAGAATTCAACATATCATTTTTCCAAACCTTACACAAATTTATTTAGAAGTTCTATCAATAATTCGATACCCTTTCCGATGGAATCATGCATGCATATTTACGCAGTGCTAATAGACTTACCACTACAGCCTCCCATGATGCTATTTTCCCATTAATATCAGTTTCGAATTCTCTAGGAAAGAATTCAGCTAATGGGGAAGATGGAGAAATCATTAATTCCCAATAAGGTGCTGGAACTATATAAGCTGAATCCGATGGTAATATCATTAATTGTTGAACAAACGGTAAAACTGGTTGTGAATTTGTTTGAAAGTTTGTCCAAGACAATTTAATACCATTGAAATTTTGATAATTCTCAAACTTTTTTGTATATAAAATAAGATCATGCACAAATGGTGCATAGTGATAAGCATAGAAAAAATCCCAATCAGCCACATTTAGAAAGTAATAATTCAATATCCATTGTAACATTCGGATATAATCTTGAATTAAAGACATTAATGTGGAATTTTCACCAAGATCACCTGACATCTCATCAAGTTGTATACCAAGTTTCGAGGAATAATAATCACGTCGATGCATTTTATAAACTAATAAATCTTCATCTAGATCTGTATCACTTTCAACATAGGTGACATTCTCGTCTTCTATTTCCTCTTCTGTTTCATCATCTATATTATCCTCATGATCATAATTATCGCCTATTGTGTTATGTGTATTATTATGGGAAGTTCTGTTGGACGGATCACTTTTATTACATAACTGCTTGACTTTATCATCATGTGTCCTTAATGAAACAACAACACCTTCTTCCATCAATTCAGCGGCTTCATCTAACATAACATTATCATATTGACAATCAGATTGAGGTGCGAATAAATCTATCAAATCAGTCAATTGATCGAAATCTACAAAAAAAAATACAGATGAATGTTGTAGAAGTAGTTCAGTGATATACTATAGTACAAACTGAACTAAAGATAGGATCATTTAACTTTCTGTGTAACAAGGTTTATTTTTCTAACGTGTTCGTCAACTAGTGACATTGGAAATACCGTTAGTCGGGAGAGAAAAAACTTTAACTGGAGCCAGTTCGGAAAGGTAAGGTTTCAACGAAGAATATTTTCGCTTTTGTATCCACAAAGTGAATTGTTTAATTCGTATTTGTTTTTTAGTGTTGTACATAGAGCGTTCCATATTAGATGAAAACAGATTTGAATAAATCGTTGTAAATTTACACGCATTTTCCATAATAGATAAGTGAGTAGATTTAAAGAGAAAACTTTAGGAACTGTCGCCCAGTGAACTAGCTGATATATTTTCAATGCACACTTATCGAATAATTGATTTATGGTAGTATTTTAATATTGTCTTAGCGCTAATCTCTCAGTTGACCTAACAACTCGTGTCATATTTTTCCTGTTCACAAACACTTATGAATTATTTATAAACCTATTATTGATATTTTGCACTATAAAGATCTAAGCTATGTGTTAATTTGTGTTCGGGTTGGAAACTGTGTCGCTAAACGGTCACTTATTAAACACAGTAGCTGAAACATCGTACAAAACTACTACTAGGAGTAGAAAGTGAACACAAAATTTCCAATATAGTGATCTGCGATGGATAAAGACTACATCCATTTGAAGAACTCTGCATAGTGACTTCGAAGTTATTATTGCTAATAAGAAAGTCTAATTCAGCAGGAAGTATTAGATGGCTCAAGCAATAAACCATAAAGAATGGGTACAAAGCCGCCTATACTAAAGACTTGTGAAAACCGTGCGAAGTGGAATAGATTTAAACCGATTGTTTTTTATTCACACATATGTACAAGATGACAGTCACACAGATTAGTAAGATTAATGTCAACGGCAAATAAAAAGTTAAAAATGACATTATCATTTAAGATACTCTGCTCCGCCAGGAGCCCTCCAGTACTGTTGCAGTCCAAAACCCGGATAAAGGAAGATGATTGAGTATGGGGTTATCAACTCCACTCTATAGTTAAAAAACTTGCCGGAAAGCTGACGACCAAAAAAATCATCTAAACTATTTGGACATTGAACTAGGAGTTGAAGGATCTTTAATTAGAAGACTTATGATGTCTCACATTGAAAGCCGAGATTCTTCGGAAACCATGAGCCTGATGCACCTACTGACATTCATAGTAACAGTTAACATAGGAACATGGAATATCTGCACAGTGTGGGTGACAGCGAAGACCATTCAAATAGCTGTGGAAATGAGAAGACATAACGTGTCTCTGTTTGGAATACATACCTAATTACGCCTTTTACCCCTCGTCGAGGAGCATGGGTTGCCCATCAGCATTCTTCATTCAACTATGTCCTCGGCAATCCTTCACAGTTGCTATTCATCCTCTTCATGTCTGCTTCTAATTCTCGGGGCAGCGTATTCTTTGGTCTTCTTTTCCGTTCCCCTTCAGGATTCCAAATTAGCGCTTCCTTCGTGATGCAGCTTGGTGATTTTCGTAATGTATGTCATATCCGTTTCCAAAGTCTTTTCCTAATTTCCTCATCAGATGGAACCTGGTTCGTTCTCTCCCACAGTAAGTTGTTGCTAATGGTACTCGAACAACGGACATTCAGTATCTTACGTAGACAATTGTTGATAGATAATTGTAGTATCTTGATGACGGTGGTGGTCGTTCTTCAATTTTTAGCACCGCACGATAGAACTGTCGCGACGTTCGTATTGAAGATTATGATCTTGACGTTGGTTGACAGACGTTTTGAGTTTCATATGTTCTTCAACTGTAGGAATGTTGTCTTTGCTTTGCCAATCCTTACTTTCATATCTGCATCTGATCTTTCTTGTTCATCGATGATACTGACCAGGTACGTGAAAGTTCCCTCCTCTTTCAACGTTTCCCCATCAAGTGTGATTGGGTTGATGTTCCCCGTGTTGGAATTGAAGATCTTGCTTTTTACATTGTGTATGTTGAGGCCTACTGATGCAGAGGCTACTGCTACACTGGTTGTCTTCACCTGCATTTGTTCGTGTGCATGGGATAGAAGAACTAGGTCATCTGCGAAATCCAAATCGTCTAGCCGCATAAAAGCTGTTCATTATATTCTGTACTTCTCATGAGAAGTGGTCCTCATAATCCAGTGGACCACTAGAAGGAAGAGAAAGGGGGACAGCAGGCAGCCTTGTCTGACTCTGGTCCTTACTTGGAATGCATCTGTCAGCTGTCCTCCACGCAGCACTTTGCAGTGTAGTCCATCCTAAGAATTTTGTACGATGTTAACGATCTTCTCAGGTACATCCTAGTGTCAAAGAGGTTTCCATGATGTTCTCCTATCCACACTGACAAACGCTTTCTCATAGTCAAGGAAGTTTATGTATAGTAACGAGTTCCATTCAATTGATTGTTCAATAAGGATCCATAGTGTCTAGATCTGGTCTGCGCACGACCAATACTTACGGAATCCATCCTACTAATCTCGAAACTGGGCGTCTACTGAATCTTTCATCCGGTTCAGCAACACTTTGTTGAAAACCTTTCCTGGTACCGATAGTAGTGTGATGCCTCTGTAGTTCTCACATTTGCTCATATTTTTCTTTGGTATTGTGATGAGGTATCCTTTCCAGTCCGTCGGCACTTGTTCGTCCTTCCAAATTTTCCTGAATAGAACGTGGAGCATCTTTGCAGTTACTTATGTCTGGCTTCAATGCTTTAGCTGGTTTATTGTTAGGTCCTGTTGCTTTCCCACGCTTAATTTGTCCGATGGCCATCCTAACATCTTCCACCGTTAGTGGAGTGACATCTATAGGAAGGTCTGTAGGTGTCGCTCCGATGTCCGGTGGATTTAACGGGGCTGACCTATTCAAGAGTTCCTTAAAAAAAGTGTTTTACTCACCTGTTCCTCTGTTCTTGAATCTTAGTGATTAGCTTGTCTTCTTTGTTCTTGGACAGTCTCACTGGTTTAGTATATTTCCCTATCAGTTTCTTCGTCGTGTCATGCAGTTGTTTCATATTTCCTTTTCTTACAGCTTGTCCTGATGTCATTGCTACATCTTCCACATATTTCTGTTTATCAGCTCTATTGCTCTTCTTCACTTGCTTGTTTGCTTTTGTGTACTTAGCTTATACCTTGACTTTCACTGTTCTTGTTCGGCTGCTGTTAATAGCTGTCTTCTTGTTTTTGATAACAATGCTACGTGGTACGTGCCCACCAATGAGAGCAGTGGAGACTATAAAGATCAGTTTCACGAGGCTGTAACCTATCATAGAGAACTACTCAGAAAAAAACAACCATCCTGATGATGGGAGACGTAAACGCCAAGGTCAGGATGGACAACGCTGGGTAGGAACTCATTATGGGGAAATATGAATTAAAGAAAGGGCCGAGAAAGGTGAGTGACCAGTAGATCGGTATACTTAGAACAATATTTTCTTCAAAAAACACGTGTACAAAGCTACATGAGATTCACCGGACCACGCTATAGATAATCAAATTCTTTACATAACAAAAGTTCAAGTCCATAGAAGACCTGAAAGCAAAGAGATGAGCTGATATAATTTCAGGTCACCATCTGATGGTGGTCAAGCTAAAACTGAAGCTAAAGAAACACTGGATAACTGAACAAACAGCGTTACAAAGGTTTAATACAGACTTCCTTCGACATAATAACTTCGGAGAATTCAAGATAACTCCGGATAACAAATTCCCAGCTTTATAAGATCTACTCATGGAACAATAAATCATCATGGGGAATGACTGAAAAGGGATTAAAAAAGCAATAACTTCAACACGTCAGGTGCTGAGCCTTGAGAAGCACCATAATACAGGACGGGATTCCAGCAATATACTGGGCAAGATTCAAGCGACGCAAAACAAGAAGACTATTGTCAACAACAGCCAAGCAAAAGCAGAGAAAGCCCAGGAACGACCTGAACATACAGAAACAAAGAAAAACTAGAAAAAAAAGATTATTAGGGTTAGTAAGTTGGAATATGTGAAAGACCTAGCAACTACAGCGGGAAAAGCTACAGAAACAGGAAATATGAGAGAACTATACGATACAACTAGGAAGCTTGAAAGTAAATAGGCTTAACTATAAACACCAAACCACTGGCTACGATTCTCACTTCTATGTTTATTCTGCAGTATGGAAATAGATTTTAGAAAAATTTAGTATTAATACGAATAAACACACTGTGTAACAGATTACTCATGATTTTCAAAAGTAAATTAGGTGGTAACTTCTAATGAGTTATGATTACCAACGCTGAAAGTAAAGCTAATAATTTCTAATCGCTCTAACTTTTGTTTAGGCAATCTTTTATCAACATTGCATCAGTGTAAGTATACCAAGTCTACGCCGATAACAGCGTCGTTACACACTTAATCAACAGGTCGCTATGGCGAACGTGATTATATGACACTTAGTTTGACTAATTTCTTAAGAAATAACTAAAATGTCTAAATTAACCGGGTTTTACGATTATTTGAAAGCAAGCTATGAGAACCATTTATAAAAACCCCTCGGTTTCAACAAAACCAATAGTGATAAGTTAATAACGATGTATTCCATTCAATGTGCCGTTAAAAAAGCAACAAAACCACAACACTTACCATCTTTCTTATCTAATAAACTACTTTTAGTCATTTCGGGGAAACGTTTCCCTGTTGAACTGAGAGGTTTATGAGATGGCATCTGATTATCCTCAGATGATAAACCGAGTTTTTCTAGTTCATTTGCCATACGAGCACCTTGTTTTCCTCGCATCCAATGGAAAGCTGCTTCACGTTCCTCGAACCAATCACGCTCAAACTGAAAAGTGATAAAAATTAATATACTATAGGAGGAATACATTTTTCTGTAAACAAAGTAGCTTTATTATACTATAACATATAGATCAGACTGACCAAACACTTCAGAAAAAAACAAACCTAGGCTACATGCTTCGCACATACCATGTTAGCATAAACGGGAGCATAAATTTGTATTCATATGGAAATATAAACCACCGGAAACTACTCGGGATCTCAAGTTACTAGGTAGATCATGGAATGGTGCAGCACGAGAGCACTCTTTATATGCAGAAAATTAAAGCGAAGTATGAAGGTGTAGATTACTGGTGGAGTGGCTGTGTTTATCGAATTGTGGAGTTCGGTATAGATGGTTTTAGTGAAACTTATTCCGCCATTCGCTTAAGAAACCCTGTCTTTCTGAAGCGGAAACATTCTACAGTTTTTACAATTTCGTTACCGTTCTCCTTGTGATAGTGTTTGAATTTGGCAAGCATAGTACTAACAGACAATAAGATAAACATTTAACTGAAACTGTTATTCACTGAATGACTTCATTCCACTACATTAGACTTTTGTAGTTTAAATACAAAGTACGTAAACCGTGAACAAATAATTGATTGCTGGTTTCCATGTTCATGACCGCTAGTAAATCAAATAAAAGGGTAATTTTGTCGTAAACCATTACAGGAAACCTTATCGATTCCGTATTTTAAAGAATAAACGTACCTCAGCGAAATTATATATATAATGCATTTTAAAATAATGTAAATTAAAAGGAAAATTACTAACCTGAGAAAGTTCTTCCAGATATTTATGAAATCGTGGAAGATTTAAATATCCAAACTCCACAAGGTAACCTATTGTTAAAGACATATGTCCGAAAATAATACTAATGATAAGAAGCTAATTTACACAAAAAATAGTATCAAATGGTGGGAAACAAGCTAAATAAATGTTTGTTTTGTTACAACTGCAAATATTCTACGACTGGAAATCATTTCTCTGGTTTAGTTACTAATGAAAACAAACGTTTATCCGAGTAGCTAACTTACTAGTCACATATAGAGTAGTGCTATTATGCTACTAATATGTACTTTCAATTTCATTAATCTTTTCAGTCAACTTGAGCTACTTCTGCCTACTAGGCCCTACTCACTGCACACATATGTAGCTAGTAATTAATATTTTTTTTTGAAAATTCCACACAGTACTCTTAATATACTATCGAATCAAAAATATTTAACTACATCACTAGAACGATATTAATGAATTTACTAAAGTGTACGAAACCTTTTAGTTATTTCTTAATTCAGAAGTGAAACAATAATATACAAAACCACATTATTAACGCAATGGATTGTATTATAAATTTTAGATAATATGTGTTTGTTACCCCTTGAAGATTATTACAAAAAAGTATATGCTTCCTAAAAGAAAAATAGGTATTTATACTAGATTTTAACTCAAGACCAACGGGAAAACTTTTTGACAAGTATTATCGTTAGGAGGACAAACTTTTAACGGCAGTATGTTTGGTGTAAGGCACACTTAAATATCCCGATCAGTCTATTTTTAATCAATGGAGGCTAGTAAATAAATAGTGAAATTTAAGTTTCACCAGCAACTTTAAGATAAATCTTTTGAACTCTGTACATTTTGTGAAAGAGCTTCTCAAGAAAACGATTTTGTTTTTAATCAACTGATTAAAGGATTGATAAAAAGTAAAGATAATGTGAATAGATTAAATAAAACTTACCGTCCAATTTCGGTAATACAACTTGATATGTATCCCAGACAGTTAACAAGGACTCCGCATGTATATGCAAATTAGGTATGTGAGGTATGAAATCATTTCCCAATAGAAAAGCCATAAAAACCCAATCATCAATCAGGCGTTCCAAATCATAAGGAAACGGCAATGTCTTCTACATTAGAAATACATTATTTAAAAGAAAATAATGTTGTTAATTGTAAAATTTTCGAAATATTTGACTTAAATTGATATTTTCAGTAATTGAAATAGTAAAACATTTTTAACAGAACAATGAAATTAGTTTATATAAACGTTAAGAAATAGTTCAACAAATATTTTACCAACAAAAATGTTCTCGATATCATAAGCTTAACTAATTCGTTATCGATAATTGTGGACGGTCTAAGAAGATATTGTTTGAGTATGCTTTATGAAAAGTATGAAATGTTTATAGATAAATGTTTGACTACATTAGCTAAATGTACTTTTTATATAAATTTTTACAGGGGAGTTTTGAAGTGATTAAGTGCAATTCTACTATTTGAAATGGGCACTAGTGTTGTACAGAACAACAATAAAATCTTGCCCAGCGAAAATATACCGCCTCCACCACCACCACCACTAAAAGTTGTCCGTTTGATTTACGATTCTTCATCATACGTAACATACATCCATACAACAACGCGTATTCCATGTTATTTTATTTTATAAAGAATTCGTTGAAAATCGGCTCAATACACGAATTCTTCCTAATTTAATCAATTAGTCAATCTCAGGCCCCCGAATGCCCTGGTACGGCCGAGAGTGGGGTGAGTCCGCTCTCCCTCTCGAAATGCTCTCACACGGCCACGCGTATACAGCCTCTGCCAGGGAAGTCCTACTCATTGCCTTCTCGTGGCATTATGTTGTTTACGAAAATGAGAGGACGAAAAGCGAATGTCCGGCGCTTTAACCGGATCACAAACCAATGGTGCACATGGGCTCCAGTATCCTGCGGGAACAAATGGCGTATGAACCAATCTTTGGTCACCGGCTACCATGGGATTGCATCTCCTTACGATGCTCCACTGCCTTGTGGGTTAGACCTTTAGGTCAAAGGCTCGGGGTGTGGCCCCCTAAGATAACCACCTGCTTCGGTTTGGGCACCCGGGCAGTATCACAGCCCACACACAAACGATGAACTCTATGTCTATGGCAACTACTTTTCTCGCTCCGAAAAACAATCAATCGATTCAAATAATTATCATTACTATTATTGTCATTATTAATACTATTATTATTACTATTATTGTCGTTATTATTATTATTATTATTATTATTATTATTATTTTCCACATTATTCACCCTCTTTTATACTTATACAGCGGCTCGTCTTTGGTGGAAATCCGACTGTATCTAAACGTTCTCGAGTCACTGTCCGGTTGAAAATTGTATGTTACCACCGAATATGAGTACTGAAGCAGTTTTTCTGAAACCACGTGCACCATTCAAACTGGCTGCCTTCAACGTTCGCACATTTATGCAGGTCGGACAACAGATAGGGCTGGCTATGTCTTTGGAAAGTCTTAATATTGATGTTTTTTGTCTATCCGAGACCCGTATTCAAGACTCTGGCGAAGTACTACAAATTCGATCTCCATCTGTCGCTTCGAAAAGCTTGTTTTACGTGCGCTTATCCGGGGACCCTGTGGCATCTTCGTCTGGTCTTGCTGGCGTTGGTGTCGCACTAAGCGCTAGAGCTGAGGCAGCACTAGTCGATTGGATCCCCATTAACAGTCGGTTATGTGCTGTTAGATTAGAAAGTTCCATCAAAGTGAGAAGAAATCGGCGTGAGAAACGATGTCTTTTCGTCATCTCCGCCTATGCCCCGACAGATTGCAGCCCGGATGCAATCAAGGATGAGTTTTACCACCAGTTATCTGTTCTTCTCCAGAAAGTGCGTTCGACAGATATTGTAGTACTAGCCGGAGACTTGAATGCTCAGGTCGGGCGTCTAGGCACAGAAGAGAGTCGTTTAGGTGGCCGATGGGGACTCGTTGGTCGCAGGTCAGATAACGGGGACCGTCTACTGCAACTTTGCACAGACCACAACCTGTTTCTGGCTAGCACTAACTTTCGGCACAGTCATCGCCGATGTGCCACCTGGCGTCCTCCCTCTGCATCTCAAGCCTGGACTCAGATTGATCACATCGCGATCAGCTACCGCTGGCGTGGTTGTGTAAAAGACTGCCGCTCCTTTTGGAGTACCTATCTGGACTCTGACCATGCCTTGGTCTGCGCCAATCTTGCCTTACTTTTCAGTGGACAACGAAGTGACCGCCATCAACGGATTGATGTTAGCAAGCTGGTTGCAACTTCTGTTGCAAGTAAGTATCGAACCGAGCTAGCCTCTAGGCTAGCTACCACTCCACCGAAAAGTATAGATGAGCATTGGTTGCAATTGCATGACGCCATGAAAATGGCGGGAACAGTCAGTTGTGGGTTTGCGAAACGTCCCGCTTTTAAGCACTGGGTTTCTTCTGGTTCCTTACAACTCATTGAAGCCCGTCGGTCTACTCCGGGTGACCGTGAGTTTGACCATAAACGAAGGATGTTACGTAAGGAAATTGGGCAAAGCTTGCGTAAGGACCGAGAAGCCTGGTGGTCGATGCGTGCTAATGAGCTGGAAGCAGCAGCTGCATCTGGTAACTACCGGAAGCTCTTCCAGCTCATCCGAGCCACTGGCAGCAAGAAGTCTGGTGTGAGTGAAACAATCTGCGAGGATGATGGGATGCCAATCACTAACATCCATCGACGTCTTGGACGATGGGCAGAATTTTTCGAAGGGCAGTTCAACTGGCCTGCTGCTCCGGCAACATCGGTCAGACTGTCCTGCCCTCCATGGCCGGTGACGACTGATCCACCAAACGAGGAGGAAGTCCGCAAGGAACTCCAACTCTTGAAGCGTTACAAATCACCTGGCCCAGATGACTTACCTCCGGCTCTTTTTAAAGATGGTGGTGACTTTTTGACTAAGGAATTGACGACGTTGTTTACAAAGGTTTGGGAACTAGAGAGTGTACCAACGTCATGGAATGAGTCGATAGTTGTCCCTATCTTTAAAAAGGGTTCACGTCGTTCCTGTAACAACTATCGGGGGATAAGTCTACTTCCGATTGCGTCCAAGCTATTGGCTTCCGTCATACTTCGTAGGTTGTTCAAAACCCGAGAAAGATTGACTCGCGAGGAGCAGGCTGGGTTTCGTTCTGGTCGAGGATGTATTGATCATATCTTCACCCTCCGCCAAATGTTAGAACACCGCCATACTTTTCAAAGGCCAACAATCGTAGTGTTTCTTGACATCAGGGCTGCCTTCGATTCGTTGGACAGGACTGTTCTCTGGGATTGTCTATTGAAGAAGGGTGTGCCTGAGAAGTTTATTAACATCCTAAAAGCCCTGTATAAAAACACCTCAGGCAGAGTGAGGGCATACAACCACCTCTCTCCATTGTTCCATTCGAGCAGTGGGGTTAGGCAGGGTTGCCCAATCTCACCATTCCTCTTCAACTTTGCCATCGATGACATTCTGGAAACAGCTCTGATGAATGTAAGTAATGGTGGTGTGGATCTGTTGCCTGGAGAAAGACTTCTCGACCTTGAGTATGCGGACGATATTGTCTTACTGTGCGATAATGCCCAAGGCATGCAATCCGCACTTAATCAGTTGGCAATCAGTGTCCGTAGGTATGGTATGTGCTTTGCACCTTCGAAGTGCAAAGTACTTCTACAAGACTGGCAGGATTCTAATCCTGTACTCACCCTGGATGGTGAGCAGATAGACGTAGTCGAGAAGTTCGTGTATCTGGGTAGCTGCATAAGTGCTGGTGGGGGTGTGAGTGATGAGATCAATGCACGTATAGTGAAAGCCAGAGCGGCTTATGCCAATCTGGGCCACCTTTGGCGCCTTCGTGATGTTAGTCTGGCTGTAAAAGGTCGGATCTACAACGCGTCGGTGAGAGCAGTTTTGCTCTATGCTTGTGAAACCTGGCCTCTCCGAGTTGAGGACGTTAGACGACTCTCTGTGTTCGATCATCGCTGTCTCCGAAGGATTGCTGACATTCAGTGGCAACACCATGTCAGTAATGCAGAGGTTCGGCATCGTGTGTTCGGGCACAGAGATGATAATTCAATTGGTGTCACCATCTTGAAACACCGACTTCGGTGGCTTGGACATGTTCTCCGAATGTCGTCCCAGAGAATTCCACGTCGTGCATTATTTGCCGACTCTGGGACTGGTTGGAAGAAGCGGAGAGGTGGTCAGTGCATGACATGGTGTCGTGGCATGAAAGAAAGCTGCAAAGGACTGGCTTGTGTTGGTCCTTCACGACTCCCTGGTTGGGGTCTGAGAGATGGTGCTACACAGTGGCTAGAGACGTTATCAGATATGGCTCAGAATAGAAGCCAGTGGCGATCCTGCTGTAACCTTCTTTTACTTTCTTCATAAAAAGTGGTTGTGTCTTCCTTACCTGAAAGATTTCTTGTGATTGTACCTTTCTGTTCCCTATATTGCTTTATTATTACACTACCTTACACCAATCTCTTCGTTATTGTTCTCTCTTTTTTTTGTTGCGCTCCTTAGCTTTTTTTTTCTTTTTTCTTTTTGTATTCCTCTCGAATTTTCATTGTTTTGTGTGGCGCATATATATTGGCGCTCTCTTGTACCAATATTCATGTGTCCAAATAAATAAAATAAATAGTCAATCTCAGTCAACTTATATCTCTAAAACTTAAACAGAAAACACTAATTACCAACCTTTAATTCCGTAAATTCCAAATCAATATACTCCCGAAGAACTGACAAATAAGTAATACAGAAAGGTTTATTATCAGCCGAACAATTTCTATTAAAGTTAGAAAACAAAAATAAATTCAAAGTAAAAACTGAGGGGAAGGAAGCAAAATCATTCTTCAATTGGTTTTTCATCATGGCTGTACACTAGTATATATATATATATATATATATATATATATATATATATATATATATATATATATATATATATATATATATATATATATATACGCTTGGTAAGTAATAGAGGAAAGATGAAATCTATTAAGTAGCATTCATTAGCTGTACATGACTGATGATAGACGACTTATCCATTAAATAGTTATTTAAGGATTTTCAGGCTTTTAAAATATTACTATGACATATTTTTGGCTGTATTTATGATTTATATACACCAATCGTGTTTTATCATGAGTAGTATATGTTTAGTTAGCTACAACTGTATATTTGCAATAAAAGATTTTGTTCAACTGACTTTGAATTGAACACTATTTTCATAACTCAAACTTAAAATGATGCAAAAATCTACATATGATTACTGAATTACGACTATTGGGATGTCAAGATAAGCTCTTGATAGACAGGAGACCTGAACTGATATGAAACTAACTAAGTAGAAGATTTTCCTGAGTTAAGTGAAGAACGGAATAATTACAGAAGTACAGTTGAAACTTACTGGGCTTTAACAACGTTCTCACGCAAGATACAAATGTTGATTTCATGAGTTGTCAAACCCAAAAATATCTAAGCGGAAAAAGAAAAGAACGCTAATGAATGAGATGTTATTCAGACAAAATTAAAAACGTTCAAGGAGAGATGGCAGCGGCTGTAGGTAACACAATACAGCATTCCAGACTAATAAAAGAAACTGAAATTAATAAGTCGAGTATACGTGAGACTATCTCGAAAAAAGACGACACTTTTATCTGCTCTTAGTCCAGACGTTTAGAACGATGGGCGGAACACTTTAAGGAGTAGTTCAGCTGACCTTCTGTTACTCTACAACTATCCACCATTCCCAGACAGTCTGAATGGAACACTGAAGTAGGTCTCCCGACTCCAGCTGAAGTCCAAAAGCCTATATCTAATCTGAAACGAGGAAGAACAGTTGGCGCAGATGGATTGGTTCCAAAGGTCTTTAAGTATGATGGCCCAGTTTTAGTGATTAGGTTGTCTAATATTTTAGCTAAAATCTGAGAGTTGGACGTAAGCCCACCTGATTGGTCACAATCACTGATTGACCCAATATACAAGAGGGGGTTAAAATCATCCTGTGATAACCATAGAAGGATTAGTTTGACTAACATAGCATCTAAATACTAACCTCAATAATCATCGGATGCTTAACTAAGACCCGTTAACTGCGAACACGAGAGAATCAAGCTGGCTTCAGACCTGGTCGTGGTTGTATCGACCACATATTCACCATTCCTCAGACTTTAGAACACAAGCAGCTTATTGGCGTCCAACAATAGTGGTCTTTCTTGACTTAAAAGCAGCATTTGACTTTGTAGACCGAGAGATTCTGTGGCAGTGTCTGTCATTGAAAGGTATACCTCAAAATCGCATAAACCTTGTGAAGGTTCTTTACTTGAACACTACAAGTTGAGCCAGAGCTTATGGCAAACTGTCATCTGCTTTTACAACCTCAAGTGGTGTCCAACAAGGCTGTCCACTATCTCCACTTTTGTTCAACTTCATCATAGACATACTGATGGAAATAACATTCTCGTCGACTGAATTCTTGGGCATTGATCTCCTACCAGGAGGTCCACTTGTCGACTTAGATTACGCAGATGATATTCCTGTTTGGTGAAGACGCCGACCGAATTCCGAGTATTGGTAGCACTGAGCAGCAATGCCAGGATGTTTGGAATGCGTTTCTCTCCCTCTAAATGCAAGTTGTTGCTTCAGGACTGGCCTGTGTCAACACCTGAACTAGGGATAGGGAGTGAAGTAGTCGAACGTGTCGACAACACTTATTTTGGAAGTTTGATCAACCCGAATGGGTTGGTATCTGACGAAATCTCAGTACGGATTCAGAAGGCTCGTTCGGCTTTTGCCAGCTTACGTCACCTATAGCGAAGGCGAGATATCCGTTTATCAATTAAGGGACGAGTATACTGCGCGACGGCTCGTTCCGTTCTACTTTACGGATGCGAAACGTGGCCATTAAGTGTAGAAGATACTCGCAAGCCACTAGTATTCGCATCTGCTGGGATCACCGGGTAAGTAATGGTGAGGTTTGACGCAGGGTATGAGAGAATGGTGGTTATTCGGTTGATGAAGTTGTGAATCTTCATCGACTGAGATGGTTGGGTCACGTGTTACGTATGCCTGAACACCGATTACCACGACGCACAAAGCTGGGTAGTGTTGGGGATGGTTGGAAGAAAGTTAGGGGTGGCCAAACCAAAACATGGCATCAATCCTTGAAGTCACTAACTTCCGGTCTGAGCCATGTTGGTAGACGCAGACTACTTGGCTGGGTCTGCGCGACTATCTTAACCAATGGTTGGAGACTCTCGGTGACATGGCACAGAATCGATCACAATGGCGTAGATATATACACTCTTTGTCTTCCTTTAAACCGTGGGATTAAAATTTCTTCTTATCTTTCTTTCTACCAACCAATTCTTTCTTCCTGTATTATATCCTTATATGCAATCTTTCTTTTATATATTACTACCATTGAAGTAACTACTATGAATTCGGTGTTCATGTTGTTGTGCTAATGAGGTGTGGCAACCTGAACCGATGCATATATGTGCCTGGTTGTAGCTGACTGACTGATTGATTGACAAGGAGAATAACTGTATAGCATGTAGTTCTAACATTAAGTTAATCAATGGTCAAATAACATAACGTCATCTGTTGCTTATTTGAGACTTCTAGTGTTTGAGAATCGACCTAAAAGCCCAAAAAGTGAGCTATAAGTAATATAAATAATTTGCTAATGAGAAAGATGATCACACACTTGAGGAGCACCCCTCAAAATACCTAAGAAAATCCTTCCCATGCTCAAATGGTTAGATTTAGGTTTGAAAGCACTGTTTATTAGCTGTGATTCAACAAATGTGTTTACTAGCGATACTCGAATACATTTTCTCAAATACTACCCATAAACAGTAAATCACAATGAATCTGATTGAGGGTGTTCCAACAGTAGCTGCTACCGTGACGTAGTGGTAAGGCTTATCTATAGTGATGACTCAAAAGAGCTATATTAGCCGAAACACATGTCCCTCTAGGTCCTATCATGCCAGGAGGGTTGGTTCGAGAGTGGTAACACTGAAAGTAGCAACTTAAAGTCCGAAAGCGAAATCGCACTGCTGACTGAAAAGGTTTGTAACAGCAGTAAGGTGTTTCCTTCGAACAACGAAAGGAAAGGGCTAGATAAGATCGACCCCAATACGTCACTTCTGACCTTAACCCTCGGATTTCCGTCTTCGATAGAAAGAACTTTTGAAGTGGAGAGCTAATACATCATAAACCTACCATAAAAAGACCATGGGCTACCGACCTTAAGCAGTTGTTTCTTGTGCTCTGTGGTTACGCTCCCAGGTTGTTAAGATCACCACTAATCCAGTTTATCTTTCACGTATCTCAAGAAGAGATATCCTTCTACGATGAGAGCAACCTGGAAGTGGCAACTGTCCTCATTTCTCTAACAGCGCCCAAGATCATCATTTTCACGGTCAAATCCCTCCCTCATTTATTAATTCTCCTATCCCCGCAAATAACTCTACTCACATATATTTACCATCACGCATTCCAATAAACGGTTGCATGTGCGCTGTCTGACTAAAGGGAACATTAAGAACTCGGAAAGATAGGGATACATATCACTGCCTATTCTTTGTCGCTGCTTACGCTCACACCGACTGCAGATGGGATAAAGTGAAAGATGAACTTTATATGAAGCTTTCCAATTTCATTCGAAAAAGTTAAATTCTCTGATGTAGTAAGTGTCTAGTGATTTTAGTAGCCAAGCAAGTAGACTAAGTCGAACGGAAAAGCACTTGGGTGGATCTTATAGTGTTGCGGCTCGGCGAACAGATAATGGAGACCGTCTGTTGCAATCACGTTCAGATAACTTTCTATTTCTAGCAAGCACCAACCTTAAGCATATGGTAAAACATCGTCTACGTGGCAACCTCCATAATCAACCGAACAATGGACTCAAATAGATCACGTTGCCATCAACCACTGTTGGATGGGCTCGATATATGACTCGTCCATTTTAGAGTACATATTTAGACTCAGATCATGTGCTTATCCGAGCACGTATGTATCTGAGTCTTACTTGACAGAAAAAACCAATAGCAACAAAACACCTTAGAGTCAAACTTAGTAATGAAAAAGTTGAGGATATATTTTAGGAACAACTAGAGAAAGAGTTAATCAATAGTGATAATGATATTCTCCCTGAGGTAGCTTGGCATGATATTCAAAGAGCTGTGAAAACAGCAGTGATATCTACCAGTAAAGGTTAGGAAAAATCAGTGGATTTCAGCGGCGTCTACTGGACTAACGGAAATTTAGACCATCTGGCTTTGAACATGATGAGGCGCGGAGGCAACCTAAACTAAGGCTGATAAAAAGCCTACTCAGTAATCGTGAGCAGTGGTAGGTAGCGAAAGCAGAAGAGATGGAAAAGGCAGTGGCGATAGGTAACCGTAGACAGCTGTTCAGACGTACCAAAGAAACATATATTAAAAATTCGGCTGTTAGTGGGAATATTACCAACTTTTAATCCAGGAGATTGGACCTACAGGCAGAACAATTTAGAAAACAGTTCAAACGGTTTTCAAGCACCATTCAGTTACCCACTATCTCCAAACAACCTGAATTGCAAACTGATGTAAGTCCTCCAACTATTAGTGAGGTTGAAAAGGCTATCAGCATCTGAAGCGAGGGAGAGCAGCAGTGTCTGATGGATTAACCCCTGAGATCTTAAAGAGTGGTAGTCCAGTTTTAGCAGTTACATTAATTGAGATCATAGCTGAAATCTGGGAACTAGGCGTGATCCCATCTGACTGGTCTCCATCACTGATAGGACAACAATCGTCTTGTGATAATCACAAAGAAATCTTTTTCACCGTAAAGTGTACAGAATATTAACCTCAATAATAATTTCATATCTAACCTAAGTCCGTGAAGAGCAAACCTGAGAAAACCAGGCTGGTTTCAAACCTGGACATGAATTTATTGACCGAATATTCACCCTTCGGCAAATTCTGGAACACAGACATATTTCTCAACGTCTGACTACAGTTGTATTTCTTGACCGTAAGGTGGCGTTCCATTCCGTTAATCGTGAGGTCCTGTGACGATGTCTGTTGTTGAATAGTTTACCAAATAAGTACATTTACCTTGTACAGGCTTTCTACTGGAACACTACTGGTCTAGTCAGAGCTCATGGTGAACTGTCATCGCAATTGGTTACTTCAGGTGGTGTTCGTCAGGGTTGTCTGTCTTCCGGATTCTTAACTTTGTCATATATATGCTTTTAGATATAACAATTTCATCTTCTGACTTTTCAGGGATTGATCTTCTACCAGGATATTCAGTTACTGACTTAGAATACGCAGATGATATAGCTCTGTTTGGTGAAGACGCTGACAAAATGCAGTCTTCCGACCACCTTAAGCAACAATGCAACAACAGTTCGCTCCGTTCTGTTTCATGGGTATGAAACAGTCATTAAGAATAGAGGATCTTTGTAGGTTACTAGTATTCAACCAAAGGTGTCTTGAAAGCATTGCTCGCGTATTCTGGGACTAACGAGTAAGCAATGGCTGGAATTAGGGACAGAGTGCTAGGTAATTGTGACAAATCGAGTGATAAGGTAGTAAATCTTTAACTGAAGTGCGTTGGACTTCCGACAACTTATGCACAACCACCACCTACCTCGATGGGCGACGTCTTCTGGTGTGGGAATAGGCTGGAATAAAGCTACAGACATTCCTCCTGAGGCTCACATTGTGTCCAGTTCAAACTAAAACAATATTAACAATCTAGGGATGACTAAAAAATCATATCAACATCAGAAGCCAAACAAAAATATTAGGGATGAAAACAACTTAGCACCATACGGCTTACCAAGTCAGCGTCCATTCCGTATATACAGTGACGCTCATTAGGACGGTAATTTGGTAGACCACGACGATATGCCATATACTCCCGAATTTTGTGTTCGCCTTCTCCAGGACACTTGTTAATTATAAAATAAAAATGAAATCTCTTTATACATATTTTCGCTATTAGTTCATCCTAATTTTTGTATAATCAATTGAGTAATGTTACTCAAAACAAAAATGCCAAACGAATACATGCCAATTAAGTTAGAATAATTACCATGGAAGTTAAAAGTACCACTTAACAATCTTTTTGAACAGTAACTGAAAGTCGGTTATAAAGCAAACAACTAGTAAGCTGGTTCCTTAACAGTTCTAAACTAGTGTTTGGCCAACAGATAAGACGTTTGAATTTAAGTCAGCCTACTTCTAAGGTAAAAAATATTCGTAACTCAGGATGAGAACGTCAGGAGCTCTAAGAACACAACACCTCCATCAGCCTATTTGCTATGGGCAGCCAGGTAATATTACTAGCCCTCACATAAACAGTATGATTCAAAACCACGTAGATTGAGTTATTCTCGGTAATTTATTTATTTATTTATTTGAACACGTATATATTGGTACAGGAGTGCGCCGAATATATATGCGCCACACAAAACAATGAGAATCTAAGAAGAAAAAAAGTGAGGAACGTAAAAAAATAATAATAATAAAAAACAATAACGAAGAGATTGGTGTAAGGTAGTGTAATAATAACAATAGCAATAGTAGGGGAACAGAAGGGTACAATCACAAGAAATCTTTCAGTTAAGGAAGATACAACCACTTTTTATGAAGAAAGTGAAAGGAGGTTACAGCAGGATCGCCACTGGCTTCTATTCTGAGCCATATCTGATAACGTCTCTAGCCACTGTGTAGCACCATCTCTCAGACCCCAACCAGGGAGTCGTGAAGGACCGACACAAGCCAGTCCTTTGCAGCTTTCTTTCATGCCACGACACCATGTCATACACTGACCACCTCTCCGCTTCTTCCAACCAGTCCCAGAGTCGGCAAATAATGCACGATGTGGAATTCTCTGGGACGACATTCGTAGAACATGTCCAAGCCACCGAAGTCGGTGTTTCAAGATGGTGACACCAATTGCATTATCGTCTCTGTGCCCGAACACACGATGCCGAACCTCTGCATTACTAACATGGTGTTGCCACTGGATGTCAGCAATCCTTCGGAGAAAACGATGATCGAACACAGACAGTCTTCTAACATCCTCAACTCGGAGAGGCCAGGTTTCACAAGCATAGAGCAAAACTGCTCTCACCGACGCGTTGTAGATCCGACCTTTTACAGCCAGACTGACATCACGAAGGCGCCAAAGATGGCCCAGATTGGCATAAGCCGCTCTGGCTTTCACTATACGTGCATTGATCTCATCACTCACACCCCCACCAGCACTTATGCAGCTACCCAGATACACGAACTTCTCGACTACGTCTATCTGCTCACCATCCAGGGTGAGTACAGGATTAGGATCCTGCCAGTCTTGTAGAAGTACTTTGCACTTCGAGGGTGCAAAGCACATACCATACCTACGGACACTGATTGCCAACTGATTAAGTGCGGATTGCATGCCTTGGGCATTATCGCACAGTAAGACAATATCGTCCGCATACTCAACGTCGAGAAGTCTTTCTCCAGGCAACAGATCCACACTACCATTACTTACATCCATCAGAGCTGTTTCCAGAATGTCATCGATGGCAAAGTTGAAGAGGAATGGTGAGATTGGGCAACCCTGCCTAACCCCACTGCTCGAATGGAACAATGGAGAGAGGTGGTTGTATGCCCTCACTCTGCCTGAGGTGTTTGTATACAGGGCCTTTAGGATGTTAATAAACTTCTCAGGCACACCCTTCTTCAGTAGACAATCCCAGAGAACAGTCCTATCCAACGAATTGAAGGCAGCCCTGATGTCAAGAAACACTACGATTGTTGACCTTAGAAAAGTATGGCGATGTTCTAACACTTGGCGGAGGGTGAAGATATGATCAATACATCCTCGACCAGAACGAAACCCAGACTGCTCCTCGCGAGTCAATCTTTATCGGGTTTTGAACAACCTACGAAGTATGACGGAAGCCTCGGCTTTGACGTACCATTTTCGGGTACAATAAATGGTAGTCTTCAAAGTAAAAAAGAAGCTACGTTCGAACTTGTAACCCGGTGATTAAATAATAATCTTAACCATTACGGAACGGACGAAGTTTAATTGGGCTATGAAAATGGACCTAACTAATAAGTAACGTTAATTATTATAGCGCTATCACTGTTTGACAGTGAACGAAATGAAATGACAATATTTTATTACTGAGGATAACTGTGAAACAAAAGCGATCTGATCAGAGAATACATGTAGTTTAAAGACGTATACATCAGCTCATTTCGAACTTAAACTTAAGCTACATTCAGGGCTTAGGATCATTACACAGAGAAGTTATACGTAGGATTTTTTAACATGAGAAGTGATGTTATCAACAAACTAAGCTTACAGACTTACATCATGTCCAGATAAAATGACATCAATACATTGCCAGTCAGCATCATGATTTACATGATTTTCTACAAATGTAACAATATGACGATGTAACCGCTCCATGAATTCAGTACCTAAAAATAAAAAGTAAAAATCGTAATCCCAATTCTAATGTATACCAATGCTTATTTTGTGAAATTTAAGTTCAGGACGAAAAATCAGTGTGACATCTAATTAAGCAGGATTTATTGTCCAAGGATTTATATGTACAACAGTGTAGTATAATCTAACATCAAACGATAAAGCTCTTATTTTTAAATGTATGATCCAACTATGTAGACAAGATATCCCTGCTCTTTTGCCAGTAACTGAGGAAGACGCATTAAAAAAGACTTCCATGATTCAGGTAAAAATTATGACCTTCCACGCAAAAACTAAGACTTTGTGATAATTGATGTACTTACGTCTTCCTTAACGTAATTTGAAAACGTTCGTTCAAAATCACTGGGTAGACGTTTTTAAGTAATTATGTCTCACAAAAACATTTCATCACCAAATTATCATCACTGATAAAAAATAAGGAAATAGTTTGTTTCGATTATGTATATGATTTAGTCATTACGAAATCAAAGGTTTGAACTTCTTCATTAGCAACGGTCACATCCAGATTTCTTCAGTGAATATAATTTATATTGATTTCAAATAAAACAACATCAGTCAACTGTTTCCTCGCGAACTCCCACGCTGCGAACATTGGATAACAATAAAAAGCAGTCAAACATTTTCAACTTCACCAATGTCAGGTCCGAAACACAAAAATTTACATTTTTCTTACACACAACAAAGTAGTAGGTATTTAACAAGTAATAGGCTGTATTTGCATGGGTGGTTTCCACGTAATTATCAAATGCGATTGATTGGAATTGCAAATAATTAACTCGATGTTTTCAGAACTGACAAACAGCTGATAGACGTTCGAAGTCCTAAATTCACTGGACGTCCACTGACCTCTGAATAATATCATATGTTAACAGACCATATTGTACATAACTTTAGATAATATTTGAGGTTGTTAAACAAGTTTCATTTTGTCACAAGAACAAATAGAATACGAATGTGATTTTGTAATCAGCACTTCGACACTTTATTATTGTTCGGGACTAATAGTGAGAGTGACAAATAAGAGACATAATCTCATTAGCACTTATCGCACTGCACAATCCTACATTTTCAATTGATCAGCTTTTTACCCAACAAACTAGACATCTACATCACAAATCAACACCTCTAATTTGTAATTCTGGAAACAAAAAGTGAGAAACATCTACCGGACACGTCATTATCAAGTTTATGTCAGTGTTTGCTCTCCAGTGTTAGTGTTCAGCATATGTGCACGGAAGTATTCATTTTACATTTCTCCACTAAAGGTGATAGTAATTTATTGACTCACTTATCTTCAGTCCGATGTTTTATAGTTTAAGTCTGTAAGAGGATCAAAACTAGCAGTTTAAGGTCTTATGTGATACTCTTCATCTTTTAAATTATAAATATCTTGTCTTTTATTTACACTATCTCCGCTTTCTTATTTGTTGAATGTTGTCAGCATAATTATGATATTAACTCTGTAAGGTGCTGGACTGATGGTACGTACGTAAGTACATCACTGACATTAGAACAAATACAACCTTTATTTTTTCTATAATGACAATATAATACAGTTGGTTGCCGATCAGAAACGAACATCTGGTTTTTTAGTTTCACTTACAAAAATCGTTGATACAGCTTAAATAATACTAATTTAGATGTTTCCCTTACCTATAAGGAATAAACATGAATGTTAAACTAAAACATAAACTATCGGCAATTCAGTAATGAAACTGACATTTACTAATATTTCGACAAATGGATGACTTTCAAGAATATCACGACTTAATTAACGTGGTCTGCAAAACATAACAGCAAAGTTAGTAGTAAACGGTAAAATGTTACTCCCGCCATAAATTAAACATAAATTTTCAGCCAACGTTCTGATAAAGTCGTTGTGAGACTTAAATATACTTTTATTTATTTTTACACAACAACTTACTGAAAGTGATCCAATTACAAAATTACATACCTGGAGAAATCACACACGGGTCGAATGAGTGGGTCTCAGGTGAACTATCTTTTAAATTCTCTTTGGCAATACGAGCCTCTAAAGCAGATCTGTAAAATTGAAATGCAATTATAAATATTTATCAAAGAAACATAATGTCAATACATTCAAATAAATACTTACTGGAAACGGCGAGCACGTTGCTGCGTCATTTTAGCTCTAGGTGCAACACCATCCACGGCCAAAAAGAAAGTCTTACGTGGCTTAATGAGGTTGAACAAGAACTGAAAAAGCCGTTTACTAGATGCACGCCAACTTTACTTGAATATATAGACAAATATTTCGAAATATAATCTCTTCCGAAAAGATTATTTTACCACCTTCTGGGTGTGAACAAGTGTGAAGTATACCGTTCATGTCCAAATAAAAGTGATCGATAACAGGGATCTTTAAGAATAGAGGATAATACACCCATTAAGAAAATATACGTAATAAACGGTAATATGAGCATAAAATGTATAACCATGAGGCTCCATGTGATGAAACGTAAACCATTAACCCGTTATGGACGGACTAATTTGTTTCCCAATAATCCATGTGACAAATATTGTTGATAATGAATGTTGTCACTGTCCATAGAAAACTGTTGACCAACTTACGACCACTCCAGAAAAAGGAATTGAATCCACGCTTTACCAAGAGGAATCATGAGTAGCATTCTATCAAACAGATTATTGAGAGAATGACTCACATAAATCGACCTTGAGGATTGTATGTATTCCACCGCTTTTAATTTCCAAGATGCTAGCAAAACTCTGTAACAGTCTAGAACTGTGTTTTTGGCTAACAAACAACCTTACTCGGAAGTTAAGGCATGTTGCTCAAATGCCCGAAGTGAAGTTGAAAACTTAATTTATTCGGTCTCGAGAGATGGATGCCCCCTCTGACGCTCCTAGAGTGGGTGAAATAACAAATGAGACTTATCAACTTTCTTAAAACGTATCTGAATTGCTTTATTTAATTGGACTGTTGATTTAGTTGAAGTGATGTCAATGTATAGCAAGTAACTTTAGTTATAAGCTCCTGGAGGACCAACTAGAAAGTCTCTGCCTTCTTGTGTCCGATGGGTGGCGGCTTGATATTTATAAATAATGCTGCAAGCACGTTTTCCACAACGAATTAAATTTTCACCAAACGACTCAATTACTACCTAAAATCCCACATTCAACCTCAAGGCTATCCACCTGATGAATCTATCATATACCACCAGTGATTTGAATAATGCATAATCTGGTACCTTCGTTACTAACTAAACAGGAGCTAATTATTAGTAGTTTCTTAGCTTAACCATTCCCAGGTCAACTTTAAAATACAGTATTTTTGGTTCTGATAAAATACATTTACCTCACATGGGCATTTCTGTCGCTACAATTAACTCAGCGCTGTATGTTCGGGAGTCCAAAGAAGTCTGATAAACTCCTAAATTGAGGCTGACATGGTATGGCAGTGTAGTCTAAAGTAAATGCTAGTTACAATAAAATTCAATGTATGAGGCTTTGTTGTAGCGTCAATATTTTAGGAAATATAATAGAAAACAAATTCCTAGACATTACCAACCTCTCCTGGCCGCAAAATCTGGTTGATGCAAGGGTATCGAGCACTAATCCATCTAAAGAACTTTGGAACACCCATCCCACCTCAAGGCCCGGACTTTTCGATTTTGACGCCTTAGGTCAATACCTCATCACACTATACTGTAAAACAAATACTGCCCACCTGCTTCTTATGAAAGCTGTCAAGTCGACAATACAGACGAAACAACAGAAGGTTTGAAATACATGATATTTTGCTCTTAACATCATAACTTGATGATGAATAACAAAATGGAATGGAGAATCTCAGTGTTAACTTTATTATTATCCATTGTAGCGGTAAGTAAATCAACAAAACAAATAGTTCTGTAAGTCCTTGACGTTTATTCTGACCCCACTAATCTCACTGGATGTGTCTTGGTTGAAGGTGCTCTGTCAGGCATCAACGCCGGATCACAGATAGGTACTCCGTGCTATATAGCATGGATGCATATGCATCCTTTGTAACAACTGGCCAGCTTAAATCAAACGCTTCTCAACATATCGGTGACTTCACGAACATATTTTCCAACTCATTTATCCCTGACCTTAGTTTGACTGGGTTGATATCTTCCAATCATGAAGGTCTTACTGACAAATGCGTTGTCAAACCATGAATGTCCGTGACATCCTTGGTGGCGGACCCGATTCGGTCTGATACACCAAACAATAAACTGTCTTTTCTTTGTGGTTACACTATATATATATTTTGCACACTATGATAGAGAGTTTTTTGCTCTCAGAGCTTTTTTGCCCATTCGTAAATTTGATCCACATGATGACGAAATAGACACCCAAACTGCTAAACATTAAGACTCTCACACTACCCACCTTCCATTTCATGCCATTCTGGATTGAAAATATCGAATCCTGGTTCTGATACTCAGAAGCCGACTTCCACTAGCACGGAGTGACAGATCAACTTGCATAATTTCTGACAAAAATGAAGGCACTGCCGCGCGATTTCAAGGGTAACGTTACGCCGGGCTCCATTTTCTGGTAATGCTTCCAAACCCTACGACACCAAAGGCGTTTATCTCCGCACGTCGAAACGTAACCAACGAACAATGATTGAACTAGATTTTCCACAACATCGAATTGAAACACAGTTTAGTAATAAAACTCTTGCTACGTATGCGCGAGGTCAATGGTTAACCGTTGTTGGGTTGAGTTATGGATCAATTTAGTAGAAGTACAATCAAATATGAGATTATGAAAATTAAGTCATTAGGAATTTTTAAACAGATGAACCTACTAGTGGATTCCCGCTGAGATCAATGCCTGATACCAATCCATTAGAATAGTATTCCTTTGCTAACTCTAAAGTGAGTAACGCTTCATCAAGACTTTTAGATCTGTCTATAGATAGTATTAATGTCACATATATTTTATTATCAAGTACACTCGGTGCATTCTGTATTCCTCTGATTACCGCATTCAAATAAGAACGGTGAGTTGGAATTGGTCGTAACGTAGTCCTCAATTCCAAAAGAATGACGTTTTCTTGATGAAATTCTTCAATAACGGAAGTTGTAGCCTACAATTTAGTGTAGACGTGTAGCAAGTGAAACAAATGATAATTATTGTAAAACCCAAATATTTTTATATGGAAATTCATGTCACACCAACAACATGTACAAATAAACGCTTTTAAGGGTCAGGAAGACAAAAACAATGCAAAAAAAAACAAAGTTAATGTTAGGAAAGATTAATTTGGTGGCTAGAGAACTTAATATTTGAACAGAACCTGACTAATGCCATTTAACCTAATTTTCAGGAAAAAGACTTTTACACTCTGAAACAATTTCAACTGAAGAATCATATAGATAATTTTGATGTATTATTTTATTATATTTTTTATTTTACTGTCATTTTGTGGTACTTCAAATACAAATCCTGTTGAGATGTTTTTCTGTACATTTTCTTCGCGGTGAAAAATCATACATCTGCATCATAATGTTTCACAAACTCCTTGATTATACTCCACACTATAAAGATCTAAGTTATCAGTCAAATTAAAATCAATTACATGAAATGAACTTCAGGAACTAAACGAGAATTTTTCTCAATTAAAATAAAACTACGAAAGAAATAACTTGACATTCGGATATTGGGATATTTTATTGCAAGATCATTTACTCTGTACAAATAAGAACATTAGAAATAACCGTCTAAGCGTTGACAACAAGTACGGAAGAAAATGAAGAGGGCGATGTAAAAAAATGGTGTGCATCAATTGCTGAAAATGTATACAAATTATCGGTACTCCTTTCATTCCCATAACATGAATGATTACTTCTTGATATATAGAAAAACGAATATGTACTAGTGGTTTGTCAAGATGGGAGGGTGAACCCGAGACCTAATATATATATATATATATATATATATATATACGAAGGCTAATGTAGAATAAGATCCATAACCTGACTACACTGGGGAAATCAGCGGAGCTAAGAGGTGTAGTACATCCATCGGTCATATAATAACCCATATTAACTATGAGAAGGCAATATAGTTAGACACTCTCTCAAAAAGCCTCTCTTGATATACTCCACTACAGTCACCAGTACAATTTCATCCACAAAAATATTACCATCGAACAACCAGTGTTGAAGACGGATGAAAGAAAGCTGGGGCGGCCAGACTAAAACGTGATATCAGTCCATAAAGTCACTAACTTCCGGTCTGAGCCATGTTGGTAGACGCAGACTACTTGGTTGGGGTCTGCGCGACTATCTTAACCAGTGGTTGGAGACTGTGTGATAGAACCGATCACAACGGCGTAGGTGTATAAACTCTCTGTCCTGCCTTGAACCGTGAGATTAAAATTTCTTTATATCTCCCTTTCTATGAACTAATTCACTCTGCCTGTATCAAATCCTTATATGCAATCATTCTTTACATATTAATACCATCGAAGAAACTACTGTGAATCTGGTGTTTGTTTTGTTGTGCTAATGAGGTGTGGCAACTTGGACCGTTGTATATATGTACCTGGTCCTACGTTGTAACTGACTGACTGACATGTTTATCAAAGGGTAAATAAACTATTATATCAAAAATGCATACTCTCTCCAAAATCTCTGGTGTTTCAATTAATTTGTGGATTGTTCGGAAAACATCAAAACACCTACATACATAATTTTAAAGGTAAGTAAAACTCCATAATTACCTGTTCATATCCCCGTTCCATGTTTCAAAATCAAAACTTGGATTAACGTTCTGAACATCACGGTTAGTAATTGATTCACGCTTCAAAAACGCCGAACTAATACTCCCAGAAAGGTGGGCATGCAACTCCTAATCATTAATATATGTGTAATCAAATCTACATACAATTTTCGGTAAATTGTGGTAAAAACTGTTCATGCCGATTTTTTACGTCCACTAAATGCTTTGTGATCACTGTTGGCTGAGAAACATGAAACGATAACTGGAGATGAGTAAGAGTTCGTGACTAACAGAAAATTAAATGTCCAGACCAATACTACTAAAAGTGCGCTTCAGTTATAAGCAATGTAGATACATTCCAGGCTTAATTGTGATTAACTCCGAGACATATCACTTAACATCTTCAACTGTTGGTTTATATCACCAGGAATTCAGTGGTTGAAGTAACCTTTTTCTTTGATCACAGTCGGAAATGACTAAGCCAATGAGATCTCAACCTCGCGGTTGAGTAACAAAATGATGTGGAGCCAGTCCATAGCCACTAATTGCTGGTTGGATATATATATATATATATATATATATATATATATAACAGTAAGACTATAATTTATAGACGACCTTTGAGCGACGCTAAAGTAACCCTGAGAATGTCCATTTAATAATTAGGACCAAATGAGAGTCATAATCCAGTGTGAGAATTAGAATTGTGATTTGCAGTTCATGGTTTATGTCAGGAATTAGATTTAGGGTTTTCATCACGAACTGACATTAGCTACAACGCCAAAACTGTACTTAGCGGATGAGTGAATTTCGCGCCAAAACCCGAGACCTGTTGTCTTATACCTCAAATGGTCTGTAGTGGTAAATAAATCCTCACAATAAATAGCTCTGCAAATCCTCGACATTGGACGCTGACCACATTAGTTTCAATGGACTCACTTAGCTGAAGGCGCTCGGTCACGCATCCACACCAGATCACGAGTGGGAACGCTGTGATCAACTTCCCCTGCAACCGCTAGCCAGTTTAGATCAGTCACTTGTCGATATATTGATAGCTTATCAAGTATATCTTCGGACTCCATCGCTTCTGACTTCTGATTTCACTGGGTGTGCACGTCTTGATTACAGAAGTTGTTACTGGTCAGGGTGTTGTCAATCTCCAAATACTCGTTGCATCTTCAGGTTCAAATGGTTCTGGATGGAATAGAAGTAGATTTCGCTTAATGGGCCTCCGTGTCTAGTAGCAGTGGATCGCTTATATCTCCAGCAAGATATTATCCTTGGTCATTATGGATAGGTCAAGTTTCCTTTTAAAGGACTCCTGGGAAGTCTCTTGTACTAGCTAAGTCGGCAGTGAATTCAAGCATCTGACAACTCTCAAAGAGTAGAAAGTGTGTCTACAGTCCATTCTGTTATGTTGCATTTCCAGTTTCTGGGTGTTACCCCTTAGGTTTGTGTTGGGACTAAGCTTAATTGGGTGTTTAAGGTGATGTCCAGAATTATTCTGGATGCTGTAAGCCATCAGAAGATCACCTCTATGAATCCTGTACTCCAATGGATAAGGGTTCAGTGATTGAAGGCGCTCTTCATAAGGCATGGGTTTGAGTTCCCGAACTGACTTCGTGGCTCGCCATAGGATATGTACCAGAGAGTCTTGATTCTTTTGGAGTGGGGTAGGAACTACTATGTTTCCGTACTCTAAATGAGGATGAATAAAACTGTTGAAGATCATGTGGAAAATTCTTCCGTCGAACTGGCCATGAATCTGCTTCAATATTATCTGTCACAATTAGCGTAGGACTTCAAATGGTTGGGTACCAACACTCATAAATCTTTTTCGACTCGGGATACTACTAGAGAGCAGTTTCCTAAGTTGTAACTGTAGTCTGTAACATGTCGCAGATGGAATTATTTACACTTTGAAGTGTTGAAGGTAGGTGCGTTGCCATCTGCCCAACTTTGAAGGAGAGTCAGATCCTTCTAAAGTGCCTGTATATCCTCTTGGTTGCGTATCTCTACCCAAAGTTTCACGTCATCAGCAAAAAGTTATAAGTCTGACGTTACCTGTTGTGGAAGATCAGTCTTATAAACCAAGAAGAGAAGAGGTCCTAGTACTGAGCCCTGTGGGACCCCAATAAGACATTCCATAGGCTGAGATAAAGTGAAGGTAACCCTGACCTTAAAATGTCGATTTTTCAGATATGAAATCAGCCAATCAATTAGAGGTGGTCTGATACTCAGTTGTTTGAGCTTATTGATAGGACATACATGGTTGACCCTATCAGAAGCTTTCGAGAAGTCAAGGTAAATGACGTCAGCCTTCCCCTTGCGGTTAGGAATTGTCGTCCATCTGTCCACCGCAGTCAGCAGAACAATTATACGAGAATGACACTTCCTGATACCGTGATGTTGGTGTGAAAAGAAGTTAAAGGATAATAAGCAGTCGTGCATACCGTCGTATATCGGGGACTCCATGATTTTTGAAGGTATTGGGAGAAGGGCCACCGGCCGAAAGCTTGAACGTTCGCTGCGTCGACTTCCTTTGAAAATTGGTGTGATGTGGACCAGTTTCCGATTTCCCGGTAGTTTGCCTCGGCTTAGCGAGTGTGAGAACATCACGCTAAGCGGTGTTGCCAGGATCTTAACTGCTTCTCTCAGTATAGCAGAATGAACCATATCTGAGCCGGGAAATGTGTCTTTTCTTGAGTGCTGCAGTTTTCGGAACACCAGGTCAGCGCTCGGGTTTACTTCGGAAAGTCCTGTGCAGTTGCAGATGAAATTGTCATCAGTATAGTTGATGTGGGTTGGTTGAAGTGTATGCGAGTACTATTCAGCCATAAGATTAGTGACGCCACCACTGTTGTTGGTCGGGCCATTATGACCTGGCAGTTGGGAAACTCCAGGTTTGGCTTGACGAAGAGAGGCTGCGTAACAGAATAAGCTTTTCGAATTGGTGACAAATTTATCCACAAGCTTTATCTGGTACTGAAGCCTGTCTTTTCTTATTGTCTTTGTGCATATGTTCCTGATGTGTTTGTATGGCCTGTATGTGCAGTTGTTACCACTTCTTTTATATTCTGCCCAACAGTGTTTTTGCGGCTTAGCAAATGAAGAGTGAGGTTCTTAATGACTGTAGGTTGCTTGTAGATTTTTGGGACCACTTGCTGAACAAACTGTTTTGTAGCATATAAGATGGTGTGCAGTAAGAAATCCCTATAGGCATCCACAAAAAGTTGAGGGTGAACTTCTCAGTCCACCTGCTGTAGATTATCCTGTAGAGCTGACACATCCAACCGTTTGAAATTCCTGCCCCCGTTGTTGGTGGGAAATCTTAGCCCAGTTTTGCTGAAAAACTAAAGGCTATGACGGCGTGACCGCTTTTCTTCAGGGGAGCCAGAATTGATAGGTTGTCAATTAGGAATTCTTCGTTTGTAAATACCCAGTCCAAGCGCGACGGCGTCTGACTGTTTCACCAACGAGTTGCCGACTTCACATTTTCGAATAATCCCAGATCCTCAATGAGGTTGAAGAACCGAGGTTTATTAGAGTTTTCACCCCTAATATACGTACGTTCAGCAAGACTGACTTTAGGAAGATTGAAGTCCCCTAGAATCAGGACGCGTAGAGCGGGATAGTCCTTCCAACATACGACTGTCATACTCGATGTCAGCACTGGGCTTCCTATAGATGACCCCAACTAGGCACCTCGAGGTGGTAGGCAATCTTACTGAGCACCATACAGATTCATCAAGATTGTCAAACTCATGGTTGTGAACTTGATGTACCTCCACGCATGATCGTATGTATATTGCTACTCCACCCGCAATTCCTGTTTTTCTGTCGTTGCGAAACAAAGACATCCCAGGTATTACTAGCTCCTGGTCCGTAAACTGAGAAGATATCCAAGTTTCAGATATTCCTATCAGTTGCGCCCTATTAACATTGCTAAGTTTACGTAGCTCATCCATTTTATTTGGTAGACTCGCACCGTTCATGTATAAGCAATTTATGCTTTGAATTAGAAATGCGTCTTCATGAGCCCTATGCCAATGGACAGGGAGCCTACCTACACAGGGTTTTCTGAGCTGTTAGCCCCTGTCCTTTCCATGTCTTTTATGGTCTAAGCACTCCACAAGTGGAATGGTTAGCTCCAACTTGCCTTTCTGCTTGATCCCGTCATCATATAGTCTACCCGGATCCATGTGGATTCCAGTTGGCAACCGGCGTCTATTGGCACGAAATGCTTCCAGAGTTACGGCCGCCACATGGCAGGATGAGAAGGTTATCCTCATCAGCCGGGGTCCATAATTCTCGTCTTTCTTGTTTAGTTTCACCGCCTGTTGGGTCAGTTTGTTTTTGAGGTTCAAAAGCTGCTTGATGAATTTTCACTTCCGAATATCGGAGTTTGTGTGATCAGGGTCCGTGTTCTCTGGCACATCTTGCACAATGATATTTCTTCCACGGAAGGAATCCTAGCGAATTTCCTGAGGGGTGTTCCGGGTGTGATTGCGCTCAAGGTACGGTATATCGGGCAGTATTCTTACATTCCCATTTGATTTCGGTAAATAACTAGCCAGTAAGACATCCCCTACGTCTGTAGCGTTAGTGAGTGACTATGAGACTTAGAATGCTTTCCCTGATTAAGTCGTGTGACTGTCAAAGGCTCTATTCAGGGAAGTTCAAGCCTCTTGTTTAACTCGTTCCGGAGCATCCTATCATATTTGTCCTGCAAACTGAAGGGAAGGTCAGGTCTTTTTAGGGTTCAAGATTATGAATTATCGCGAACCGTGATTATTTTCCCAGGTTTTCGTGTACGTTCATATTGAGGACCTTGTTGTTTGGAGGTGGAAGCGCTTTTTAGATTCCTATACTCTTTCCTGACCGGTTGGACACTCTTGCGGTTAAATTGTACGGCTAAATAACCAGTTGATCTCACTACAATACCTGGGGTATTCAGCTTCTTGGACAGTGACACCCGGTCCTTTTTGACTTTGTTAACGGGGTCCAATCGCCTTTTTTTAAAGAATTGTGTATAAAATTGGCAATATTTTCACAGAAATAAGTGTTGAAAGTTGACAAAAGGCTCAATTATTGAATGAAGAGGTAGAGTGTTCACTAAAAATATAGGCAAATAAAGAAAATACACTACAATAGATCTTGTTGATTTAAAACAGTGAGCTTTGCTTTTTTGAAGAATTTCGTGAAAAACCCAACAGAATCGTCACTAGCATCCGTTTCTCAAACCATATCGGACAACGTTTGAAGTCAGTGAGTTGCATGACATGTATGCACACTCTTAAGGAATGTCATACATAAACGTCTTCAATCTCTCGCAATCAATTTCGACAGCGTACAGCAAAAATTGAGTTAAAGTATGGGATCCTACCCGTCTCGAAAAAATACTTCCAAGTTGAAAAATTCTAACAAATAAACGGACATCAACGTAGAGCATGAAACATGTGCGTTAACTCAAGTTTCCATACCACATTAGCACGAAGAGATTTTCCTAGATAAGTTGCAGAGGTCGAAATTATGCAGTAGCGTTGATAATAAAAAGCACTAAACACTTACAGTATGC